TGGCAAGCGATTCCATCGATCAGGGATATTTCACGAGCTCACTGCTGTGGATGGGCAAAATCAGTTTCTCAGCACTTTTCAGAAGCCCTGGAATCCTTCGCTCAACATAAATACCGCTTGAATGTTCTGGTTTCCTTCCCAAGGTTTCATCTAGCTGCGAGACTCGCTCTGGGGATCTATTCTTTCATGCTTTGGGATACCAAGTTGCTGTCGCAGACGCAACTGCGCCTTGGGTGAATTGAGTGGTCAAGAAAAAGCCCTTCAAACGCCAACAGACAAAATCGCTGGTTGCATATGTTCGTAACTGGGATCCACGGAAGTTGGTATGGCGCATCGCAACGAGCGAAGTTGTTTCGTATAGACAGGGCATGACAGGGCCATCTATTTTCAACCAACAGGACATTCAATTCATCAAGAGCGGGTACCTCCCTGTTTGCTTTTGACACCAAAAGAACCGCCGTGGTCTCTGTTTGAGTGTGTCTTTCTTTAGGATTTGGACCCACAAAATCGATTGTTCGGCTTTCCATTTGCTTTCCCTTTAAAGCCGCCCAAAAAAGGGGTACCCTGAAAAAGAACCGCAACCCATTTGGGGGTTGATCAATATACCTCACTTTTCCCCATTGAGTGGTGAAAGTCGATCCTTTTTTGGTGGTCTCCCCAAATGGTCACCCCATGTACTACCTTTCTGGTGCTCAGCAGAGAATGGGAATTGGAACGATCCCTACAAACCATCCAACTGGTGGTTTCCTCTAAGGGAATTCCCAGATTCATTCCGTTTCTCATTCCCTACCTATGCAACCAGCAAGACTATGAAACAGCGTAAATTCCATTTCTGATTCCCTACCTCTCGCACCAGCAAGATTATCATAATTAAGTAAAAAGCAACCCCTCATCATGGTTTTTCGCTCATCATGGTTTTTCGCTCGACACCTGCTCCAGGCAGTGGTCACAGTGAGCCCGGAGCTGCGCGGATTCCGGGAACCGGGGAAAACGGGTGAGGGCCAAGAAAATGTCCAGAACCTCACGCCTTGAGAACTTTTTTGGGGAAGACCATGTTAGTGGCACACAAGCAAAACGGAGCTTTGTCTGGCCAGTGCACTTAGGATGTGAGCATTTTTTTTATAATAATAATAATAATAATAATAATAATAATAATGATAATAATAATAATAGTAATAGAATGGTTAATGTGTGGCCAAAGGGCGACGCTGCAAAGAAGTGCCCCTGCCGCGTAAAGCTAATCACGGCCGGCCCGAAAAAAGTACGCGAAGCCACCCCGCATAGGGTCCATGGGGGTGTTCCCCTCCAATGAATGCCCAAACCAAAAAACTCCCCCCTATTAATCAATCAGGGGTGCATAATCCCGAGGTCAACAGCAAGGCAAGGAACAGGTCAAGCTAGGCCAACCTAGGCCAGAGGCCTTTCGTTCGGTTGGCCTTCTGAGACTAAGCAATCGGGTTGTTCCCGGGTTTGTCCAGGGACCAAACTCCGGTGGATATGCAGTTTCCACTATAGTACGTGACCAGGGGACACCATGATGTAACACTTAGAGGTAGCCACGCCGTACCGGAGATTCTGTGCCATGCCCATGCCTCGACTTCTAACAACCCGTCCGAAAAGGCCAACTTAGGCAACCAAGGGCTTGCCACCCTTTGAACACCAAAAGGAACATATTTGGTTACCTGCGACCTACTACAAGGGCAGCTGGGATCCACCGGGCGAGGTAATTCGGTTTTTTCAAGAGAGCTGGAAGCTGATTTGGATCCAAGGGTTCCTTTGCTGCAGCCACTTTTGGTCCCTAGCAGCCGAACCGGAACCCTCCCTCAAGCCTGCCCAAGCTCGCCCTTGTCGCCGATCCGCGCAGAGACCAACCAAATCCACGGCTTTCAGCTGGGGCAAAGCACCAAGCGACTCCGCCTACCTGAGAGACCAAATCCATAGCTTTCAGCTGTTGGGAGAAGAAAACCCCCCGACCTCCGCAACCTCCGCGGCCTCATTCCGCGACCGACGCATTCCGCCGACGCATTCCGCGGCTTCGGAGTGCGCCGAGGCCTGCGACGGATCCCGGGGACTTTGGCTTCGGCGAGGGTGCCGGGGGCCCCGGGGCGAGCCAAAGGCGGGAGGCTGGCTCTCGAGGATTGAAAGCTGCATGGGTTCGGTCGAACTTTGTTTTAGTGGGGGGTTGAACCCTAGGGTGCAGGCTTTTGCGCCATGTGTTTCTTTTTTTGGTTGGACCATGTTGGACCTCCCACAAAATGGGTGGCTTTTCCGTTTGGTTTCCTTTTAAGCCACCGACATGTGGGTTTGCCTTTTGGTGAGGTTACCCCTGTTTTGGGTGGAGAAGAAGAAACACTAACAGGGAACACCGAAGACATTTGGGGGGGCCTAAGGGAACCTGCAAAAATGGACGATCGTTTCACTGGGAACCACCAGTCAAATCATCATGTCTAAATGGAAAATTCGGTCACCTTTGGAAACCCCCAAAAACATGGTGCACCGAGAGCCACAAAATCGCACACAAAATTGGAGGTTTCCATTTGGTTTCCTTTTGGGTTCTCTTTGAACCAAGGTGACAAGGGTACCAAGAGCCTCAACAAACAACCCCACATTGTGGTCTGCATTTGGTTTTATTTTGGGTTCCCTTAAACCGAGGCGAAAAGGGTACCGAGAGCCTCCAAAAAATTGTTTCCTTTTGGATTCCCTTTGAAACAAGTGACAAGGGTACCGAGAGCCTCAAAAGGCACACCCAAAACTGGTGGTTTCCATGTGGTTTCCTCTTGGGTCCTAATTGGTTATGAGGTGAGGCCACAGATCTGCTCTCAAATGAGCACTTTTGGTGTGGCAAAAACATGGCAAGACCGCAGGCAGCTCGCAAATCCAAAAGCCAAGCCTTGGCTGCGATAGCAGCTGCCGTTTCGTTGGTTTTCGGGGATGTGAGGTGATCGATCGATGTCCGGTCTGGCGCGGTACTAGATAGGCTTTCGGCGTGATGTTCGCGGTCTCGCGCCGGCCAAGCGCTGGACGTGCACTTGCTCAGCCTTGCGCATGGAGATCAGAGCATTCCTCGCCACCAATGTAGAGTGAACACGACGGATATGGAATTCTTTGGGCGATCTCCACCAGAGGGACCTCCATCCTTCAGAACCCCTTTCTGGGCGTGTCCCCCAGTAGTGCCCTTTGACCCTTTTTTGGGGGGTTCCCCTACTAAAATAGACTACCGAAAAAGTGGGTACCCTTATTCCAACCTCTCTACTGGAGGACTTAGGACATGTGGCTAGTATCTTCAGTTCTGTGAAGGGGGAATCCCACTTGGGGGGCTAATGAACAGGAGGGGGGCAACTGAGGCCAACTGAGATGTGGCTAAAATATGTTCAGTACGTTCTGTGAGGGAAGCTCAGTTTGGGGACTTAACATCGGGGTGCGATTTGGATGCTTGGAACTTCTCAACTGGCTGGTGGACCATTTATTGGGCGTCCAAATGTTGTGGCCAAAGGGTCCCAATTTCAACTCAGATTCATACGAACCACTCAAGTTTGGAGATTGATTCCCAATTTTGTTGGGTATATGTTTAGTGTTTCTATTGCAACGGTATGTGGGTTTCATGGTTGCTGTTGCGAAACACTTTACACCTTTTTTCTTGTACCACTGAACTGCCAAAATTTGAAAATCATGTTGCTCCCCAAACCCAATGTCAACCAAGACAAGTCACCCCCAATTTCAGAGATGCATCTTGCTTGGATGTTAGGACTTTGGCTTTTTGCCAACTGATGGGGTTTCCATTAAACCGCTAAAAGCTGAAAACTTTTTAGCAGGGGAGCAGATTTCGCCACCGAGTCACCTGGGGTCGCTCGTGCGATCTCGGCCCAGGTGGCGGTAGGCCTTCGCCCTCGTGTCCAGACCTCTGCGCTGTGGCCTTTGCAGGCGGTCTGTTTGGGTCGTGCTGGGTTGAAGGATCCTTTCTTTTTTTTATGGGGGATACCGGTGCCCCCAAAATATATAAATATATATATATATATATATTTATATTTATATATTTATATATACATATATATATATATATACATGTGTTTTTTCCCGCAAGAGCTGAAAGCTTTGGGGTCTCAGCCCAGATAGGCTCCGGGGTGATCCTGGGCGGGGTTCCACGAGGGTTCCACGAGGGCTCCACCCGGGGTTCCATGAGGGCTGCGGGGTGGTACGAGCACTAAAAAGAGCACCACAAGCCGTATTGCTGAACGACCAAGCCACTGACTGCACTTCTGGAGCAGGGCTTTGCCCTTCAATGTGCAATTCTTCAGTTGCTTGACCCTTTGATGAATGTGTTGGGGGCCAGTGGATGAACAAAACCCAGCGCCAGTTGGCACGTAGTTTGTCCCAGTATTTGTAGGGGGCTTCATCCATCCCAACTGGTGCAGGCTGTTGTCCATCCACAGTAGGGATGGTTATGAAGTTCTTAAACAATAGGGTCTGCAGACAAAAAAGTGATGGTTCCTATTGAGGGAGCCACTACTACGACCAACGCAACAACTATGATCCACACAAGCGGCTTATCCTCAAAAAAGAGTGGCCCAAAAGGGTATGAACTTTAATTGGGACCCTTTGGTGGACGTCAGGATTCGGTGGGGGTTCATGTCCTTTGAGGTGGTTTCTAGATTCACAGCCACATGGGCGTCTGTCAAACTGCGGGATCCCCTCAAAATGGTTGGTTTCCCTTTACGCCATCTGAACATCTGGCCTCACTTGTCGGTTGGTTTACCACCGCCATGTGGGTGTGTCTCTTTTGGAGGTTACCATTTTTGGCTTAAAGGGCGCCCAAACAGAAAGCCACCAATTTGGGTGCCCCCCCCAAAAAACAAGACACACACATGTGAGGAAAAAACATGTGGATGTAGAGGCTTCCGTTTGCTTAAGTTGTTTTTGCCCTGGTGGATTTAAAGGACGTGTATCATGGAAATGCATGGTTGTTGTTGGGAAACATTTTGTTTGCTTATTGTGGTTTAGTGGGAAAATCCCCACTTAACTGCTAAAAATCATTTTTGTTGCTCCCCTTCCAACGTCAACCAAGGTATGGGTGTCCATTTTTAGGGGACCCTTCCAAATGATGGTTTCCTCCGCACAAATCGCGTAATTACCCTCAACAGCAGACACACCTACATATTATCATTTTTCAGTGGAGGAACACCGAGCGGGAGGGAGGGTATTTTGAGGGCGCCCCGAGCTTGCGACCTTTTGACCTCCCAAGAAGCCACCGTGCTGCCTCTCCTGAAAGGCAGTTGGACGCACTTGGTTAAGAAGGAGTCTGCCCTGCTTGGTGCACCTTTGTCAGGACAGCATCTGATCAACGTTGACAGTTAATGCTGAGACTCCTGAGGGGCTTTTTTTCAGAAGCTGACCTACCTACAGCTGGTCTTTGCGGGTGCTAATGGCCTCATGAGGCCTTCTCTTCGCCAGCAACACCAGGCAATGCCGTGGACTACTAAATTTGAGGAGGCCCTCAACAGCTGTGCGAGACCAACACGGATGCGCGTTTACTCGCGAGGGGTGGACAACTCAACCCTTTTTGCACAGGGGAGTTACCATTTCTTTTTCAGTGAGTTCTGAGTCCCGGAAAGTGACATCACTGCCATTGGACTTTGAACTTGGACAGTTTTGCTGGGGAACAACAAGTCCAGCTGAACTTTTTCTGAATCGGAAGCGAGTGAGTGGCTTCCTTTGAGCCACAATTTGGGTATGTCTCAAGATAGGGGACCCCCAAACCCGTGGTTTGTCTGATTTTTCGTGATTTAACTATGGTATTTGTTTAGCGATCCTTTGAATAATATCGAAAGGGAGCACATAGAGAACCCTGCTGCTAGGAAAACGACGAAAGCCTCCCCCCCCCCCACACCCCCAACGACATAGTCCCCTGCACTGTTTTTTAGAAACAATCTGGCGGTTGATCAAACAACTACGGAATCCTGAAGGGGGGTGGATTCCTTAAGCTTCCTTAGGGAACTTCCCCCTCCTTGTTCCCTAGAATATTCCTTTCATTGCGAGCCCTGGGATCCCATCCACTAGTAGGCAATCAAGACTTCCCCCGCGTAGCTTGCGAATTGTGTGTTCCCCAGTTACCTATTTTCATTTTTTAGCGTGTCTTATATGTTTTTGTCTTGGTTTTAAAGGGAGGCTATCGCTACTAGACATATATGCCTGTGTATTTGTCCATGCGACGACAAAACGCAGGGGAAACGGAAAGTCAATTTGAGGGAAATTTCGGTACAAGGGATATGGGAGTGGTGAAGTTTGCAAGTCTGAAACCAGGGGACTAGATGAAGAGAGTTGCTCATTCTCTGTGGAGAGGAAGCCGGATTCGTCCTCACCCTCAGCATCATCGCGCCCTCCATTGCATGCAGACCTCGATTGGAAGGTTTGTAACCTCAAAATGGGGCCGTTTTTCAGGGCCTGGATACTTAGGGCAGGTGTTTTAAGACTTGTCTTGGCCCTCCACTCAGGAAGTGAGAGCTAAAAAAGCCGACACCCCCCCATGAAAATGTGCCAGGCGAAGACTCCGAGCCTGGGCGTGCCCTTCCGTGGCGAGGCGCGGAGTCGAGCCGTTGGGGACCGGGATGTTCGGCCAAGTCGGTCGATGGCAATCTCGTTTATAGCCCCCACTTGCCCTCCCACGTTGCCATGGCAGCTGACAGGAAATGGTCCCTCAAAAATTATTGACTTTCCAGGTACCCTAAAGGGTATGGGTCCCTCCGTTCAGTGGAGTTAACCTTGTTAGTGTGATGCAATGCAGCCTGGCCGAACATGCAGGTAGCATACTTCCTTTTTAACGGCAACCCTAGGTTGGTGGTTTGGATTTGAACCACTGGTTCTTGTGTATATTGGGAAACCACCCGGAACACCACCGAACCCAATTCAAGGAAACTTGGGAGGGGGCGGACCCCTTTTCGGGGGAAGACTTTTTCCACATCCCCTTGAGATGTTCAACTTGTCGGGGGCAAGCAAGCAAGCCGTTTCAACGCCCGGGACTGAGTTTCCTTCACTCTTTGCGGGCAAGGAGGCCTCAACTAATGTAGGGTGCCTGGAATCTCCATGACCCTTCACACATGGGGTCGTTACCAAAATGTCAAGGGTCATGACCACATTTTGAAGGGTCATGGAGACTCCAGGGACAGTTGTGCTGCCTATTCAGATTCTGAAACATTGTTTGAGGGGCCAATATTTTAGAAAGTTTTTCCCCCGGACCTCCACAACAAGTGTCCCAAGTTCCTCATGCTTTTTGCTGCTGAAAGGATCTAAACAACCAGAAGACATGTGCCACAGCTTCCCTGCGATGTGCTGCTGATGGTGCCTTGCAAGGCCCCTCCGCCAAGCTCTTGTGTGAAGAGAATGACTCATGACCCAAACTAGCTGGTGGTTGGAATGGGGCCAACAACCTAACCGGGAAAAAGGGAGAGAGAGAGAGCGGTTCGGAGCTACCGCTCGGAGTTCTGGTTAGTGACATGGTAGCACAGCGCAAGTCTTTTCAATGGCTTCGAAAAGCAGAAGGCCGAGGTCAAGTGAAGACGTCCCCAGTGTCCGTGGGGCGTAAAAAAAGATCCCACTGAACCGGGGGGCTTAGATGGTTGCGAAATCCACTGCGCACCAGGCTTCAGAAACCCTGGAAGGAGTCGATGCTCCAACATGAGTACCAATAAACGTTATGGTTTGAAACATGTATACATATATATTTATATAGATATATATGTATAAATAAATACATATATATATATATATCTGGTTTCAACGTGGTCGTCATGATGTCGTCCACCCACACCGAGCCCTTCGGATAGGCGGCGCGCTTGGTGGCCATCCAAGCCTCCGTGAATGCCCAGGTCGAATCCGCTGTTCGTTCGAATCGAAGGGCGAGCCACACTGATTTCAATTCGGGCACCTTTTTCATGGTTGTTGTTGGGAAAAAGTTTACATTTTTGGTTTAGTGGGATATCCCCACTGAACTGCTAACCCGTCAACCAAGCTTTCGGGAAGTATACTTGGAGTCTCCATGACCTTTCAACATGGGGTCGTTGTCCAACATGAAGGGGTCATAACCATACGCTCTAAGGGTCATGGAGACTCTAGGTAAAAGTGGAGCCAAAGGAAAACCAAGCGAATCGACCGGATCTGATTTCCCAGTGTTGGGTTCCCAAGAAAGAACCACCATGTTTGGCTTTCAGGCCCTCCCTATTTTGACACGTAATCGATGCGGCAAACATCTGGGCACCGTTTCGGGGGTAGATCGAGCGACAAGCCCTGATGCTAGTTTGTTTGCTTTGTTTGTATACAATAATCTTGCTGGTGCTCAGTAGAGATTGTGGGAATGAACCCAGGCGTCCCCTTAAAGGAAGTACAAGGGAGGTCATTCCCTCATTCCCTGCTGAGCACCAGATAATACTTTGCCCAGGTAGATGGAGGTGAGGGGACGGTGCCCTGGCCAGATGAGTGCGGAGGAGAACCCCCTTTTGTTGCGCCATGAGTTTTGGATGGACCGTTTAGTAATATCCGGGCTTTTTTTGGCGACTTTGATGTTTTCGCCTGGGTGAGCCGACTTCCCTTGCCACCATTTGGAGGGTGAATTTGAACCCAACTTTAAACCAACCCAACAGGGCGGGTACGGCTTTTCCGACCCAACAAAAGGGCCCTAGCTTTCTCAAAGGACTCCAACTTCAACTGATCCTTGATTGGCGAGCAAGCTGGTTTGTACATGTCATAACTTGTTGATTGGCTTCCCAAGTGGAGTTCACGTAACTGTCCAGTTACTGGGCCGAACACGCAACTAGAATCTTCTAGAGGATGTCAAATTACAAACAACACTCTCGTCAAATATGTGCGGACTTGCCTAAAGTGTAGAGCTTCCAACAGAAGGAACGGCCCTGGCTTCTGGGGTCCGATTCAACTTCCCCAATTTCAATTTCCCCACTATCACTTTGCTTTAAAACAAACTCGATGCTCATCATACCGTTTCTGAGCGTCGACCTTTTCCGGAGGACAGCCTTAGTGTCAAACGAAGTGTTTGGCCACAGGAGTTGAGTCAATTGAGTTTACCATATCCCGTCAAAGGTTATCAAGATGACTATGGGTATGTGTCACAATGAATGAATTCCCCAAGAAGCAGGGTCTTTATTTGGGTTGAAAGGGGTACCCTCAAAACGACACACACAGCCGTAATTATGCGCCCCAGACAATAATTTGTTTTTTTTTTTTTTTCCCCCAAGAGGGCATGGGGAAATTCCCTGAGCTGTGTGGAAATTCGGGCGTGCCTTTCATGTCCTGCCCAAGCCTTTGACTAGGTGGTTCTGCGACCTGGTGCTCGCAGATACACCTTTCTATCCATCTCTCACTCGCCCAAAACGGATCGACCGTTTAACCTGGTCTGGCTGGCGGTTGGAACGGAGCCAAGGAGCTGGGGGTATCCAAATTTTTGCGTTTAAAGAGGTAGCTAAGGAGCTACGAGAAGTTCTGACAGGAAGCGGAGTGTTTTTCTTCTCGGGCTACGACTTTTAGTAAAGGGGCCAAAAGGTGATCACCCTTAGGTCGCGGGGCAAGTGAGATAGAAGCAAAGCCGATAGGTATTCGACGCATTTCATCTTTTCTAGCGAACCCCCTTCCCCCCAAATATATATATATATATATACACACACATGGTGGTTTTCAGCTTTTGGTTTCCTTTAAGCCAACCCCACAAAAAAGCTACCTAAACCTCAAATGTCCCTGAACAAAACAATGAGGTATTGCGCCCCAAAACTATGGGGCGAATTCTGTTTTGTTTGGTAGTTTGAGGGTTTGAGGGAGGCCTCAAACGAAGACACTCTCAAAGCTTTCCGCCTTTGCCGTTCAGATGATGATGGAGTTCCCGTTGGTGGCAGTGCAGTTCCGGAGGTGGCCCATTGCATGGGAGCCCAGTGGCTTTCGTCTCAAATGGAAATTAAACAAGTTTGGGTTGGGTCCGTCCTTTTTTGGAGGGTACCCTTCTTGAGGTTGTTGGGTTCAAAGGAAAGCTACCCCAGTTGCAGACTTTGATGACCCAATAGAAAAAGCCGGCTTCGGATTGTAGAGAACTGTTCTAATCAGGGCTTTGCTGAAAGGAGGGGGACAGCAGGTGTGGACTGGGTGAAGCAGAATCCCTCTTAGTCACACGGTTCCCCATATTTCCTCTTAAGACAGTACCCAGAGAGACACTCCAGTCATCTATGTGGCAAAAAGGATTGCACAACCACTAAAGAAGAAGTGACATTTTGGGACCACTGCCTCAAAAAATGCGGATGCAGGCGCAAGATGCTGCTCTCTCCTCCATTCCGCATCAGCAGGTCAAATTCCAGTTGCTTGCAAGGGCCAGCCTAAACGTGACCTTGTTTTGCTTGCCCCGTAAAAGTGATTGGCGGCCCGCCAACCTCTTCTGGGGGATAGCGGATGTGCCCGAGACACCTCTGGGACCCGTTGCCTGGTTGAGCACCTGAAAGCCCTCGGGCCGCCTGGGCGGTGGTTCCAACCCAAGTCTGTGAAAGAATTCTTTTCATGCCAGGCCAGTCTGCCCGTTTCAAGCCCAGCTCTGCGTTTGTCCTCGTTCCCGCTGTGAACCCGCTGTTCACAGGGCAAGTCAACTTTGGTAATTATTTTGGCTGCTGTATGCATCAACCGAGGGTTTGATCCAGCAGGGTCCCATCATTTTTGCTATGGTTACCTCCTTGTTCAAAAGAATCCAAGCAAGTCAACCTGAAGTGGGGAAGCATCGAGATGAATTCCTCAGATGAGTCTGGTCCTTCGCTTTCAGTTGCTATAGTAGTCAACCAGAGGAAACTATCCATGGCAAAACTAAGAGGCAACGCACCTGTTCCAGACCACGCGCTCGGTGAAGGATTCGCACATGTCGACTGCTCAACGGAGCCCAAGTTGCCGTTGACGGGACCTCCCCCACAGACTTACTTCAATGTTCCTTGCCCACGGGCAAGGTGGTTGCAACCAAGGTCGCTGGTTGTAACTGGGGTAGGCTGCATGGTTACACCTGGTTGTTGCTGGGAAACATTTTACATGTTTGCCTAGTGTGGTTTCGCGGGAAATCCCCACTGAACTGCTAAAATTTGAGAATTTGTTTTGCTCCCCTTCCAACGTCAACCAAGTACAACTGACTTGCGAAGTGACTAAAGCATGCAAATAGGGAGGTTTGCTTAGGGGGACTCGCAGTAGACAAGTTTCTCACCAGGTTTTACCAATGGTTTCCCCTGCTTACCTTGGGTGCTCAACCAACATGGTAAGTAGGGTATAACATGGCTACAACTACCTGCAGCCAAGGAGCTTGGGGTATCCAAAAGAGGGAGCTTTGGAGCTACAGGGAGTTCTGGTTAGGAACCTGGTAGATAAGGGGACTACCCCAGTGAACACCTACTTCATGGTTGTTGTTGGGCAACATTCTACATTTTTGCTTATGGTGGTGTAGTGGTTGAAATCCAACCACTTAACTGCCAAAACTTGAGAAAATATTTGCTCCCCTTCCATCGCCAACCAAGACTTACCAGACGGTTTTTTTTGAACCTCGAAATGGCTTGCCCGCCTTGTGAACCCGAGGACGTCGCGCCTGTGAACCCGACCGCTGGGTCTTGTCGGCCAGAGGCGGTGCCAGGCGAGAGGGAGAAATCGCCGGCCGGAGTGTCTCACTTGAGTTCCGAGCTACGGACTTTACTTGTTGAAGCAGCGGAGAGGTGCTCCAAGAAAAGGGGTGAATGTTTTAGTTCTTGCTGAAAACTTTGTTGGTTACTTGTTCAAATGAACGGAGAGTTGCTTAAGCATATGGGTGAATGATTTCTTTTTTGCTGAAGGCTTTGTTGGTTCCCAGCCATCCAGTTCGTTTAGTGGGGGTAGGTCCTGAACTTTGCTTGTTCCTTCCCAGCCATCCGGTTCCTTAGCTTTTTGGTGGGTTGAGTGGTTGGGTTTCCGCATTTACCCCACAAGTTAAACTCTTAGTAGGGGATCTGAGGACAGCCCAATTTAGTCACTTTTTTTGGGCAGGCCATTTCGGTGGCTAGCAAACAGCTTAACCCTCCACTCGGGAAGTGGGGTGTCTAGTGGGGTGTCTATAGTAGATAAGCTTAGCTGCTTTGTGGTTGCCGGAACTTCGAAATTCCTCGAGCTAGTTGGGGATTTTCCACGGACACTTGTGCAATGTCAACCTGGCATTAGTAAATGGAATAGAGACAAGCAGGTGGCCAAAAACATAGTAAAGCCACCTGAAATAAGGACAAGCACCCAGCCCCCCCCCCCCCCCGCGCCCCGCCTTGTGTTGGACATTTGCTTTGGCTCCACTTCTGCCTCGACTTTCTCAACTTCTGCCAGCTGCTTGCACAGAGCTGCCAGGCCTCTCGCTGCTCTGTGCCAACAGGGCTCTGGCAAGGTGGCCACGGCACCTGCGGTTTGCCTCCCGTTGCACCTGCGAGTTCGGCTGGCAACTCTGAGGGAGCTGCGAGGGCTGCCAAGGCTCATCTGCCAAGGTGTCTCTGCAGAACTGCCAAGCTGCATCTGAAGAAGACCAACTACTAGCAAGGCCCAATGAGCTGGGGTGCTGGCCAGAATTGACACCATTTGTGCACCTTCCTTACCAGCTGCAGCTCTTCTTTCCACTCTTCCATGTAAATCTCGTAGGTGCGCTCTGCACAAGCCAGCTCTCCAAAAACCTCGTGGCCTGAGAACTGCCATCTGAGCAGGTGCCAGCTTAAAACTATGTGCCCCCAGCCAGCCCATCTTTGCCGCTGGCGCAACTACTTCTGTTTCAACTCCCAGGGCGAAAGCTGCAGAAATTCATTTGCTGCCTGCCAAGCTGTGTAAACTGCTTCCACACGGCTGCCCGCCTTCTTCCGGGAACTGTCTTTCAGCTGCAAGTGCTGCAGCTTGCAAGCCAATCGCACCATTGTCTGTGAATACTGAAGCTGCAGCTGGCTGCGCATCTTCAAAACTGCCTTCTTTGCCATACTGCAAGGGACCTGCTTCTTCATTGACAACTCTCACCTCCTCTCCTTTCTTGAAAGTCAGCTGCAGGTCCTCAACTGGGTCTGCTGCAGCTGTTTCGTCCTTGGTGGTACTCTTGTTCTTGCTTAATCTTTCCTTGCAATGGTGGCTTTCTCCTTCAAGGAGGGCTTTGTTTTGGCTGAAGCTTTGAGGGCAAAAGAAGGCTTTGTCTTCAAAGATGTTTCGTTCTAATGTTTAGCCCGTGCGTTGGCTACCTCGTGCACTCCTACCAAACCTCCCCCAAGCTGGCTACCTCATGCACACCTGCCTCAAACTCTTACCAAGCCTTTTTCAAGTTGGAAACTCAGTTCCAGATCTCACACGGAAGCTCCAGCAATACTAAATCAACTGGAATCTCAAGTCCACCAATACCGAATCAAATAGAAACTTGAGTCCAATCTTAAAAGGAAGCTTCAGCAAGACTAAACAAACAAACTGTACCTCGAGATGTGATTCTAGGGTAGGTTAAATTTGGGGGGTCCCCCCCTACTAATCCCAGGGAGGCTCTTCAACCCTCAGGACCCCCCTCCACTCCACACGCCTGGCGCCAGTCCAGGCGCCAACCGCATGGCCTGCCGCCTGGCGAACGCGAAGGCCTTGGAGCTGGTGGTCTTCTGCCGCGGGGCGCCTCAGCCTTCAACGACTTCGCCTTCGACGCCTTCGAGCGAGTTCCGAGGCGACGGGCTCCTTCCCTTCCGAGCTGAGGCCGAAAAAACCGGTGAAAGCCTCGCCCCCCGTTGCATGGGCGGGCGGTTGTTGGAAAACTGTGGAAGTTTTTTCTCTTCCATCGGAAGAAGATGTTTGTAACCCTGGCCCCGCCCCCCGCCCGGTTGCCTTGGGCGCCTCCCGTTGAGGGGTTGAGTGGGTTTTCACTTCCATTTGGATGGACGAAATCCTGCACCGATTCCCTTGGTACATACCAACAAACGTTATGGTTTCCCATGGTTCCTTAGGTGGTGCGAAATGATTTTCGTCCATCCACAGGATGTTTTTCAGAGGACCCCCTTTGTGGAGGACCTCACCACCAAGCCAGGCAGGAGTTTTTTTCCATGGCCATCCAAAGATGGGGATTTCTTATTGCAAGTTTGTGAGCAAGATGTTGCCTCTATCCACAGGATCCTCTTGTTTCCCCAATGTGCTTGGGTTTGTCTCATTCGGACATGGCCCCACAACATTACTGACTTTTTTCTGGTGTCCCTCAAAGAATTGGACAGGGCTCCCCAAAACTGACACTGCCCAAGGAAACCTAAGGACCCCCCGTTTGGACCCCCAAACCAAAATGGGATGGAGAAGGTTAGCCGCCCTTGAGGGTGAACCATTTGGATCGGAGTTTCTCCGGATCTGGGAATCGCCCGCCCAGCTAGAAAATGAACAAACATATCCAACCACAGAGCGCAAGCAATCAAGACAAGCAACAAAGCCACAAAGCCACAAAGCCACAAAGCCACAAAGCCACAAAGCCACAAACCCACAAACCCACAAACCCACAAACCCACAAACCCAAACTAAGCCCAGTATCCCCACCCCTTTAAAGTATGAGAATGGGGGAGGGGGAGTTCGACCCCTGGAGATCTCCATTTATGGTTGCATTCCCTATGAAGACGACTAGATAAATGGAATCGGCTCCACCAGCCATCCAACCCCCGCCACTCCCCTCCCCCGGAAAAGAATAGCAGGCAACCAGTGCTTTCGCCGAGGCCCTTGCGCCCAGCACTCCGCGACCATGCAGATCTTAGGCGGCGAGGGGATGTCTGGGGGTGGAAGCAATGCCTCAAAGAGTTTAGATAGCTTGGTGGTTTCCGGCGAATCGTCCGGCTTCTTAGCTTTTCAGGTGCTTTTAGTTGGGTTCGTGGTGTGGGTTTCTTCTTTATTGAACCCACTAAAAGTTAAACTTTCAGCAGGGAATCTGAGGACAGCCTAGGGTAGACTAAACTTTAGTGCTATTTGGTATCGGATCTTTGAACTTTAACTTTTAGGGAAACAGGGCATTTTCAAATTGCAGCCACAAGTTAAACTGCTTGCCGAGGGGTCAACTGCAAACCAAGAAATTCTAGAGTCAGAAAGTGAGTTGTGCTCTGCCACAGCCCTGTTTGGGACCCCTCAAACCCCCCCCACATACCCCCCTTGCGGAATGCGGGGATCAGTTGTTTTTTGTGTACGTGTGCGTGTGTGTTTGCAGGGTAGGAGCAGTTTTGGAGAGCAGACTGCAAGTTATGTCAAGTTATGTCCATATTTTGTTTGCCAGCGCACTCTAGCTGCAAGGGCAGAACTCACAATAAGCGGTGGATGGTTCCATCCATTGCAAGTAGGGCAACATGGGGCAAACCTGTAATTTGGCTCTTGTGCAACAGACTAAATGTTGCAAATAAGACAAGCAAAGCCCCAAGTAAGCTAACTCATGTACCTGGGTTGTGGGTAAAAGTGGTTGGTTCACATGCAACAGTGAAGGCATCCATTGTACCTTTGAACCCCTTGCTACCTTAATGCTTCAGCCTGCGAGCCTAGACTTGGACGCTGTGAAAGGAACAGAACTATTGCGGCTGGTTGCTGGGCTCCGATCAAGAAATGTTTTTTCCCTCAAGATGAAGAAAGGTCCCTGACGATTCCTCAAATCCGGTTTGTGAATTCTCGTGACTTGCAACCAGGTGTTTATCCTCAGTTAGCCTCTCTTTTTTTTTAAACAGAGACCTTCCTCAGGTTAACGTGCTTCAAGAAATGCAAGTTGGCAGAACCTTCTTTCCCCCCCGCCCCCCCCCCCCTCGCCAGCCAGCCAGCCTGTCAATTTGACGTCGAACAACCGTCCATTCTTTGAGGCTGCGGCCTACACGACAACATCCGAGGATTTGGCTGCAGCTCTCCATTTGTTTGGACCTAGAGTGGCAACTTTGGACTCCACCAGTAAACTGTGGGTTGCTTCAAGGGCCCCTGAGAAACTTGGTGGGTCGTCATAGGGTTTGGAGGGTTTACAGAGAGGGGAGCCCTATAGGGCCTGTATATTCCCATCTGCTTGAGAACATTTGTTTCTTTTCCTTTGTGGTTTAAAGGGAATCTATCGCAACTTGTTTGTTGAAACTGTGCTTTCCCGCCAAGCAGCAAAAGTTGTCAATCGTCTCAGACCGGTACCTCTACCACGATGCGGGAGCCGAAAGTTCTTTTTTTTTTGGAAAAGCCACACAGTTTGCGGGTGCTTTGTAGGGTTGAGTGAAACCTGTCCAGCGGGAGCCAGCGCAACAGGCAAAACGCTTCGGAGCACCGACGCGCCGCAGCCATAGCGGTGGTATCAAAGATTGAATGCATGAATGATACGGGGGTGTCTGAAGAATAAGAGAACCCTCTAAAGGGTTGCTTTCCTCGAACAAACCAAGAATCCATATGATCGACGGTCATAACCCGAATTGCCTGCGTTGGGTGGTTCTACCTGGTTTCGTGGGTAATACCAATTTGGGAGCTTACTTGGTGTTGGTAGAGATGGTCATGATCTCCTCAACAAGGATTTTCGACAAAGGAAACCATGACCATGACTTGTGCCACATTCGCCACACGCTTGGCTGCATGCTCCGTTAGATTTGTGTCCACACGACAAAAATCGTGTGTTTTTGAAGGCTACTTGAGTCATGGCAAACCCAAAAGTGGCTGTACCTTTCGCATTTTTCCTTCAGGGAGGTGCGCACGACTGTCGCAACAAAAAAAGCTGGGTCGAGACAGAGGAGTGACGAGTCATTCGGAGCAATTGGAGGGGTCATCCTTCACGGTCCGTCATGGCAATCCGAAGTGCTACTGTGGATGGTTGCGAACTCATGCATTTCGCCACCTAACAAACCCAACAGAATGTACCACCAGTGGATGATGAGCGTGCGGATCCACCGCCAGTCTTGCAACTTCTGCTGACAAGGGATTTCGGGGAGTGGTAGGGCTTTTGGTTTTCTCCCTCCCCGAGTTTCTGATTATTTTTGTATTTATTTATTTATTCATTTATTTTAACAGTTTTCGGGATTCAACAAATTTTGGTGGCGCACGAAGAGTGAGGACTTGTTTACAAGTCCCCGGGTTTCTGATGATAACAAAAACCATGTTTGGCACCAAACAAGTGCGGGGGGAACTTTTTTGGGGAGAAATCCCCCCCGACTCCTTCAGCGGGTGTCTCTCTGACAGCTTGGATCGGGTCCCTTCGAGCGGCGCGTTGAGGCCGTGGCTGGGGTTGACGGCCCATGGGAAAGAGACGCAACAGTGGGCGCCGGGCTCAGAACCAAAAGAACACTCGCCTGCATGTGGGTGTCTGTGTTTTAAGGCTGGTTTTCCTTTGGCGCTCAATTAAACACCACCGAAAAGGGACAAAGGGAAAAAGCAGCTGGTTTTTTTTACTGCACCCCCCCAGAAAGGCGGTTTTCCTTTGGCGTTCTTGAAACACCACCGAAAATTGGAAAAGGCGGTTTTTGTTCTTAGGTGACCCAGGAAATGGTGGGTTTTCCTTTCGCTTCCCCTTCAAACACGACAAAAAGGGGTACCCTCAAAACAAGGACACTTTGGGTTCCATGTGCCCTTCCTTGTTCTCTCGTATCTTGAGAGGAACGTGGGCATTTTGGCGGGTCTTGGCAGACGCCTCGAAATGGACTTGGGGCTTCCTTATATCCTCAACCACACAAGCCCCAGAAACCAGGTATGGGTTCTGGAGGATATGGATACTTACAAACAATACAAGCTTGTAAAGCATGTATAATATCCCTTATAAAACTAAGTGGTACATCACCAAAACCCATGCCTCCAAGACCCGTCCCTGGAAGTCCGCTTGACGTTTAGTCCTCAGAAAGACTCCGTGCTTGTTTACCCTACATGCCGAAACGTGCAAAACATCTCTTGGGCAGCTCCCTTGATTTGTCGAGGGGCAACCCCACTGCAATGATCCAGTCAGCACCCCTTCCCGGGTTGCCATGCAGGGCTTTTGCTCCTTTGGCCCAGTTCTAACAGGGCCCTGACTCCTGACAGGTGAGTCGCAATCAAAACCGATCGGTAAATAAATAAATCGGCCCAGAAGCATGCTTCAAGAGTTAAGAAGGCGGCTGCAACTACTTGTGGCTGGGATCGTCCCTTACTAACCTTCATCTACCCGGGTTTTGATTATGGCTCAGGTGTAGTTTCACCGTTGCACATGGGATGGTGGCGAGCGGTGAAAAAGACGAACTGGGTGAAAGAAGCGGTACATGATACTGTGGATGGACGAGATGATGTAAGCCACTTTGAAGCCATGTAAAGCCATTGTTTGTAATCTACAAGGGAACCGGGTTGCTTAGGTGCAGGATGTCGTCCATTCACAGTGGTCAGCATTTTCATGAATCCACCTCAAAGATGTGTGCACGTGTTCTTTTGTGAGAGTACCCTTTTTAGGTTGGCTTAAAGAAAAAACAAAACGAAAGAGGGGTGGCCTTTTTTGACACATGCCCAATCCAAATTTGACGGTTGGGGGCGAAAACGGCCACAAGTTCTGCTGCGTTGATTTGTCCGGGCCCGAGGAAGTGACGGTGCGACAGTACATAGACGGCCAGGAGATGGGACGGGCAGGGCTTGGTCAGGAGGGAGGTACACCCTGCTCATGAACCTCTTCTTTACTTTGTGGCTCCCAGCCATCCCCTTAGCTTTTTAGTGTTTAGTCGGGGGTTACATTTAACCCACTAAAAGCTAAACTTTTAGCAGGGGATCTGAGGGCGGCCCAGTTTAGTCCCCAGATTGCACTTAGAGGCTTACAATAGGGGAAGCTGCAAGTTCCCCTTGAGCATTCTTCTGTTTCCCTTGAAAGCTATGTAAGTATATGTTGGTCCTGCCCTGGGGTTCCCTTACTTTGGATGTTGGAATTCTAGAATTTCGCAGATTTGAGTGTGTGTGTGTGGTTTTGGGAGGTTGGCCCTGCTTTGCTGGTTTTACAGCGACACCAATATGAAAACCACACAATTTGAGGGGGACAACCTGAACAAAAATCATATCCGGTCTAAAAGGGGGCCGTTTGCCTCTCGTGAGTTCCATGGGGTTAGTGGGCAGGATATTTGTTGACCAGAACCTTCAATCACAGGTGTCGTTTTGCTTGTTTAGGTAGCAAAATAGATGTGGTTGTTTCATAATCTACCAGGGCCGTCTATTTTCACAAAAGGACACCTATGCCTTCAATATTTTACCCCATCCCCACCGGTAACGTGACTGAAAAGTCCTGGTTTGGTCGAAACAGGACCGTTCTAAGTTTTTGCAGACTCCACAACACACTGCACAACACACAACAGGCAACACACACACACACACCCATACGCGCACACACACACACAGACACACAAGCAATGAGGGTTGGTAAACCTCTACCGTATTTTATGGTTCATTTGGAACGGACATGCGGGACTCGCCAAACTTTTGAAAAAGACAAGGGGATTGCGTAAATTTCCAGAGTCCTCTTGGAAAAAAAACACCTGGACCCTGCATGGCTGGACTTTGGACTCGGCCAAAGGTAGCCCCAGGCTTTCCGAAAAACAAAACAGCCGCCGGTCACAGCCCCTGGGTTTCTATCCGAAGACCTTTGTGTTTGGAACGCGAACCGTCACAGATCCTTTCAGGTTTCCATCCCCCGAAGATTAATAAGCCTTTCTGGGGCGAAAGGCCAAGACAAAAGAGGCGCACGAGGCCAAAATAGAAGGTCTTACGGTTTGTGGGTGTCCGACCAAGTTAGTAAGTTGCTGCTAACCTAGGTTATGACCTAATTATAAATTTTCCTCAGTGCGGATAGCCTTGTTGTTAGGGGTTATACACCAAGTGGCTCACCACTTGCTATATTCGCAATGAACATTCAACTAATGGGAACCGCGGATAGATACACCCCTGGTTGATTTGACCGGGGGTGTTCCCTTTTGGAGAAGTATCACAGGAGGGCACACCCTCTATTAATGAACAGGCGTTCATTAATCTGGAGTTCCTGTTAGTTCATCTTCTCCAGCTTGCGATTCAGGAGGAAGTCCAAGACTTTGTCATTGCCGCCGTACTGGGGGAGAGCGACGTGCCTGGCAGCCCAGTCCCAGTGACGTTTCGAGGGTACCCCTTTTGTCTTGTATTAAGCCCATTATTAAAGGGACACCAAGAAGGACCATTGGGGGGGGTCCCTAAAGAAGTGCACACCCCCAAGATTGCAGCCCAAACGCCTCACCCCACCACATGTGGAGGTGTGTGCGTGTGTTTTGGAAGGTACGCTTGTCTTGAAGGGGAAAACACCAGGAGCCTTGCGTTGGGGGTCCCGCAGTTTGACATGCGCAGCCCCTTGCAATCTTATAAATTCTAGATGTATAGGGGCCGCACGCAATCGAGAAGCACGGGCCATGTCGGCTGCAGCGCTGCGGCTAGTCTACTAGAGGCCACCGTCATGACAGCCACAAACGACCCAGTCATTGTGGTGATAGTGCAAGCTTAGATTGTTTTCGAGCAGTGACACGAGCTCAGCTGCCAGCAAGGCCGACACTTGCAAATCCGTGTTTTGGTTGAACAGTTGAACATGCTCGTGTTTTCGCACCTGCAAACAGAGATCTCGATTTATTGCGCACTCGGCAGCCACAAAAGCAAACCATGCAAACTCTTTGTGATTTTGTGTTTTTGTTTTGGTGGGGCTCCCCTAGAAAAAGATAGACCCGATGGCTTCGTGGCTCACTGGATTTTCCGATCGCATCCACGGAGAATCGAATCGTCCGAGGGAGTGGCGCGAATCTGGGGCCCAGCGCCGCATCCGGCTACTGGGCAACGGGCTCATGCAGGCGGTTCGGGGCGCATTTCGTGGTTGTTGTTGGGAAACATTATATATATGTATATATGTGTTTTTCCACATTTTTGCTTGTTGTGGTTTAGTGGTTTAAAATCCAACCACTTAACTGCTAACATTTAAATGGTTGCTCCCCTTCCAACGTCAACCAATATTTTTTCGGGCCGTTCGGGGTGTGAGGGTAAGCCTGCTATTTACTCCGAGGACTTGTCAGCCAAGCTTAGTCAGCAGTCAAATATCCTTTCCCTTGTGCTTGGGTGCTCGGAAGCAAGTGGCCAGTTTGTAAGTGGTTACATGTTTTTTGTGCTCGGCTTGTCATGCCCGCCGTTGTTGGCGAAGGGAGAGGGCCGGAGGGTTGACCCCGTCAAATAGAAGCCAGCAAAAAGTTGGAATGTCTCTTCATCAGTTGAGCAACGGACATCTTAACTAGGGCTTATGTTTGACCTGTGGATTCCCGTGCGAAAACGAGTTGAATCCGCAGTTTTTTTTTACAGGGTTGGATAGTTGAGAGCCCTAGAGTTTCTTAGGGAGCCTTGCACCCCCAGAAAACTCCATAAACAATTGGATGAATTGTCGTCTTGGCCCCTCGGTTTCCTTAGGCACCATCAGTTCGTTGAGCGCAGTTAATGACTGGTGTTGAAGCACAAGTACCCTCCCACCATGGAACCTGACAAGGGATTCCTTGTCTTGACCATTGTCCTCCAAAAGGCAACCTCCAAAGGCAAAGTGGCTGGGAGGGCATCTTTTGTTGACGGAATTTGGTTTTGATGAACTCACCCCATTCTAACTATTGAAGCACGTATGCTGTTACTCAGTCGCCCCAAGCCGACCTTCTGGGATTTTGGTTTTCCAGGCTGGTTCAGTTGTAATCATGACCCCAAAAGGTTCACCTTTTACCCTCCCACACACCAACATGGAAGCTCCCGAAGGGACCTCGTCGGAAGACTTGGCTCCATTTACACGGGCAGCCCTGTTAGTCTGAGGGAGTGTTCAACCTGCGGTCCCCTGCTGGTTCAATTTTGTCCCATGCCAGAATAGAACTTTCCCTGCAAGGCTCAAAACCAAAGAACTCAAGAGCAGGTTCAGCGATTTCTGGTTTTTGAAGGGGCGACTGAGTGAAGTGCTTGACGCTGCTGGCTCGCGATGCCAGACGGCCAGGCCACGCTGGTGGCAGCAGTGGGCAGCTCAATACGGATGACGTCGGGTTGTGCGCAAGAAACGACCCGAAGGGTAGCAAACCGCCAACAGCATGTTGAACCCCCGAAATGGTCACTTCAATGGACCCGGCGTTTCTGTATCTGAACGGAGTTTTCGTTTAAATGTTGTTTTTCAACCATCACCTGTGGGGTGATTCATGTTTGAACTGGTGGTATGACAACAACCGCGCAACTCGACGCAGGGATGTTTTCTTTTTGGCTGCTTTGTTCTGCACACAACCTGGTGACCTCACAGAATTTGGTTTGCACCTCCCGCAGGGAACCCTTGTGCCGGGTTGGTGAATGCTGAAGATTGCTCATGATAGAACAATGAGACTAGTTGGGTGGCTTCAACATGCGTCTTGTTTGTTTTCAAGTTCTAGTCAAGTTGAAAGGCGCACGCGAGCAGCTCACAAAAAAGCAACAACACACACACACACACACTTTTCAGTCACGTACGATACAGCAGAATGGTTTAGGGGTCCTCTTTTTCAAGCAGAGCGGACGCTACGTACACGGGTTCAATGACAATCCCTGAAATCGAAATTAAGCAGGCACGCTGTGCTGGCCAAGCGCAGTATCCCACGCCGTGACCTAGCTTTGTTGCACGCAGTGCCCAGTTCCCCTCAGTCAAATGAAGACAAAACGGGTTGTGAACCCATCTTCCATGATATAGGAAGTTCCACACACACAAACACCCAAGCGCCCCTGTAGTATTTGGTTCTACTCCGCGGCTTGATTAGGAGCAAAGTAAAGCCATCCTAGTAGAAGCCCACAATTCAATGGGTGAAATGGCTCATGTCTGTAAGCGCAGGTCTCTAAGGCTACGTGAGTTTCTTCCATGCATGGAACGAGGTCTGAGGAATATGGTCTGATCTTTTAAGCATCCTTCAGGCCGGTGTACCCACCTCACTCTCACTTGTAGGGTTGACTCTACCCACCTCATTCTGACTCTCACTATAGGGACGATGTCTACGAGTAGATGGTTGCCAAGTCTTGAAAAGACTGCTACTGCTGAGACGGAGTACGTGGAACTCCTGAGTAGCTATTTGCACCCCGCATCATCCAACACTCTTGGGTTGGTGAAAGAGACATGAACAACGTCATCAAAGATTTGGAGTGTCCATGACCGGTCAAGCACAATCAAAACCCGGGGGGGGGGGGGGGGGGCCTTTTGTTAATGCCTGAGCATCGAAACCCGCCAGACGGGTTCGACTAAGAAAGGTGCAGTTTACTTGCTCAGTGGCCTTTGCGCTGCTTTCCCAAAGGCCCCGATGGAATTTTGGCCTCCGGAATTCGATTTTTGACAACCCTTTGTTTCCATGTCATACTTGTAGGATTGGTGGATGTTCAAGGGTCGCCCTTGAGGCATCTTGTTGTTGGATGGGGGGGGGTGGCGTCAATTTCAGGAGCATCTTCCAGTGGTTTGCAAAAAGCAAACACCGCGGTTACCCTATAAATTGTGAACGCCTGTTTGTCATGTTTGTGCTGTTGTGTTGTTTGGGTGTGTGTGTGTGTGTCAACCAATCAAGTCTAAATCAACAAAGAGCCAGAAAGCCAACCAGACAAAGATCTAGCCAAGTATCCAAGTTACGAAAACAAGCCAACAGCCAACACGAGCAATCAACAAGACCATGCCAAGCCAACCGACCACCACATTTGCTTCCCACTTGCCAGCCATTCACCCACCCACCCAAGAGGTTTCTTGCACTTGTTCTCTCAGCCGAAAGCGCATCGACTTGGTTTTCCAGTTTCGACGCCCACCGCCACCGAGATTTTCCGCAGCTCAGGTGGCCGGCCTCGTGCTGCTCCGCGGCGGCTTTGGCAGCGGCGGCAGCAGCGGCCCCACGGCGCTGGTGCCGGGGCTGGCGGCCACGGCGCTCTCCGTGCCATACCTCGCGTTGCTGTCGCAGGCCCCCTGGGTCAGGTTGACGCCATAAACCCCAGCTTTGGGGGGGTGGGAGGGCGTTTTTTGGTTTAGTCACCCCATATATTCTCAACCCCAGCTTGTTGAATTGGGGGGGTGTCCTGGGCTTAGTATTTGAGTTTAGTGGGGGAATTCTCACTTCTGGACGCGGGTACAAAAGAAGGGGTTCTTGAGAGGGAGGGGGTGTATTGGGGGGGGGGTTCTAGAGAAACTAGGGAGGCCTAGGGTTTAAATCCTGAATCCTGAATCTAAATCTGTGGATTGGATCCCATCAGCACACTTGACGCCGTTGGGGCTGGTCGCCATGCGCTCGCCCTTTTGGACGAGTCCCCTTTTGCGAGCGCTCCGGCGCCATTTTTCTGCCCTTGCAGGGTTGTCACTTCACCCAAAAGGCGGGGTTCCTCACACTTGGTGTTGTGGGGTAGTTGTTTTGTTCATATGATAATTCTAATCGGCTATGAAGTTGAGAGGGAATCACCGAACTCAAGTGGCTGGTGGACATCTCCGCCGAAATGATGTGCATTTCAGATCCCCTGAGTACCCTGAACTTTGCCAGAGACTTTGAAGACATCAACTGGCTTCCTAGGGAACGCTTGCACTGGGTTTCCCTTTTAAACCACCATGGGTGCAGCCTGGATCGAGGAAAGTTGGGTGTTAGCGTGTTTGAAGGAAACCCCCTTTCCTGTGACAAACCAGGTATGGGAATGCTCCACTTTGGAAGTCAACTTTCCGCAGCCATCAATCAACCTCGTTGTTTTTCAAACAAGGAACCTTTGTCCCTTGGTTTTAACCGGGGGAACCCACGTCAGCAACCTCTTGGGCCTAGCCGTGTGGCTGTGGGTCAAAACCAATGGGATCCCATTTTGGGGTAGGTGCACCACCCATTTTAGAACCTATTTTAGTGGGGATTGAGATGTTCACCGGGGGGTAACCGGGGTTTCGACCCATGGAATCAGCCCCTGGTTTTTCAAAAGAAGGAACCAAAAACCACTTCAAAAACCACTTCAAAAACCACTTCAAACTTATGTCCCTGGGAAACCACTTAAAAAACCACTTCGGCCACGCCGTGTCCTTCCCAGCCGTGTCGCCGCAGGCGTCAGCGCCCAGTCTGCTGCAGTCCGCCTTCGGCTCGCAGATCTTCTCGCTGCGCCCCGCGGTCGCCTTGGCGCAGGCGCGAGAATTGATCGAGCGAGCGATCGGCCGGGGGCACCGGTGGGGGCGGGGGCGGCAGGGTAATGTTGACCCCATATTATTAATCAACCCCAGTTTATCAACGTCACGGTTGTTGGGAAACAGTTTAATTTTACATTTTTGCTTATTGTGGTTTCATGGTTGTTGTTGGGAAACATCTCAACATTTTTGCTTATTGTTGTTTAGTGGCTGAAATCCAACCACTGAACTGCTGGAATTTGTTTTTTTGCTCCCCTTCCAAAAGTCAACCAAGTAGTATGAATCAACCCCGGTTTATCAACATGGTAACATGGGGGTGCTTCTCCCTGGTTTTCGGGATTCATCACTTTTGCAGGGGGAACCCCCATGATTTATTAAATTGGGGTTGATTCCTCCGGGGTCAACATTGCTTGAGGTTTGGTACCTGGGGGCGGGGGGAAGGGAAGGGGAGGGGGGCTTCTGGGGGTGAGGGAAGGGATGGAGCCCAAGCCTTCAGTAAGGCCTTGCTGGCTGGTTTTTTTGGGCTTCCCCCCTCAACCCTCCCTCAGCCCCTAGGAGATGGGCATCTCACTGGTCGAGTGACCCTGTGACCTTTTGAGTGGCAAACCAAAAGTTTGAACAGGGCTCCTTAAAAGATTAGCCTTTTGCAACCATTTGAAACATGGCTTGTTCCACCAAAATAAAGGGAAACCGCCATTGACAAGGCGATGTTCAGGTGTATAATGTAAGTATCCCTGTTGAACTTCTTTGGGCCAATCCACTCAAGAAGTAAGGCATTCGGGACGCTTTGCTGGTCATGTAGCTGGGGATTCATGCCCACCACTTTCACGGTGGCTCCCCATCAAACTCATAGCCCAAATAAGAGCGACGTCACTTTCTTGGGGTTTGCGATGCAGGCTCCTTTGATAGGGATCCCTTGTTTGCGGTTGGTCAATTTTACGTTTTGTCTAGTTAGTACATGAGTCAAAATGAAAACCCGGGTAGATGGAGGTCAGTAAGGGGCAATCCCAACCAAAAACTGGTTGCGGCTGCCTTCTTAATCCCTTACATGATTCTGGGTAGATCGTTTTACTACTTTTGATTATGACTCACATGAGGTCCTTTCATAGGGATCCCTTGTTTGCGGTTGGTTAATTCTACGTTTTGTCCAGTTAGTACGTGAGGTTGGGTCAAATTTTCCAGTGTTTGTCCTGCACCCCACAGCCACGTTTTTTGGTGCTTGAGGCCATGTTGGCGCTGCTTGCAGTGCTGGCGCTGCATGGCTATGCTGCCACCCGCTTCCTTCAGGCGATTGGATCGATGGGATCGGTGGGATGCGGTGGGAGGTCTGGGAGGTCACATCCCAGGTTCTGAAACTCGGCTTGGGATTTGCTGACCCTGGGGTTCAACCCCCATTAAAACAAAGGTTGACCCAATTCAGATGGTGACAATCCCTAGGTAAAAAATGATGGTTATATGAACCCCCATTGTTTTAATGGTGGAATGAACCCCAGGGCTTAAGAATGTGGGTCTGTCTTCCCAACCCGACCCACAAAGCTCAGAGAATTCGGTGGCGCGGTTCGCCGCACGTGCCTCATTCACGCTGTTAAAGCTTCTTGACTAACCCTTGAGGATTTCTTTGGGGTGGCTGGCAAGTGGAGCCGAAGAACACAATCCAAGGATTCTATCGCACTACCTCCCAAATGACAGGTTACATTTTGGTATGGGTCGAAATTAGACCACCAGGATATACCTATAAACAATTTTCTGTCTATATCTTTGCCAATATACATTAAAGGGAATCTGTCACGGGACATATGTTCTCATCTGTCTAGCGTTTCTTCAGCAACTGGAGGTTTTGGCTTTTTGTCAATGGTTACCAGAAAGCCTTCACTCCGTTCACCTGAAGCCGGGAAGCGAGCGCCCTTGGCCCGGTCAATCGGTTCCCGTGAATCCAATGGCATTCCTGAACGGTAAGTTGTGGTCATACTGTGGATGGACTAAGTCCTGCACCGCTTCGAAACCAGGGAAACCATTGTGTGTTGGTATTTACAGAGGTATCTTGGTTGTGCGAAGTGGATTTGGTCCATCTACTGTATGAACCCAAGCATTCTTTTAATGGTGGTAACTAAGCCCGGATTTGAGTATAGTTTGATTATGTTGTGGAAAAACCAAACCCAACCCGGCCACCGAATACTCAGAGAACCCACAAACCAACCCCCCCCCCAAAGACAACCCCAACTCTTATTTGGTGGCACGTTTCGCCGCACGTTTCGCCACATTAACCCTATCAAAGCTTCTTTGGTAACCCTTGGTTCTGTATGGGGTGGCTGACCCACAGCGCAGACATGTGCCACATATATTGGGCATCGGACAATTTTACTGGCAGTCTGCTGTTGAGAGGACATGGGGGTAGGTCGGAGAAAACTAGGGGCCTACCCAAGTTACGCCGGATCCGGGCTATTCACACCTTGCCCAGGGCTATGGTCCTGGTCGGGTTGATGAGTCGCATCCAGTCAGGCCAACCAGAACTTCCTCCTCCAAGACGACTTTCCTCAGCGCAAACATAAAAACCTCAAAAGTGCGGTAAGGGTGGTTCGGTTCCCTAGTTTGATACTGAGAAACCATGGTTGAAACCATAACTTTTGTTGGTGTTTGCAGGGGACCCGAATCATTCCAGAGGTGGTGCGAATGTATGTCGTCCATCCACATCCGTAAGCCTTTCCCTCTACTCCAAGAACCTTTTATGTTACAGGTTAACGAAAATAACCGGGTTCTTCGCGGCAAAACCCGGGTTTGTGAAAAATATACAAACATACGGGTTTTGTATGGGTGTTGTACGTGCTTTTTTTAAGAGCAAAACCAGGTTTTCCACTTTTGGGAAGTAACGGGCTCAAAACCAGGTTTGTTGTTTGCATCCGTTATTTTTGAAGGTTCTTGGAGTAGAGGGTTACAAGCATGGTAGAACCAAAAGTCTCGTGTAAACCGGGCGCTCATTTGGTCGGGTTCGCTTCGTCAGCCGAAGAAGAGCCTCCTACCAGGATTCGGTTGGCAATTTGTGTGTTTCCTTCTGGTGGGGTGATGCTACTGTGGATGGACGAAATCGTGCTCCACCCAAGGAACCCTGGAATGATTTGGCGAAAATACCAACAAACAATGGTTTTTTGTATGGTTTCAAAGTGGTGCAAGATTTCGTCCATCCACAGTAGGTTTAATCGGGAGCCCTTGTCAGCTCGTCCATGTTCTGGCCTTGAGGCAGATTTGGGGTTGGTCGCCGGATTTGTCTGGGTTTTGAAGAATGACACGGGAGAGCCCCACAACCAGTCAAGGGTTCCCCCCTGGATGCTTGGATGTTCTGCCGGGTGCATGGTTGGTTAACCTTCACATGGACTTTATCCCGGGTCCCGACCCATCTGAATTGGGGGAACGGGCGGATTTCGACCCCTGGAGATCTCCATTGAATCCAATTTCCCTTGTCCCAGTGGATGCATTTGCCGGAATAGTAGGCAACCAAGGGAACCGCCCTTTAACAAATAGCAGGAAAATACCTGGAGTCTCCATGACCCTCAATGCGTCCATGACCAAATCCTTTATTTTGGGTAATGACCATTTTTGATTCGGGTCAGATCCGGAGACTCCAGGTAGGTTACCTAGGGATCCACTAGTGGTGCACTGGGTGTAGACCAGGAACTGGACCTGGGTGAACCCATTGGCCGCGACTGCGAGGCCAACGGCCCTGGCGCCGCAGAGGTGATGCCACACGGCCGGGCCGCCGGTTGGTTCTCTCCCCAACCGTTTGGTTGGAAACCCCCCTACTAAAACGGGTACCAACTTTTTTGGGGGGTTCCTCCGTTATAAGGTTGGGAGGTTAGAATAAGGGTGCCAACTTTTTTGGGGGCGGGTTCCCCTACTAAAATAGACTACAGAAAAAGAGTACTCTTATTCTAACCTCGCTACTGGAGGACCTAGTTCAGAAGACTTGTTAACCCTTGAAATGCCCTCTGCCACGGAATAGTGGGTGTCATATTTGACCCTCAAATGACCCCTACAAAATGGGTTAATGCAACCCAAGACGATGGGTGGTGAATGCCTTTTGCAATTGTTGTGTCTGAGTAGTTTGATGGGTCCAGGTAGGTTGTATTCTCCCTTGCCCTCGTTTTGAGGGAAGGGGCTAAAGCAAATGGAAGCTCGGGCTCCCCCTTTTAGAAACGGGGCACTTATACGTGGGTAGCCTAGGTTACCTCACTCCCTGACATGGACTTCAAACTTTGTGGAAAGAAAGTTCAGACTTGTTTTGGCCAGTCCACTCGATAGGAAGTGAGTTACTGTTACAACTTATAAAGTTGGCGAATTGATGTTCACTGTTGGAATGTGTTTAGGTGTTTGGTTGCTTTTTTGGTTCTGCTCATTTACTGTAGGGCTGCAAAAAGCAAAGCCAGCTTTTGAGCCCATACCAAGGGTTGTAAAGCCTTGCCCGAGTGGCGTTGGGTTGCGACAACCCATTTGTAAGTTAAAGCTTGGCGTTTTGGTACTCCACTCAGGGGACTTCTCAACCTGGAGTTTCCTTCCGAGCCTTAAAAATGGATGATTTTACTGCACAACCGCAGCGCCAATGGCGGCGGCCCCTGCTGTAGAAATGGCGGGTCACCCAACCGCTAGTTGGTGGTTTGGATTGGTTTGAACGGGTCCCTGGTTCTTGTAGAGGACGCGATTGGGGTTTCTCCCTCCGACTAACCACCAAACAACCGTTTCGGCGAACCACCCAACAACTATAGGGAAGAAAACAAAGGCAAGCATTTGGCCCAAATTTGGAGGACAAAATGTGTGGTAACTGCCTGGAGTCTCCATGATCCTTAAAAAATGGTTGGTCATTACCCCAAAATAAGGAAATGGGTCAGGGACCCATTTTTTACTGGTCAGAAGGAGACTCCAGGTGCTTGGTTTTAAAATGTGTGGTAAAATTGCTTCATTTTCTAGCACTTGGGTTTTGGAGATATCACCTGTGGCCCATTTGGCTGTTGAGTCCTCCAAGCCCATGCCAGCGTCCAAAACACGCAGTGCCCCAGCGCGGGTCCAGCGCCAAAAGCATCGACGAGGTCTGAGCTTCGGCGCCTGGGAGCTGCGCGCGGTGACCTACTTGGCCCGGGCGCCCGAGGATTCGAGGATGGATCGAGTGATGCGAGTGCCCCGTGTGGGTCTTGTGCGCGGCCAAGGAAAAGGGGGGGGAGGGGGGGGGAGGCGGGGGGGGGGAGGGGAGGGGGAGGGGTGGGGGGAGGGGAGTTTGAAGAAGAACCACAGAGTTGGCCATGTGGTTTGAGGGGAAAGCGCCTCACAAGGTAGCCGTACCCATCTTGCCCATGCCCAACGGATTTTGTTGTCCAAGATGTTCCTAGATGTACAACACTTTTTGGGTCTGAACCATAGTGGTAAACAAACAGTTCGGACTTGTTTAGCCGATCCACTCGGTCGGAAGTGAGAAAGAAGTCCCCAATTTAAATATTCCTAAGCCTCAAAAATGCCAACTTATAGAAGGGCTATTGCAACCCAAAGTCATGGTTGCTGAATTCCTTTTGTTGTGGCTGCTTAGCGGTTCCCAGCTGTCCGCTGGGCTTCTTAGTTTGTTTCGGTTGGTTTAGTGGTGGGGTTTCCCATTGAACCCACGAGTTTTTCACAAACTTTTAGCATCAGCAAACGGACAGCCCACTGTAGTTCTTCTTGCTGGTGCTCAGGGAAGCAGAAATGGAACGAACCCAAGCTTCCCCTGAAAGGAAACCACCAGTTGGATGGGGTTTAAATCGGGGTCATTCCATTTTATATTCCCAACCCAGAAATCCCCTGAAAGGAAACCACCAGTGGCATGGTTTACATCGGGGTCATTTTATTTCATATTCAGCTAGTCTTTGGTTGAAAACTATCCAACAAGTAAGTCTTTGGATGACCAGCAAGTCCTGTTGTTTCACATTCCCTACCTATCGCATTCCATTTCATATTCCCAACCCAGAAATTCCCCACAAGGAAACCACAACGGATGATTTCTTTAGTGGTCATTCCCACATTCTCCACTGAGATCTTTATAGGGGTCATTCCATTTCGCATTCCCAAGCCACAAATCCCCTGAAAGGACAAGGGATGGTTTATGGGGGTTATTCCTGCCTATCGCACCGATCGCAAGTCTTTCCGTTCCAAACGCTGTGAGGCTGTGCCTGTCTCCGCCGCCGCGGCGAAGATGGCCGCCTTCTGCCACCCCTCCGCCAGGCCGACTCGGGGCGACGTGGCACCGGTTGTGAGACCCGCCTTGCAGGTGCGGTGGATGCCACCGCAAGCCGCGGATTTGGCAAGTAAAGCAACTGGACCCTCAAACTGCCTATAAAGAGAGGGAGTTCGCCCATTCCATGATGTTGGGTTGCAAAAAAATCCCATTTTTGAGTTGGAATATTTTGAGGGTTTAATTAGGCACGCCACAAACTGTCCAGGGGCTTCAGCGGGGGGGGGGGCGGGCGAATGGTAAATTAGATGAAGCTTTCCAGGGGACTTCCTTGTACACCCATTTGGGCCAGTCTTTTGTCGGGTAGGCGGTTGGGTTTGCCTCTTGGGTTGTCCCTTCCGTGGATAGTCTCTCAGCTTGCCAGTTTTTTTCTTCTGCCTGGACCCTCAAACTTCCAAACAAAAGGGGAATCCGTCCCGTAATTTAGGGGGCGGTAGCCCATTTTTTGAGAGGATGTTGAGGGGTTAGGTAGGGGTGCACTCCCCATTTTCTTCAACCATTGTTCTTTATAGGAGTTTCCCTGGGTGTGTTGTTTTTCTGCAAAGAAGGATCTTTGAAAAGAACGATGAAGTTAACCCCTCGAACTACAACGGCAGTCGATTATCACTAAACAACCCTTTCCGGGATGCCAAGATGGATTATGCGTGTCCTACCCCCTCCCCCACCAAAAAAAGAGAGAAAAGCACAAGAAAAAGAAGAAGAAGACGAAGAAGCAGAATAAGCAGATTAAGAAAACACGCCAGGGAATTTAAATTCGCTTGGGGCCCGCAACTGGAAGCACTGACTCGACTTGTCCCTAAGGGAAATCCAAGGCACGAGGTGAGTTGAGTGAAGCACCAGGCCGTTTGTTCGGGGTTTTGGGACTCCCATCAAAACCAAGCGTGGGTGCATCCCGCACCTCCTCTTCTAGGTCCCCAGCAATTGGTGCCCTTTCTCACCCCTTTTTTGGTTGGGAGGGTTCCCCTACTAAGATAGACTACAGAAAAAAGTTGGTACCCTTATTCCAACCTCTCTACTGGAGGACCTAGTGCTTATAACCACGGAAATTCACCAATTCCCTGCCAGCTTTCTGGAGCTCGTGGTGGGCCTTCTGGGGTGCCTCATCATGCTGGGCCTTCTGGCGCGGACAGCCCAGGGATCGATGATCCACTTGGGACGGGGCGTTCTCCCACAAAACGGAGCCTGGACCCTCAAACTACCGAAAGAAGGGATTTCATCCTATAATTTTGGAGCAAAAGCGAAATGTTTGAGGAAATTCTGAGATGGTGCGAAAAAGCCGAAGCAAAAGGAATCAGACCATTTTTAGAGGTTCGCCATTTTGAGAAACACACAACTTTGGTTTGCACGAAATCAAGCGTAAGCATTTAGACACGGGCCCTTCAAGCATCACCCACCAAAAGGACTCCCTGTGTTTTTCGCCCCTTCGGGGTCTTCATTGGAGGGCCAGCAGAGGGGTCAAGAGCAGCCAGGTAAATGGCGAGTGCTGTACCTGGGATCAGGTCTCAGAATTCCTCAAGTCTCGAGTGTTGGTCTTGTTGGTGTGTGTTGTCCCCACAGATGCCATCCGCCAAGCTCCCAAACCAAGGGCGGTTCGTCTTCTGAGGGCGACCCCTTTTTTTTTTGGTTGGCTTAGGGTCAAGCAGGTCGGTGACCCGCCCCAAAAGGGAGCGGCACAAGGCACCTGAAAACCAGACTCTGGCTAAAGAAAGCCAACAGTTGGGCGAAACGGTGAACCCGAAGTTGTTTAAGCAGGAGATGTGCAACCCACTGGATATTGAACATGTTGTTATCGCCAACAGGAGGTAGAACAGGGGTTTGCCTCACCCTGCTGACCCCGGAGAAGTAGTTGTGGCAAGAAGGCGTCTGCTTCCACCAACAAATGTCTTCCGGATTGCCTTGAACACGGGTTGCGACCCAAAGCAAATCAACAAGAATGTTAATCCTGGGCTTCCACTCAAGGGCACCCACATGACCAACCGAGAAGTGTTCAATTCACGAGGTAGCACTGCCCTGGGATTCGCAAACGACCATGTAAAAAAATCGTTGGGTGAATATAGCCAGCATTGTGTATTGTTCAGGATGAGCTCATCATCTAAATTGGGTCCTGGGCAAGCATTCCTTCAATGGGGGCAAGGGTTGAACCCTATTGGACCACCCATCTACTGTTCTTTTTATCACACCGTGACTAAGTTTCCATGTTGGATGCAGATAAATCCTTGGGCGTTTGAACTGCCATGATTAAAAAAGGGTAACCACCACCAACAGTGGATAGGCAAAGTTCGCCACCGAACTTACCATGTCGGGTCCAACCACCCACCAAAAAGTGGTGGCCATGAACCGCCACCGACTTTTTCTCGGGGACCCCAGTAAAATTTCTGGGCCCATACAAATTCCGGGAAGTCGGTGGTCGTCTTCCCCCACGTTGGGCTCGAGGCGCTCCCTTGGCAGACCATGCGCAAACTCCGGGAGCTGTTCCAAGAGTCCAAAGTCATCTGCCCGGGGCCCGAAATGAATAGGAGCGCCGTGTTCCGAGCCATTTTGGAGTGCCCGGACCCTCAAACAATCCACTAAAAGAAGGAATTTACTCCTATTTGTTGGGGGCAAGAACCAACTTTTGAGGGGATTTTGAGGACCCTCAAACTATCCACCAAAAAAAAAGGACTTCACTCATATTTTTGTTGGGGGCAAGAGCCAACTTTTGAGGTGATTTTGAGGGTTTAGGAGCGTTTTCTTGTAGGACGGTTTACAATGGCGCAATGGTTTTTCCTCTTGGTTTCAAAAAGGCACCTCAACAAACGACACAGCCATTTGGAATAGATGGGGACTCGCACCTTGAAACCAGCAGGCCCCAAACCAACCAGAAGCTCAAAACATATGGTTTACTGTTCCATGGCTTGAAATGCAACCTATCACGGGACGAAGCATCCAAATCCTATCGCGACCCCTATTGACCACTCATAGGCAATGAACGGAAAATCAGGACTTCCCCCTTTGGTGTGTGCATTGTTTTAGAACTTGCTTGATAGCAATCTTCGATGTGCCTTTCATAATGTCTTTTTATGTTCCCTTTGGTTTAGAGGAAATCGATCAGTCCAGAGAACTTAAGCAAATGCTTTATCTTTGAGACCCCACTCCTGGATTCAAAGCAGCAAGATGCTGGGCTTAGCGTACGTATTGATCCTCATTTTCCCGCTCGGTCTTCCCCGATGATACGCCCGGATTGAGAGGGCGTCACTTGAAACTACCCCCACCAACAGCGGATTGCGACAAAGTCGGATCAAGCACTAAAACGGTCGTCCCGTTGGTGGCGACTGTTCGGGGGCCGCGGCCCAAGTCACAGTGGAACTGTCAATTCCCACCTGGGGCGGGTTTGCCACAAACCAGGGGCAATTATCCCTGAGATTGAGAGGGCTGCAAGGGTGATTCAGTTCCCACCTAAAAAGCGACACCCCCTTGATTGATCATCCAAAAGGTAGCGGGACCCCAATCCCATCCATTTTTAGGAGGAATCCTCTTTTGGGGCGGACCCCTTTTTGGGTCCATTTTGGTTTTCACCCCTCTTCCATTTGCGTTTAAAGGGAATCTATCACTACTGGTAGTAGTTTCTCATTTTTCCAGGGGACTTTGGAAAATGCAGGTTATTGATCAACCAGGGGATATTGGTTTCGCATGGGTGAGAAACCGGAGAGAGAAAAATGTGATTCTCGCCCCTGCGGTCCCAATTTGAGGAAGGACGTAGCCCGCAAGTCCTGTCCAACGTTTCTCGGGGCGAAGCATGTTGTGTGGCTTCCACAATGAGTTGGAGGGGAATAATCAAAAAGGCGTGTATGAATCGACAGTCCTCCAAGATTTTGTTCAACATAGGGTTGACTAGACATGAATATGAATCAGAATCTGAAAGCTTTAGTTTTGGTTTAGCCCCACGGGTCAAGGTAAGTCTTTCAGCACGGCCCAGAAGGCCCCAGCAAGGCTTCCGCGCCGAGGTCTGCAGCACCCAGATACGGGGCACCTGCAGTACGTGGACCGGGCCAAGAGCTCAGTGAGTCAAAAACGTGACACCTCTCCAGGGGTTGATTCAACCATCTGGTTCTTTTGAATCAAAAAGATTGTTTCCTTTTGGTTTCCCTCCAAACAACTACCAGCGAACAGGGGGTTCACCATTCTAAGGGAGGATTCCAACCATTCTTTTCAACCATCGTTCTTCTCAAAAACCGCATCCGTTTTCCCTGGGATTCAAAGAAGGTTTCCTAGAAAGAAGGATCCCTGGAAAGAATGGGGAAGGTACCCCTAGCACCGCGGCCCGCACTTTGCCAGGGCTTGCTCCCCAGGGGTTGCTCCCCAGAAATGGCTCCCCAAAAGTTGCTCAGACGACCGCCCCTAGGCAAGGTTGACCCATTTCGAAGGTTACACCCGGTTACATTTTTTTTGGTGCCCATTTCCAAGGCTTAGGGACACACCAGACCCACCAGTGAAGTTTGGCCGCCCAATCACCTGCGGTTGCCGGCGATTTCCAAATCGGAATCCGCGCGCCAAATCGGCGCGGCGCCAGGTCTGCGACCAGTTGCACGCTGTACCCTTCAAGCCCAAGTCCCGGCGCGCTCGCCGCGAGTTGAGAGTTGAGTCGAGACGAATCTAAGGCAGGCGGCCTGGGCCTTTGTTGGTTGCGAGCCCTTTGTGTTTTTTTTTTGTGGGGGGGTCGGGCCTCTTAAGAAGGAGCCACCCAAACAAAACGAGTGCCAGTAGGTGCCAAGTAACTATGATTTATGTGGTTTCCCCAAAAAGAAGTGCCAATTATTTTGTTTGTGTGTTTTCCCCCCACGGCAATCCATTGGGGGTCAGGGACAGAATTTTGTTGCCATGTGTGTTGCCACTGCTACAGGTAGTGCTCGCAATCCTTACCTCTAAGTTTACGTAGTAGTGTCCTCGGGTTCCTAAAGCCATCACTGGAAGCATTGTGTTAGGTAGCGAAGGGGTTGCCCGCCCTAACGCCGAGAGAAACAAAGCCCTCATTTATACCTACCTTCATATGAGCCATGGTCACTTTGGACTGCTTCCTTTACTTGGGGTTAACGGGGATGGTCATCCACCGGGTAGTGAGAATCTTCAAAAAATATCACAATGCAGGGAATCGTGACCTGCAGTCCTCCACGCACTCGCGAGCCCGCGGATCGAGCGTCTGGTTTTCATCGCCGAGCAGGAGTGCGCAGAAGCCCAAAGTGGTCACGGTCCAGCTGATTCAGCCTCCTCGGGAGGGTCTGAAAGATCGGCTGTTCGAGCTGCACTGTCTGTCATCTCAGTTCCTATCCTGACCAGGGGTCAAGGCGATGCAGGCGTTGGTCTCGCAGCTCAATTGCCGGGGCCTTCAATGGACGAATGGAGCCTCGGATGTGGAAGTCGGGGATTGTGCCAACGCCAAAAAATGGTTCCGCGGAGAGTCGTGCTACGTGTGTCGAGACGACCCCTACACGCAGCGCGCGTGACGCACTTTGCCCGAAGAGCGAAGAAAAATATATATATATAAATATATACTATTTATATATATAAGAGAGAAAGAGAGAGAGAGTGAGAGAGAGAGAGAGAGAGAAAAAGAGAGAGAGAGAGAGAGAAACAGAGCGAGAGAGAGAGTGAGAGCGAGAGAGAGCGAGGGAGAGAGCGAGAGAGAGCGAGGGAGCCATGACCCTAGGCCATATCAGGAGCTTTGGCCATGGCACTTTCTTTAGCAGTTGCAGTTCGGCGGGATCTGGGCCCAGGTTGCTGTTGTTTTTTGGCACGCTGTAAAATCGGGAGCCCCCCCACTTCTTTTCGGTGCAATAATGGGGAACTGGATTCACAATTGGGGGTTTTGTTGGGGCGTGCCAGTCCTCTACGGTCCTTTTTTTTCGTGTGGACCCCTGTTTGATCTGTGCCGGCTAAGGACGAAGGCTAGTGGAACTATGGGAAGAAGCACCTGCTTCAGCTCCTTTTCGTAGGTGGTTTCCATTAAGCCAACACTATTTGGGCCATTGCTTTTTCTGGAGAAATTGGGAGGGCAAGTGGAGGCTATAGCCTAGGTCACCAACAACTAACGTGACCAAGCATCCCCAATGTTCGATAGGCAGGGAATGAGTTGGAATAACCCCTATATCAACCATCCCTATATTATGGTTTCCTTTAATTCCCTACTGAGCACCAGCAAGGATGTGGCTATGGATAAAAACCAATGGTACCATTCCGTGGTAGGTGCACCACCCATTTTCGTCTATTTGAGTGGGGATTGGGATGTTCATTTGGGGGTACGATTTGGATTTTGACCCATGTTTCTATTGCTCGGCCCAACGAGACATGATGGAGCCGGGGGCTCCGACCCAAAAATCGCCCGCCGGCGGGTTGTTGACTCGCAGGCTCCTGGGCAGCTGGAGCGAGTCCTCGAGCTGGCAGTACAGCCCACCCGTGGCGCGGCCCCGAGGAAAGTCGATCGGTGGCACCAAGATGGGCACAGGTTGAATTTGGTCCGTACCAAAGGGATTTTGACGTTTTGCTTCTTTTTTTTTGTGGGGATTAAGCCACTTTGTTGTTGTTGTTTCTTCCTTTTTTTAATGTGGGGATTAAGCCACTTTGGAGGGGCCCGGCCCCCCCACCCTAAAAGAGATGGGCACTTTTTGCGTTCAGTGCCAGGGAAATTGCAACAAACCGCCACCCATGTCCTTGACCCTTTCCGATCGCTGCTTTTGGGCTTGGGGAATCCTCAGCCATAGATAACCATAGCACGACTTCCAGTTGCTTAGGCATGTGGATTTAGGTTTTCCTATATTGGTTTTAACGGGCATTTGTCACTGGACATAGGGTGGGCGGGTCCAAACACAGATACCCAAAATCGAGCTGGAGTCTCCATGACCCTACACACATGGTTGGTCATGACCCAAAATAAGGGGGTCATGGACCATTTTTAAAGGGTCAGAAGGAGACTCCAGGGAACCATTCTACCATAGGAGTGTGGATTTAGGTAGGGAAACCTATGTTGGTTTAACGGGAATTTGTCACTGGACATAGGGTGACACCCAAAATCGACCTGGAGTCTCCATGACCCTAAAAAAATGGGGTCACCCAAAATAAGGGGGTCATGGACCCCATTTCTAAAGTGTCAGAAGGAGACTCCAGGTAGACACACGCGGATAGATCTACATGAGGCCTCAGCTCTGGACATATGGGGGGTCAAACATAGACCCCTTTTCACCGGGCCATTCTTTCCCCACGAAAAGGACCGGAGACCTCCGTCCGGAGACCTCCGCTCGCTCGCCTCCGCTCGCCTCCGCTTCCGCTCCGTTCGGCTCGAGGCGACCGTCCGGGACTTGGAGTACCGGGGCACCTGCAAGGAGCGCGCCGGCGATCCCTGGCCGGAGCCCCCGGCCCCGAGCGCTGGAACGCGCTCCGCGCTCCGCGCGTTCCGCCGAGCCGCCGCTTTTCCCGGGCGGGCGGGCGGAGAAAACAAAAACCTCCCGGCCGTGGGCTTCTTGGTTTTTGCTTTGGGGGGGGGAGCCGCAGGGGTCGGGGAAAACGGGAGAAAGAGGGTCATGAACGGGGGTAGCGCCAGGTTTGGGGCAGTCATGTCCCCCTGGATATTGATATCTTCTTCTAACGATGGGTTGTTGCTCAAATTTTTGGGGTGATTTCCGTGAATTCAGGGTGCATATCCTTGCTTCGACTTTTCTTGGGGGAGGGGCCCTGAAAATCAACCAACAGGTGGGTGCTAAGTCTGTTTTTCCGACGGTTCTGAGAGAAGGACCCCTGTCTCAAAGCACAAATCATATGTTTTAAGGTTGACACACGTTCAAGGGAAGAAGGAACCCAAACAAGTGCTTGTTTTCAACTACCACACTGTGAAACACAATGGAATCACTCGGCTTTGTACATATGGAAAGGTTATTTAGCTTGAAAGATGGTGCTCTGAGGAAATATGTTTTAATTCAAGGTTGGCGATATACCAAACAGAAACAGAGAGTATTTTCTTTGGTGTGCCCAGACATGAGCCAATGAGTGCGTCTTAAATTGTGGAGTCACCCCGCCCACGGCGGTTTTCCCTTTATCTGCGGGTTCTCAAGAAAGACGCACCATTTTCTGTCCGCGAAGCATGGCTGAACATTCCTTGTACGGGATGGTTAGGATTCGCAATCAACGGGTTTGCTTCCCTTTGACAAAAAGAACGCGCAAACAACAGGTGATAGGCCTTTCGGGCAAGCTTTAGGAGCTTCCCCCGGATGATTGACACTATGGGGGCAACCGAGGCTGGAATTTACCAGTTGTGTTTTGTGTGGCAGGCGTGGGATGGTCAACTATCATGCTCTTTTTGTTCCATGGAAAACTCCGCTGTCTTCCCTACGGTTGTAGGTTGGGTTTCCGGTTCAAAGCATCCGGAAAGGGGGCCCATGGAAGAGCAAACGAAGGCGCTCGGCAACGACCAGACCACAACAAGCGGTCGAACATGGGTGGCTTGTTGAGGCTTGCATGGAGCATTTTTTGGGTTGGTTTGAAGGGAAAGCAAGCGGAAATCGTTGTCATGTTTTGGGAGTTCCCGATTTTGTCATGGACCCAAATCTGAAATTCTTGCCAAGACACCGTGGGTCGCTGCCTTGAATCGACCAACCAAACAGCCCGTTCTTTCTTTCCCACGGGCTTTTGTTTTCCTGGCCCAGGACAAGACCATTTTAGCGGTAAACAAAGAAATGTGTTTGGGCCAATCCACTCAGGAAGTGAGGCTACCTTGGCTACAACCTACGTGGGAACATCCAAGTAAGTAGCACCCCAAGAACCCCAAAGTTTAAAACCGTGAAAGTAGACGGCACCATTCCAACCCATGGGAAGAAGTTGTCCCCTTACCCAGACGCGAGATGTGGTCCTACATTCCACCAATAGATTCCTTCCTTCGTGTGAGACGTTCGAAATCGCCGATTTTCTTCCATTTGCTGAAATGAATGTGTTTCCTAAATTGTTAATGTTTTGCTGTTGTGGTGTTTTGCTTGGAAGCTATGACTGGACATATTTTCTCCTTGGGTTGTTTAAACGGAATCTATGCCTGGGAGTCGTTTCCTATGACTGGACCGTTTTGCAGCAATCACATTCGGATCTGAGGGACCGCACTTGGTCCTTGGGGCCCTGGTGTGAAGAGCTCGGCGCCCAGTGCCGCTACGTTGACTCGGTCCCCCAGTAGTGCCTTTCTCTCACCTTTTTTGGGGGAGGGTTCCCCTACTAAAATAGAGTACAGAAAAAACGGTACCCTTATTCTAACCTCTACTGGAGGACCTAGTTGACTTACATCTTTTTTTGTCCGTCTTACCCTCCCTCCAACTAACATGGCACCTGACAGTGGGTCCCTTCAGGAGCATTGTTTTAAATTTACATCCCTGACATGTTTAATGTTGACCCCGGATGAATAAACCCCTGTTTCTCAATATGGGGGTGTTCCCCTCCAACAGTGATAAATCCCCACTAAAACCAGGGACACCTCCATATTAATAACAGGGGTTGATTAATCCGGGGTCAACGTTATGTGCCTGTTTGGTTGGATCTTTGGACTTGGACTTTTTGGTTGGGGCAGTGGGGTTGCCGATGGACTCACGACAAGTTAAGCTTATAGCAGCCCACGAGAGGCTCCTTCCCCGAGTTTCCCTGAAGTATGACCCTGATACAGTCCGATTGGGCCTTGTGTGGAGGAAACCAGGGGCGGGGTTGAAATTGCGGAATATGATAACTCACCTGAAAATATGGGACCACCCTCCAACTACCTGTTGAATTCACCCCACCTTGTTGGGTTGCATACTCCCGTTTTTAACGGGAATTGTGTGGGTTTAGATGCCCTCAAAGAAACAAGCCACATCCAAGACGTTGGAGTCTAAAGGTCCTGACCCGTGGCCTTCGGAAGGAAGTCGATCTTGAATCCGCACAGACTGTAAGGGTCTAAGCTTCCATTGCCTTAAGAGTGTTGTTAATGTAAACCCTGTTGATTTTAAAGGGAATCGATCACTAATCGCAACACATGTGTTTTGTTTCCAGGGGACCCTAAACCAGCTGAAACAGTAGATTGGGGTTGTGGGGTGTTTTAAAGCCAGATTCAGTCATGATTGAAGGGGTGTGCTTTGCGTTTCAGTATGTTGAGCCTGTTATCATCTCCACCCTCCAAGCGTATGGAAGAAGGGGGGAGGGTGCATACCTTTTCCGTGGACACACACAATCTCTACAAGGCAGTTGAAAAAAAGCGATGCGAACTGTCCACTGTATTTGTTGGGGCCATCCGGGCCGCACCCACTTTTGAGCTCCAGAATCATATGAATACTCAAATCAACATCTCAAAAGGAAGCTTCAAAAAACTCAAACGAATGGAAACATGGACCGAAGTTCTGTTTGGAATCCTTCTGGAGTTCTGGAATTATCATTCCCAATACTCAAGTAGTATTGCCCAACACTAAAGTAGACCTCTCCGATTGTTGCAGTTTCAGGAGCTGTTGTTTTTGGGGAAAATAGTCTGAGCCGTTTTTCAAGCAGTTGGATGCGGGGGCCGCGTTCCTCCGGCGACCGGTCCTGCCCGTCCTGACCGTCCTGAGGTCAAGCAATCACGTGCGCACGCCCATCTCCGAAGGAATGAGGCGAGCTTCGGGCTCACTATACATGTTTCTAGGGGACACTGCCCCATTCTTTCCAGGGATCCGTTTTTCAGCAGAATCCAAGGATAAATCAGCTGGTTTTTGAAAATAACGATGGTTGAAGAATGGGGAATCAACCCCTAGAATGTTTGTGTGTCTGTGTGTGTGTCTTGCTTTTGTGGGTGCCCTTTCAGGGTTGCTTTGAAGGGCAACCAAAGAACAAAAACCACCCTATTTTGGAAGCACCCCTGTGTTTGATCGTTTTTTCAACCACCCGACCTCTAGGGAGGCCCTAATTGTTCCACAACTTACCTTGCCGGACTGAACTGCCCCTTGTGGTTTTCCTTCATTTGCCCTTTCAACCCGCAAACAGTATAACGTGCGACAGGAGGGTCAAGATCAGGCTGGCCCGATTTATCGAGTGTCCTCTTAAGAAATCCATGCAAGGAAGTTGTTTGAGGAGAAAACACGGGTTTCCAAAAACGATCCCACACCGACCATTGACTCCTCAGTGAATGAGAGCAACCACACAAGGAGATGTGGGTTTTGACCCAACAGTCGTGCTCAGCTAACCCTTAGTTGATGATTTCCTGGTTCTTGTAGAGGGTAAAGGGGCAATCCTTGACCTCCAAACCACTGATCCGGCTCCAAACCACCCTTTCTTTACCGCTTTGGCGGGGGAAGCTGAGTTGCTAAGGGTAGTTGCTTCCATTTGCTCAAGAACACGTATTGTTTTCCATGTCATGACAATTCCCTTCACCCTGGGTGAGCACATTAGACATACAATGCAGCTGGGGGAACAACAAAAAAGGAACTTGGTCTCACTTGCCCAAAGCAAATCGACCTCTGGACAGTTTAGTTTCCCCTTTTTGGGTTCCCATTAAACTTTTAAACGGCTAACCTCTTTTTTAGCTTTCCCTAAGGGGCAACTGAGTGGTTATTCGCCAACGGTTTGCATCCACACAAAAGCTTCGCGATTTGACAGGCTGCGCACAACGTCCCTGGATTCGACCTTTAGCAGCTGCCTGAGAGTTGGCGGAAGAAGGGGGTCGCCCTGCTTAGGGTCGACCTTTTTTGTTTGCCCAAGGGCGGCTCTACTTTTGCTTGCCAACTGCAAACAAGCGCGTTTCCTTTGAGGCCGGAACGTTGTTGATTGTTTTGGGCTTTGTGCCTGCAAAAAACATCGCCCCCATGGCGGCCCCTGGCGGCGTCCCCTTCTGTTTCCTTTTGGGGTAATGTTAAAGTGGAAACTTATTCGGAGCCCTTTTAGGGCCCCCCTCCAACTAATCCACGATTCTTCGAGAGCCAGGGTACCACGGAGACTCCGGAGAGCTTCTTTCACCTGGGATCTCCCCAGGTGCCAGCTTTCAGGTTCCTCGCCCAAGGTCAGCATCGGAGTTCGGAGGAATCCCGCATGAAAGATGGTTGATTGGAGGGGAGTTTCTGGAGTTCCATTTGGCTGTGGCTCAAGAAACCGGTATTCCAAAATGGCTTGCCCTGGTAAGTGGAAACATGGAAACCAAAACCTGCGGTTTGCCCCTCCTGTTTATTATTGAGCCACACCCATTTAGGTAGGGAGGATCCTGCGGACTTGATGCAACCCAAAGTTTTCTTCAAATCCCTCGCGGAACTTCCCTCTTCTGGGGTTACACGCAGACCGTCCTGTGAATCGGGTACGATGAACCCTCCTGGATAACGCCCCGCACCGCAAACCCACCGGATCCACCCAGCCGTCTTTGTTGGGGAAAAAGGAGGCAGTTTGCTTTTTCCTGGTGTGTCCAAACATGAAGGCGAAGTCTCAGGGTCGAGTCCCTTTGATTTTCAAAACAAGCACAAGAACAAGTTTGCATACGGATGCTTCCTGAGCCATGAGCCCTAGTCACTAGTCTTGGCTGAGGTTTAGGGGTGAGAACAAGTAAGCAACTGATGGCCATTGTTCCGCAAAATGTCCAAGCCAGAAAGGACCCCTGCCCCTTTTCTCATTTAGCCTTGTTTTGGCTGTATGTTTACCTGAATGAGGTTTACACACCCCTCAATTGGGGCTTGGGACCTCTTCGGTCCCTTTGGGGCTGGATTTTGGCTGATCGCAAATTTAAGGTTTGGGAATCGGTGGTCTAAACCCTCAAAGTTCCCTTAGAATTTGGTTATTGCCCAACATCATGTCTAGGTCCCCCAGTAGTGCCCTTCTCTCCCCTTTTTTGGGGGAGGGTTCCCCTACTAAAATTGACTGCAGAAAAAAGGGTACCCTGGCTCTAACTTCTCTACTGGAGGACCTAGATGTGGAACCCCCTGTTTAATGGGTAGTTTGAGGTGCAGGTATCTATTTTTTTGCCAGAAAACGGATCGCACAGGGAACGTTGTCCCTGGCACCGGTGCGACGTGTTGCTTTTCCCGAGGTATAGAGCAACCCCTCATGCAGTCTGGGAAGTGGAAGCCGGTCGGCAGCCCAAAACCGGCTTTTGGGCTGGCCAGGGTCTCTAAGGGAGTCGCATATTTTTTGGTAGACGAAATATGTTTGATCTTTCCCCCTTAGGGTAGCCCTTTTTTGTCGTTTTAAGGGGGAACCAACAGGCAAACCACCATTTTGGTGCGTCCCTAAAAAAAACACCGATATGGAACAGAGGCAGCAATTGATGATTTTCTATGATATTTCGGTGTAGTAACCAGTGTTGTGGGCCAATATGCTTACAGTTGAGAGGGTTGTTTTTGATTCCGTTTCAGAGGGTTGTCAAAGTCAGCAAGGGCTGCTTTCCTGTATCCTTGGGGTGACTTTGATGATGATAAAATACAGAGGCCACTTGAATCCTTGGACAGTTTCTAACAGGCTTTGCCCTACCCCCACAACCACGCAAACAATTACCAGGACCAAGGGAAGAATGGGGAATACAAACATAATCTGGAGGGGGTCGATTATAGGAAAGGTTAGAGTTGCACTTGGGTGAAGAGTAGAGTTGATGTTTTGTCCGAATAGCATGGCACTTGCAGGTATGGGTTTTGGAGATATGGATGCTTAGGACCACCAACACAAGCTTGTACGCAGCGTTTTTTACCCCCCATGCTTTTAATGGACAAAATCCTGCACCAGCCATGGGGAACCATTGTTTGCTGGTGTTACAGGTGTCCATATAGAGTGGTGGTATTGCTCTCTGCAACCGCTGCTCCGCCCAAGTTCAGTTCGGGAATTCAACGAGAACACCCCCCTTTTTGTTTAAGGGATGGCCATGACAACCAAATCAAGTGGATCCCAGCTGGCACGAAAGTGGGTAACCAGCCATTGTCCTTTTGGGTTTTAAAGGGCAGTTGCCCACCATAGTGGGAAATGGAATCACTGGGAAAGGGTTGGTACGGTTTTTGCCAATGGGAAGTTGAACGGTATGAATGAAGGTCCTAAGATTTCTCGCCCGATGGCCTTGCACCATGCGTCTTGGGGCTTCCCATTGAGCCATGATGTCTCACGGTTTCCCGAGTCTACAACACACACTCCCATGTGGGGTTGATCAAAAGGTCCTTGCAAGGAGTTATGCATTCGGTGACCATTCGTCTTGGCTCAAATCCCTCCGCGAAAGATCGGCGATGGAGTTCGCGAAAGAAACTTATTTTGTTCGCGAAAGATTCCGCGTTGGATTCCGGGAGGCATGCCTGTGCACTTACATATTTGCAGACCCCGCCCCCTTTTAGACAGGGAGATACGCAGCACCTACACTTGCATTATTGATTCCTTGCCTGTGTTGGGAATGGTGCAACAAATAACGTTGGCTGGGCTATTTTGGGGCAAGTTTCGCGAAAGATCCGCGACAGACCGGCGAAAGGCCAGGGAGCTTGTTGCAAGGTTCCGCGCATCGCCGGCAAGCGCAAGGGGCAAGGGCGAATGACGGTGACTGCTGGCGCTTAACACTACGTACTGCACGCAAGTGAACTGCGGCTACCGTTTTTGCAAGCATAACAGCAGCAGCCACAATGGCTCCAGAGCGCACGCTGCAAACAAAAGGGCGTGGCGATGGAGTCGCGAAAGATTTGCGAAAGAAGCTTTTTTTTCTTGCAAAGATGGCGTTTTCCGGAAACAGGAATATTGATCAACTGCCATGTAGGTTTGTTTTTTGAGGGTACCCTTTTCAGGTGGGTTCAACCGGAACCCAAAACAAACACCACCCTTTCAGGGTCCCGTTTGGTAAGGAGCTGATCTATTTTGCGGGGTTCTTCTGACTAGTAGTTCCATTAAGTCTTATTGAGTCATTGACGACTCCATGGCATGCTGCTCTACGAGTGATGGCGATGGGGTACGGAGCTGTCGTCATTGACCAGATCGAGTTCGATTCGAACCAGAACCAACTTCCTTCCTTCCTTCTCCTGCCTTCTTGTTTTCCGAGGAGCAAGATGAATTGATATCTACTATGAGACGCAGCTCTTCACGCAGTGGCTCGAGCGTGACTTCTGGGAGGTTCGATGCGGAGAATGTGTCCAGCATTCATCACACGCAAGACGCTGTACTTGAAGATGTCCGGCAAGGTCCATTCAGCCTATTGGTGGGTGTCGGGTGTGTGTGTGTGTGTGTGTATGTTGGCGGTTGCCCTTTTTAGGCATGTGCGCCTGCGTGTTACAAAAGACAACCATGTTGACAAAAGTGTCGGTTACCAAGGGACCCCCAATGGGGGGCCGATTCCCTATTCCCAATAGGGGCGAATAGCGGCTAATAAGAGTTCCTGGACTTTACGCCACTTTTCGGGAAGACCATTTTAGTGGTATAAATACAAAGTTTGGACTTTTCTTGCGGGGAATCCACTCGAAAAGTGAGGCGAATAGGGCGAATAGGGTTCCTTTTTGGGGGTCCCCTCTTTGGGCCCCCCCTGACAAGTGTGGAAAACTGGACCCCAAGACCTCCAGGCACTTTGAATGGTTGCCACCTGGTTTGGAGAGGACAGTCCTCCAAACGCGAAACGACAAAAACCACAGGGACCCGGGAAGCGAATCATTTTGTTCGCCCCATCAATCTAGAACACGAATCAACTTGTTTTTCTCGCTTGAAGGAAACTCTCTTCCTGAGATAGAAGACCATAGTGGTGAATGACAAGTTTTCGTACTTTGTTTTGGCACATCCACTTGAAAGTTAAATATGTGAGTACGGGCTCCAGAGGGTTCAATGCGCATGTTGCGATGGGAACAGAGGCGGCATGTGCCCAGGGGCACGCAGTTGTGCTAACCAGGCAATTCCCGTGATGGATGGTTTCCCCAACTAATGCGCGCTTTGCACCTCTGACCAATGTGGATGGAGGTGAGAACCCGTCTCATGGGGAATTTGTCAACGAGTTTCACTTGGCGAAGCCTAAAACCAACCTGAAGGACAACAAAACATATACACCCTACAACAAACAATGGAGCCCTACAAACATGGGGTTTGAACAAAGCTCCTATGCATGGGATGACCACTAGCAAAACCCACTAACAATAATGATTTTCTCGTAAGAGAAGCGTTCCCTATGGTCATAAGATTGATCAACCCTCATGTTGAAGCCCAACCCCCACACAACCCCTTGACAGTGAGAGAACAGCCAAGCGAAAATCGCCTGCACCTCAACAGATGTATGCTTGACAAGCCGTTCTTCTCCACGTGCCACTGGTTGAACTCGGATGTGTTTTCCGTTGTTTTCCTCACTTCAATTTGTCAATCACCAAGAAAGCATGGTTTACTCGTGGTTTCCCTTTTACTGGCTAATCAAAACATACAAGATGGATTCACCAGCCCGTTCTTCCGTGGGTGTTTGCCAACTCTTTGGGTTTCCCTTTGAATCATCTACCCAAACCCTTACAACTCCCCCATAAATCATGTTCGGTGAATTCCCCCGTTTTCCATGGGTAGTGTTTTCGGGTCCGGGGACAAGTCCCCACCAATGTTTTTGTGATTCTTCCGGGGTCCCTGGTGACCCAGTTGAAATATCCCCACCCCCGGTAAATATGGAATTGGGGGAGGGGGGTGACCCCTCAAATTCCCTTTATGGTTCCATTTCCTTTGTAAGGGCAAGACTAGAAAACTGGAATTGGGGACCTCCCGCTGGTAGGGGGGATCTTGAAACCTTGTGCTGCTGCGAACTGCCCCAAGTCCAGGCGCCCAGCCAGAGCTCCTTGCTGGGCTCGCACCCGGTGACGGTGACCACGCCGGGAGACCGCGATTTCGTGAGGTCGTCTCGTTTTGCAAACGTTTCGCCCCGTAAACTTACCAGCCTAGGTCCCCCAGTTGTGCCCTTTTACCCAATTTTGGGGGAGGGTTCCCTTACTATCGACAGCAGAGAAAAGGGTACCCTTATTCTAACCTCTCTACTGGAGGACCTAGATACTGTGGATGGAGGAACTCCTGCACCACTTTGAAACCATGGGAAGCCATTGTTTGCTGGTATCTACAAGGGAAATCATCAGCTCAGGGTTTCCGAGGTGGTGCAGGAGTTCGTCCATCGACAGCACCAGTATGTCGTCAAATTTGGGGACCCCATCAAAGGGTTGGTTTCCTTTTGGTTTCCCTTTAAACCAATCTAAAGGGGTGGTTTGGATTGGTGGTTTGGAGATTTGAACCCTAGCCTCGCAGAGGGTAAATGGGAAGCCACCCTTAACCTCCGAACCACCAATTCAAAACGATAATTGGAGGGAAGCTGACACAATATGTATATGGATGTGGGTTCTCAACATGGTCCCATTTGGGACCTCGGCATTTGATACCCGGGCTAGACACACCATAGGCGCAGAATAGTTGCTCGTGTTCTTCGCTGATCGCTTTTACCCTGTCGAATTGCAAAGTACCCCGCAAGCGCGTTCTGGATGCTGGTAGCTGGACCCTTGTAAAAGTAAACAAACACAGACATATATATATATATATAATATAATTACAAGTTGTTCCCCCCGCATTACCCCCTCAAGGCCTCAATAAGACACACCGATGGTGCCATGCACTCGGAAAGCACAATCAGCCCCTGCGGTGGGTTTCATTTGAGAGGGACGGCATATAGATGTACTTATGTAAATCGCATATATATATATATATACATACACACATACACGTGTATATATGTATGTATGCATTTTTGAGGGCTTGTTGGGCTCAGCGTGATTCTGTTTCATTCTTCTTAGTTTCAGTCTTTTGTCCCACATTAGCCTTGTTTGGACACGTGTTTGCATTCTTTGGGCTTTGTAATTGCACATGGTGGTTCTCAGCCATACCCTTGGACACTTAGACTTTAAGATCTCTCATTCTACGAACACAGAACACATTTCGCTAGTTGCTTCAAGCAATCATCAACAGACCTCATGGTTTTGCGCTATAAGCTAACGGCTTCCCCCACTAAGCTTACAGTGGTTGGTCTTGGTCCGAACATCACAGCCCCATGGCCTAGGTCCGGTGCTTCAGAAGGGGCAAACACCTTGGCTGGGAACTGCCGAAACGGGTATATCTCAAAATCGGGGGAGGCCCCCCCCAAGAATGCGTTTTGAAGGAACCCACCAAAAAGAGGGTGCCCTCCAAAACAGCCGCCCCTCCCTCCCCAAAAAAAGGAAGAAATATGTCTTCTAAGGAGCCAATCAAGAAAGGACACCCTCCAAGCACAAGCACAATCACACAGACACAGACCCCCCCCGGCCCGCGCGCGCGCTCCATGAAGCGGGGAACCGAGGCGCTTCGCGTTTTCCGGCCGCTTCGGAGTGGCCGGCGTGGCTGGGCTGCCGTGGCTGGACGTGGCCGTGCGCGGGGCCTCGGGCCGAGGGAAAAACGCGGAAGCGGAAGCCTTCGGCGGGTGGCGATTTTGCGGCAGTTGGCTCGGAGGTTCAACCGACTGAGCAGGTTGTAGTCATGGCATGGTTCTGAGCTACCCCCCCCCCAGTTGTAACCATGGTTACCTATACATCAACTTGGTAAGTAGGCTATTGCCATGGATCTAAGGGGACAACCCACAGTTACGCCCGGTTGTAACCATGGATGTGACCTACTTACTAAGTTGTTTATCCAAGTGGATGTTCAAGCCACAAGGAAGTAATGTTGACCCCGGGTCTGAGCAGAACCAGTGCTGTTAATAAACGAGGGACTAGGGGTGTTCCTCTGCAAACGTGGTCGGAAGCCCTACAAAGGGACCACCCCACTATCAATCACCCGCTTGGGTGTTCCATATATGAACCCATCGCCAGTTTGGACCCTTTGGCGGCTGATTTCCCACAATTTAGCCACAACTCACGGTGAAGTAACTCATAAACTAGGGGTTCATATATGGAACTCATACATTCAGCCTTTGAGTTAGGCCCCGGAGGACCTGGGTTATAGTGCCCTATAAGGTCAACAAACCACTTAGTACTTAATAAGTAGGTTACAGCCTAGGCTAGCGTGACAACTTATGAACTTGGCGAACCGAGCAACCAAGCAGTGCTTGGGTTCCCTGGTCCCCAGAACTCCAGGTGCCAGAGCTCCGCCCGGTCACTAGGCTCAATCAACTCCAGCCTTGGGGTGTTTGAAAGGGTCAAGCCAAAGAGAGGAATGGGGTGGCTTCTCACCTACTGCTCTTGGATGTTCAACCAGCTTAGTAGGCTATGACCATGGTGATAACTTGGGTAATTAGGGTTAGTCCCCTTAAAACCACGGTTACAATCTACTCCTACTGACAACAGTTGGTTGAACACTCAAGTAAGTCCTTTCAAGAGTTTAACCTAGGTAAGCAAGTTGGGTTTCCCACTCAACCTCCAAAAGGAAAGTTGGATGGGTACTTACTTGCCACTGATTCAGAGGTTTCCTTTAACATGCTGAAGGAGACTCTGAGCTTTTCCGGTGATTTCATGAGCCTGTGTTGGAAGCCAAGGGGTTCAACATCTAAGAATGCAGCAGGTTCCTCCGGAGACTTTCTCCGAGCCTGAAGCAATGACCTATCAATACCTCAGTTGCGCAAAGCCGACCTTTTAACCTTTTGGTTTTCCCGTTTTGGTCCATTTTTAGTGGAGGTGCCAAAAGGTTAACCTTTTATTTCTGGGTCCTTTGGGCAAGTGAGATACGCGTCAATCTGTGGTCATTGTGTTTGCTCCTTAAGCTTGGGAGCTTAAGATTGCATGATTACAAAAGCATACAAACCTACCCTTCCATCCACTAACATGGAAACTGCGGGTGGAAGACCAGGTTTCCCTGAAAGGTAGCCTTCGGCGGGGGGTTCCATGATAGACTTAGGCAGAAGGGTACTCGTTTTCGAACACGGCAAAGACGGATCGGCCCCGTGGCACGGAGAAAACCGTGCTTGTGTGTTTTTGTTATTATATGTTTGTATGTAACTTCGGAGAAAACCCGGACCCCACTCAGAGGTCCCCCCCAGAAAGATAATTCCTTATAAGCAGAACCCCTGAAAATCGTGCGATCCTCCCAATTCCGAAGTTGAGCTTATGGATGTTGATGGTTTGCACTACCCCCAAACCGAAGCTACACAGGCGCAATCATTCGGATGTACAGCCATAGCTACAACAATATACCCCGCTTTCGCCATCTCGGTAGTCTGTGGCTTGGATAGCACAAAAGAACATTAAGCCGAACGCGCTTTTTACAGCTGCACTAAACCACGCTATAGTTGTACAATATTGGCAAAACTAGCACGTCGTGAAAAACATGGATTTCCATTCCCTGTGCCAGTTGCCCATTACAGTAGGCAGGCAACCCAAAAGCCATCAGGTAAAACTGAGAGCCATAGGGCCGTGGGAAGGTGGCGAGCAATTGCCGCGAATTGGATGGACAAAATCCATTGTCGCCAGTTGGTAAGTGGTTTCTCTGGTGTTTTTAGGGTTTCATCCATCAAATCTGGTGCGAAGCCGATTTCGCCCATCCACCGTCACGTTGCTGCAATGGCTCTTGCCAAGGGGGGTTTGTATCAGGTAAACTCAGTTTCCCAAGGCTAACCTTTTGACCTTTTTGTTTCTTATGTTTTGGTCCAAATGTAGTCCAGGTCTCGAAAGGCAATCGCCTCCTATTTGCAGGTCCGAGCTGGGCAACAGAGAAAGGGAAACAACACCATCATCTTTGGCTTTTAGGCCCCTATGTTGACACATAGATGCCACCTGAGCTTGCTCAAAACCTGTTTTTTGTTGAGCAATCGAGTGACAGTAACATGTGTCCTTTGGGCAAATGAGCAAAACCGACTTAAACTTTACCCTCAAAAGGCCAACTTAAACAAGGGTGATTGCAACCGAAAATTATGGAATTGGTGAATTCCATGTTTCATGGGTAGTTTGAGGGTTGAGGATGGTTTGAGGGTTCGAGGGTTGAGTTTGAGGGTTTGAGGGTTGAGGGTCCAGGTCGAGGTTTTCAAGGCAGAAACCGTCCATCGATCCATCTCCGAGACCTGCGGACGCGCTGAAGCAGATCGAGCAGTGCATGGCCAATATCCGGCTCAGAGTCCAGGCAGGTCGTCTCGTTTTTTTGGTGTGTGTGTTTTAAAGGGAAACCAAAAGGACAAACCACCATTTTGGGGCTCGCCGCAAAAAAAAGACATAAAACATCCATGGTCTTTGTGTGAACGGGTTTGGTGCGCTTCTATGTTTGGGAGGGGGGGTAACTTTTTGGGAAGATGGCTTTTTGAATCAACACAAGCTTTCGGTTTTTGCAATAGCCACCAAGATGGAGGTTTGTCAACATTAGGGACCCTTTAAACAGGATCCCCTCGAACAGGCAGCACGCAAGCAAACCGGCACCAGGGTTGTAAAAGTGGCTCCCATATTTTGGCACCCCCTCCGCCAAACATGGGCAAACAGTTGCGGGCTTCATGCATCCCAGAGTTTCCTCTTTTAAAAAAATGAAGAAAAAAAGAAGAGACATGAAAAAACACATTTTTGTTTTTTAAATCAGGACCTTAGGGCCTTAGAGCTTTTGCTTCTTAGGTTCAACGAACTCGGGGACGACGTCATGGCCCTATGTGGCAAGGGTCATTGTGTTCCCTCTTGTTTTGGTCTGAACATCGCTGTTTAAGACGTTGGGCAAATTTGAAATGACGTTTGCTTTTCCAGTGGTGTGACATTTGAAAGGAACCCTGTATTGTGCTCCGGTTGTTGCTGTGCCGAACCCGGCCAAAGACCCACCCCCCAAGGGTTCGTGGCTTCATAACCCCCCCCCCCAGAAAGAAAGTGGCAGAGAAACAGCAAAACACGGAAGAAGGTGGACGTTGTGTTGGTTTCTCTTCAAAGCCACACAGCGACTCCACCTTTCCCATAGATGTGCCCCTGATTATAACCTTCAGGGCGGTGCCAAGCGGATTACACGCGAAGACCCACGAGCTGTTCCTGACAGACCTCCATGAGCCATCGAAATGGCTTGGCGCCGGGCAAAAATGCCATGCGGCCGGACTCCCTGAGCTGAGCGCGCATCCCCGCGTGGCGCGAGGCGCAGGAATTTCAGCCAGACTTGTGTATAGCAGGGCAACCCAGAAAACGGAGACGCCCCTACATGGCTTGCTTGGGAGCCGCTTCCAGACCTCTCTTTCCAGGTGCGAAAGGGCGGCCAAAGAGAACCCCTCGAAAGGAAGCAAGCTGAAAGTTGCATGGGGAACTTCAGATTCATAAACCCATCCGAAGCAGGGTTTCACCAACCAATGCTGCGGATTCCCACTAGGGAACGTGTACCTCATCAAAACCGCGTGTCGCTGCGTTTTGCTGAGGTCCTTGTGCCAGGGAGTGTCTCTTTATTGGCTACCTGCTCCAAAGGTATGATGGGGCCAATGTAGGACTGTACATTGTAACTAGGCAATGGGTGCAAAAATCCGCCACTGCAGGGCTTGACCGTAGTTGTGCCCTGAGACTCTGTGATGGGAACCTTGAAAAGCACTACCGCCACGTGACACGGGTGTGCATTGACGCCCGTTGTTGTTGCCGTGGGGTCTGAAGGCCAAAGGGAAACGCAAAGCATTGCCAGTCTTAGCTGAGCTTTTTCACAACTTGTTGACCTTTTATAGTTTTCCGTCAGTTCCCCCGTACGGGGGGGGGTCTCCTTTTTTTCATCTATCGAATTCCCAGCACCCTCCAAGTGACTGTTTGGTTTTTCGTCTGGTTTACTTGCGCCCTTTTTTCAGGAACTTTGCAAGAAACAAGGAACCAAGGAGCTCTAAGGAACCCGAAGGAACCCGAAGGAACCCCCGAGGTTTCGGGCTCTCAACTCGTCAACTACCCAACTACCCCTCCACCCACCCACCCACCCAGCCAGCCAGCCAGCCAGCCAGCCAGCCAGCCCAGAACACACCTCTCTGAATGGGAGTCCCTTTTCCGGCGTGCCAGGCCAGCCAGCTGGCTGGGCCTATCACCTGCGGCCGGTTCAGCGCCTGCTTCGCCCGAGCGCCCAGCTTTCGGTGGGGGTACCTGCGCAAAGCGGTTGGCTTGGACGCCCAAAGGAAACGACCCTTCCTCCAACTAACATGGCATTTCTGGGGAGGTGCCTGGAAGGTTAGTTTCCTTTTGAAGGGACCCCCTCTCAGGTGCCATGTGGGAGGGAGGGTGCCTATTTTACGAGGTTCCCCTTTTTTACGACTGACAAAAAGTGGCCTCATGAGTTTAGTAGGTGGCTTTTCGCTTGGGGCTCACTTGTGCAAAGCGAATCGACTTTTTAACCTGTTGGTTTCCGTGGTTTTGTCAAAATTTAGAGGTCTCAAAAGGTGATTGCCCTTTGTTTCCAGGTCTGATTTGGGCAAGTGAGTTATCGCTAGGGAGCCGACCCTTGGACTTGGAAAGAGGCTGCTTGGAAAGTTTTTGTGTGTGTGTGTGTCGAGTTCATGGACTTTCGTTTTGGGATCACCATTCTGGTAGCAAACAAAATGTTCAGACTTGTCCGGCCATTCCTCTCGATTGGGTGTCCTATGGTGTCCTGCGTTTTCCCTTTTAACCAGCAGCATTGCAGGGCTGAATCCCGTGTTTGATGGGTAGTTTGAGGGTCCAGGTTGGTGCCACCCAGGTTGAAGGGAATTCGGGGCACCTGCGCTGTTAACCTGTCCTTTCCTTTTCGTATAATATAGTCTCAGAGATGCCCTCATATATGCAACGGACAATATTATTCGGTAGATCAGATGTCCCACACATACCAAGAAGCCGCCCAATTGTGCGATGTTCTTTTGGGGCATGCAATGTGCTTGTGGGTCGAATATCTTGGTGGCTCCCAGCTATCCCCTTAGCTTTTTAGCCTTTGGGTGTTTAGTGGTAGTTTCCATTCAAACCACCAAAAGTTAAACTTTTAGCTGGGCATCTGAGGGCAGCCCAGATATGTCTCTCGTCGCGCAAGAAGGAGCGCCCATCTTCGCAGCCGCACTCAGGAGGCTACTCATCGCAAGCCGTGGTGGTGGGCGTACGACGTGCTCCTCAAGGCACGTGCTGGAAGCGGCGTTTTGCCGTTCTCGCTAATGTTGACCCCGGATTAATAAACCCTTGTTTGTTTATTTAACTGTTTATTTATTTCTTATTTATTTATTTATTTATTTATTTATTTATTTATTTATTACATATATATATATATTGGGGGTGAGCCCTCCAGAGGTGATGAATCCCCACTAAAACCAGGACACCCCCATATATGCCCGTGTCAATAAACAGAGGTTTATTAATCCGGAGTCAACATGAATTACCAGGTCCATGGCAAAACCTAGAGGTGAAACAAAATCTGAACACTGGCCGGAAAGTTGCACTTCTTGAATGAGCCCATCTACAAACCAGTTACGCGCAACTTGCAGAGATTGTTTGGTGGGGCAATGAAAGCTATTAAGGATTCTCAAGTCTGAATTCTGTTCAACCATCCTTCTTCTCAATCATACGGGAAAATTACCTCCGAAGCTATGTGCAATGTACTGGAACACTTGTGACAACGGTTGCAACATGGGAGGCAACGTGACACAAATTTGTAGGAGAGGTTCTTGTTCCTAGGGGTTTTCTGATTCTTTCCACAAATCCTGCTTTTCATAAAGCCACTCAACCGCTGGTTTTTGAAAAGGGCGATGCTTGGAGTGAATGGCGAATGCCCCCCCCCCTCGGATTTTGCACGTGCCCCTACAACAAGATTGCAGCTTCAATTCTGGGGACAAGCAGAAACGGTAGTTACTTGTCACCTTCTTTTTTCCGCTTCTAAATTGGGGTGAAGCAGAAGCATGGCCGACTCCAATTTTTTCGCATTGCCGGACGAGACACCAAAGAGGACCTCCCCTTGTCCCAAACAAAGAAAGGGAGAAGTGGTACCTTTTGTCACCACCCAGGGTCAAGCAATGACATACTTGGCTGAACCTCACCGCCAGAAAATACCGATTTCCCCACCCCCCCCCCCCCCGGGGTTAAACCCCCTGTTAACCCCCCGATCACCCCTATTTGGAACACAAACCCTCAGATGAAAGACAAGAATATCCTGATCCTGTGCCAAAGGCTTCCTAAGCAAGAAAGAGGCAACAGTCCCCTTGCCAGAAATGGGTGCGGCCAGAAGTACACCGCTTCGATTTGTTTACCATGGACCCTGGGGGCTACCCCTTGGACCACCGTTTTGAGTTTGAAGACTCACTTAGTTGTGTTTCCCTGCAGTTGGTTGTTTCAATGGGTTGCTTAAACCGATATCAACAGTCAAGGAGTCAATGGGTTGTTTAGGCTTTTGGTTGTCTTGGTGATTCCCAGCTATATCCTAGTAGACTTGTTTGTCAAGAGAGTTGCAGGGACTTATGACACATTTAGGTGTGTCTTGACATGGGGGACCCTCCCAAAATGGTAAGTATCCTTTGCCTGTCCCTTTGACCAAATTTCAACTGTTGGCAAGACCCCGAAGTTTTGGTTGCGCTTTGCCTGTCCAAACCCCGGCTATGCTAAAAGACGTGGTTTTCATTATTGGTTGATTGTGCCATTCTTCATGGTTTTGGGATATTTTTGATTTAACGTTTCGTGCCATTTTCTGTGATACCAAGAAGAACTTGTTCAAAGTGATACACTAGTCAGGGGGATCCGCTTATTTCACAAACGATCCGCTCGGCAGCCCTACCGTTCTTTGGTTATCTGAACCTATTTCCCCCCCCCCCCCACACAAAGCCCCGCGCGCGCGCTCGGCCCGGTGCGGGGGTGGCCTCGAGGTGGCGGCAGGTTGCACTGCGAAGCTGGCGGATTTGCAGGGCATAGCGTGGGGGCTGGAGGTGGAGGTAGCGGTGAGAGGAGGAGAGTAGCAGCAGGACTACAAGTCGTGGGGCGAAGTGGTGCCGATAGTAGTGGGGGTGGGGGGCAGCGGTGGGCGGTAGCAGCAGCAACAGTAGAAATAGTAGTAGTAGTAGTAGTAGTAGTAGTAGTAGTAGTAGTAGTAGTAGTAGTAGTAGTAGTAGTGGTAGTGGTAGTGGTAGTGGTAGTGGTAGTGGTAGTGGTAGTGGTAGTCGTATTGGTAGTAGTAGTAGTAGTAGTAGTAGTAGTAGTAGTAGTAGTAGTAGTCGTAGTAGTAGTAGTAGTAGTAGTAGTAGTAGTAGTAGTAGTAGTAGTATGACTTCTTGAAAGAAATGCAATGCAAGGGTCACAATATATATATATATATATACAAACGCCTATTATGACGCACAAACGCCCACACACACATGTGTGTGTGCGGAAGATAGCACAAATTTAGATTTGATTGAGCAGTGATCATCCTTCAGCGGAATCTCAGTGTTTTTGTTGGCCGAGCTTGTGTCACTCTTGAGGTACTTCTCCCTGCGTTGGTGGTTTTGATTGGTGATTGGTGATTGGATGTGAACCCCTGCCTTTTTTCTGGGGTGGGTGGGAACCAAGCCAATCCAACCATCATTGTGGCTTTGCCCCGCAAGTGGTTTGAATGGGAAATATTCTCTGAGCGGTAGCCATAAATCCAAGCTTTTCAATGATTTTTGCAAAAGTTGCCCAAATCCGACCTTTTGACCTTTGGTTTCCAGTTTGGTGCAGTTTTAGTCATGGCTCCAAAAGGTTAACCTTCTATTTCTGGGTCCTTTGGGCAACTGAGCAAACCGGTCCCCAAGAAAAAACTCAAGCCCATTTGGAAAATCGATTCCCAAGCGGTTTCACTTTTTGCAATCAGGATGTGCTTGCCCAGGGTGACTGTCCTTCGCTTGGAATTCCAAAATTCATTGGTACGCTTCACAGATACTCATTTCCGATCGACTAGTGAGTATTTTCAGAACGTGCAGGGGGAGAATGAACAGGAGCCGTGAACAGTTTGAGATTTGTTGCTTCATGTTCAAAGTCGACATCTATTGCAACCACCTTGGACAATGTTAGTTTGAGGTCTAACCCTTTGCTGTGCAACTTTCGTAAGATATTGGTGATGTTGCCGTCATCCACCAGCGAGGCCACCTCTGATATTGAGGAATGGCCAACAATGAGCACATTTGCGGTCACTTATGAGACACTCTCAGATGCAGCATCTGCTGCCGAGTCTTGGGCTTTGGCAAAAGTCTTCGTCGGCTTGCCATCAGTTGTCTACGTCGACGGAAATCTGGACTCCACAGCCAGGCAAGCAAATGCTTTCTCCAAGCGCGCAGCGGTGCTCTCGCAAGATGGTTGCCTTTGTCCGGGCTATGAACACATCAACCTCATCTCCGACTTTGCCACAGGGCGTGGTCAGTTCGTCATTTTCTCACGCACTTCCTTCTTAGACCTTTTCTCATTTTTGTGGTAGTTGAGTAATTGACAAGTCTGGACTTCTTGTGGCCAATCCACTCAGGCAGTGAGCCTTGTGCTTGAAAGGACTGAGTTTCTCTCATTTGGGGATGTCAAACTCGAGCCTCATTGAGCAGTCAGCCGTGTCAGCATGCACCGCGATGCCACAGTGGACCCAGAGACTTACTTTCTCGAGGTTGGGAGGGGTGTTCAGGGACCGTTTCGTAGTGACTTTTGACAACCACGCCAAGTCTTCCAAACAATATAATAATGAAATCTAGAATCCTGCCACAGCCACACACACAAGGAGTTTCAGTTTAGCACACATGATCCCAAAACAACATGGTGGCTGAAGCAGGGACGATGGTTCTGTGTCTTGGGCATTTCTGGTGTTCAGAGGCCGATTCCCCAAAAACAGCCTGGGGGGCCAAAACCGCCTTTCAACTTTTGAGGAGCACCAAACAAAAGGCGAGGTAGCGGATTCCAGGAAGCAAGTCCTGTTCACAAACCAAGGAGATGAGTTGAATTGGGTATGGTTTCGAGCCAGACTAACCAAACAATTTCCCAAAGCCGAACCTCAGGATCAACCTTTGCTTGGTCGCAAAGGGTATCCAACTTTGCCAGACCAGGAGTTCTCCTCCCACGCAGTAACACGGAGTCTGACAATCCTGGGTCCTAGTTTGGACAATCTTCCTGAAAAGTCCTCTCTGGTGGGTTCCATGTTAGTGGACAGGAGTGTAGTTTGTTTTCCTTCAGCTAAACAACTCTACCCTGAGGGTCTGGTGATCCTGCGAACTTTCAGGCTCGCTCCGATGCGTGTGTGTGTGTTTTTGGGAGGAGGCCCCAAAATGGTGGTGTTCCTTGTGCGGATTTCCCTTAAAACCAAAAGAACGCGGCACCTTCAAACAAAGACAAGCTCAACTGCTTGGGCAGGGCTCCTTAAAAGATACACTTTGCCCGTTTGAAACATGGTTTTTTCCACCGAAATAAAGGGAAACCACCATTTACAAGGCAACGTTCAGGTGTATAGTGTAAGGATCCCTGTTGGGGTTCTTTTGTTTAACAAGAACCACAAACCAACACAGCCGCCGCCGGCAGCTGGTCACGCGGTTTTCGCGCCAGGTGGCCCTTGCTCCAGAGCTGACTGCGCAAAGGCGGCGAAGCAACCGTCCGGCGGTTGCGTGGGCAACGCGCGGCAACATATGTTTTCGGTTGGTTTTAAAGGGAACCGAGTGTCAACAGAAATATCCAGTTTGTTTTGCCAGAAAGCTTGCAGTAAGCAAGAGGTTTTCATGGGTGGGAAGTCCCTTGGTTCTGAGAACTTACACACGGCCAACAAGGTCAAACAAGGCCTTAGCGGTGGGCAGGGGCCGAATGCCAAGGCAGCTCTTGAGGTAGTTCTGCTGACCGACAAATCGATTGACGCAGTTGAAGTATTTGGCGCTGAGCCCAGTTTTTAATGTACAACAGGGGCACAGAGACCCTCCAGACTGCACGACAGAATGCCCTTCCTGTCCTGGGCTTGCCCCCTTGTCTCAAAGTATGAAGATGAGATGTGGCGGTCAACTAGGCACACGCAGTGCGACCCAATGCACGCACACCAACAAGTTGATGTTGCTTGGCATGCATGTTGCTTAGCTCTAGGCACATGGAGAGTTGAAGTTTGTTTCCGCAAGGCAAACATTATGCAGTACGGCCTTCTTTAGACTGAACCAACACGCCCGCAGCAACCCAGTGAAACACCACAAAAAAATCAGCCGTATTGGCGTCCACGTGGGGAACCGCCCTCAACATGAACTTTTCATAGGCCTCCCCCCCCCCATCATCCGGCAACCCCCTCGCCCTGGTTTCCTGCAAGTAAAGCTTCATAAGGCCGTATTGGGGTCGCTCTGGAGCCAAAATATGTCTTCTGTTGATGTCTGCCACTCATGTTGGAGTTGTTCTATGCCAATCATGTTTGCAGTTCACCAACCCCCTACTCCAAATTCCTTCGTTTTTAAGGGTGTGTGTTTTGCGAACAAACCAAGTTTTGCATGGTAAATGCTCCTTTCCAGTACAGGCTTGACATGATACCTAATTTTTGGAGGGTTGCCGCGGGGGGGGGGAAGCTATGGAGCTACGTTGCGCCCATCCTCCCAAAACGACACTTCCAGCGCGCTTTTTTTCCCCCGAACAGTTCCAGGCAAAAAATGCTATGGAGCTATGTTGCGCCCATCTCCCCACGAAATTTCCACTTTCGCGTTTTTTTTGTTAAACGAAAGTTCCTCACGCGCGGCAAATCGGCCAGGCCGGTGCTGCAAGTGTCCTGGCTCCTGGCAATGCTGGCCATGGCCACCTGGGCCGAAAGCTCAGCGGATTCGATTCGATCGAACCCGCGGTTGGGGACTGCTGGGAACCCCGGCCACTCGGCTGGCTCCCGGGGCTTTTTTTTCAGTGTTTGGGGAGGGGTTTCCATTTTTAGCCTTTTGGTTGGTTTAGGGGTCGGGTTTCCGTATTGAACCCACTAAAAGTGAAACTTTTAGCAGGGGATTTGAGGACAGCCCAGTTTCAACACCAGTTAATTTTAGCATAGCATCAAGGCAAGGTTAGGTAACATGTAATCATACAGGGTGTTCAACCATGTCAGTCAATAATAAATCGTAGGGTTTCAATTGTAAATTGTGACATTCGTCCACATACTTCAATGTTAACAAGCTTCCATATTAGATTTGCTTGTTCATAGTCTTCATCACAAATTGTTTTCTCACTCAATTGACTGTAAAGTATCTTCGTAAGGGTACCTTAAACACCTATTCACTGAGAGCCGAACGTGCTGTATGGGTGCCTAAACACCTAAGAAGCAATTCCCAAAGTCTTCAGCAAGATCCAAGATCTCAAGGCTTGGGAGTATTGAATCTTGAATCTTAGATGCAACACTGCTTTAAAGCGCTGTGCAACGTCTGCTTTCTGTCATTCCTGTTGGGGGGTGCACCTTATTCTCCTTTTGGACTTTTGTGCGGTAAATACAGTTGATAGTTGAGCATGCGGACATTGGAGAACTAATTCTTTAAAACATGACTGAAATAAATCACACCTGAACCTTGGATATTGAACAAACACTGTAAATGCCTGTGTGTTGCATGTTTTTTTTGTAGTCAGTTTTTGTGACAGACCTCCAAAGCGTCGAGAGGGTACCTAGTTCAAAAACGAATCCCCTGAAATCAGAAAGTGCTGAATCCAGTATGGGGCCCCCAAAACGCAACACGCTTCAAAGCGAAGCCCACACAAACCCCGAGCTGCCTCCCCAATTTCTGTGTTCGCGACATGTTTTTTTGGCCAAAAGAAAAGGGGCCACAGTTGGTCCAACCTTTTCCCTCAGTCCTTCGTTTGGTTGGATTGGTTGGTGTTTGGTTTGGTTTGGATTTTCGACCCCCCTGGGGCTTTTTCGCAGAGGGATACGAAGCCTTGCACCGGGCCCCAAATTCCGCGCCTTGCTTGGGTTCTACCGATGGGTCTAGGGAAGTTGTGACACCCAGGTTTGCGTGTGCGAACATAGCAGTACCCCCCGAAAAAAGGGCGGGGCTGTTGCAACTCCTGAGTTTGTGCATCACAGAAAAGAAAGGCAGGACGCCGCGCATGTGTTGAGAAGTAAAAAACTAAAAGGAACAAACCAAACACACAAAACACAAACCGTTAGAAAAATAAAACCAAAAGTAACCAAGCAAGCGCACACAACACAAGCCGTTAAAAGTTAAAACATAAAAGCAACTAAAAGCAGCCACACAAACATACAACAAAGCAAAAAGCCGCCGTCCGGCGTTTTTTTTGGTTTCCCTCTCCGCAAGGTGGCCTGCGTGTTGCCGCACGTGCACTTCGTGGAGAATTTGGCGGCGGCCTGCGGCGCCTTCGCGGCGCCGCTGGGCACGGCCTTCTACCTCTTCGGCCACCAGGCGGTTCCGAAAGCGGAGCGAGGGGGCGAGGGGCGGGTGCCGGGAGGGGCCGGATGGAGGCGCTTGACATGGGTTTTGGGTGGTGGAAAAAAGGAAGCATAAAAAATGGATGGCATGAACAACAAATGTGGGGGGTGGGGGGGGAGGTTTTGGGGGAGAGTTCAGGCAACATAGGGTGGAGCGGTGCGAACTCCCTTTCTCACCTGGGAAAGCCTGAAACTCTGGGTTTTCCTGGTAAGTATCGACAAACAGTGGCTTCCCATGGTTTAAACGTGGTGCGAAATCGATTTCGTCCATCCACAGCAGCAAGTAGAGGAAACGGGTGGGGTGGGGTGTTTGTGTGTGTGTGTGTGTGTGTGTGTGTGTGTGTGTGTGTGTGTGTGTGTGTTTGTGTGTGTGTGTCGTACTTTCGGGTCCTTTTTGGTACCCCCTTAAAGCCAACCTAAGTTCAAGAAATTAGCAAGTATGTTATAACCAGGGTTGTAACTTGGGTAACTGGGCTTGCTCCACTTATATTCATTGTATAGATGACGACGCACCTGACAAGTCAACCAACAAAAACGATGCCCCGGAGGTCTGGGTTGCTTTCATTGAAGGTGATTGTTGTTTACTTTAGCGTGGGGCTGCTTTTGACTTCTAAAGTGAGGCCCAGTGACTGGTTGTTTGGGTATGTGTGAAAATACAGGGTCACAAGATTTGACATTTTACATAAAGGAATCAAGGCCAAAGAATCAGTGCCCGGATTATGTCTTTCTCGCACTTGTTTAGACCTTATTCCGTCTCAACAACATAGACATCCAGTCTCTTGCCACGAGGCCGCGTTGGCATACTTTCCAGCACTACGTTGCCTAGTTGGAGGGCTTCAGGATTGCAACCCGCGTATTCGTGGCCAAGCACTATGGCTCACTCTCGCAATGACCTTCTTACTGGCAAGTCCCGCAATGCCCCCGAAAATGCAGCGCGTCTCCTGGAATGTAGACATGGGTAGCTCTGTCTCGACACGCGCGCCAAGCATGCCTCCAACCTGGAGACTGCGTGGCCGCATCCGAACAATAGCGGCTGAGCAAAGCGCTGCAGGATCCAACCACCGAGGGTGCGCACGTTGATCATGGAAGGCATGCTAAACCACACGGCGAGACATAGTCACAGCCAAGCAACATCTGTTTGCTTGTGACGAAAGCAGCCGTAGCATTGGTTTTTTTGTTTGCCCTCCAGGCACACGAGGCGCCAAAAAGAGGTTCGAAGACTTGGCCCCTTCCCCGGCGCAGCTGGCAAGATGGCGGGTTGTCAAGTTAGCTCCGCGCCATTTGCCATTCTCGCACTTTGAGCATGTGGCTTTGCAAAATGATCGGCGTATTGCAGGCTGTCGCCGCAATGGCCAGGTTTGGGCAAGCGGCGGTGGTAGGCCGGCAGCAGTGCCCGCGTTGGCTGCGCGAAGGGCCTCACCATAGGCGCGGATCGGTCTCGCCTGGCAAGGAAGAAACAAGGCAAAAAGCCACCGCACTGTGTCGCCTAGATACACATGCAAACTGCTGTCTGTGGGGTGGGAAAAGGCGTATGGATCTGGAGGAAGACCGCGCATTGAACACAACAGGCGGGCGCGTGTGTAAACGTGTGTCAGAAGTGGGGGTTGAGCGAGAGGGGGCGGGCGAGAGCAAAGCCACCTATACTTGCGCGGGCGCTCAGCCGCACGAGAAACTGGATCTTCTGCACCAAGTTTGACTTGCACGAACCTGTCTGTGCTCCCATACCCATCACAAGTAGAGGAATGCCCTTGTGCAAGTGAACCCGTAACTCAGCAGTGACCGCTGTCTTGTCTTCGACTTCGCTGGCCAAGCTTGCGCAGCCAAAGTCGTGGACTTTCCGTTTGCAAGCAGTGGCCTGCCACTTGTGTCCAGCTTGAGGCTGCTCACAAGGGAGGGTCCGGTCAAGTTGGTGGTGCCGTAGTGCGCAGATCTCTGACAGGCAGACGGAAAGCCTGGGTTAACCACGTGTGGGGGGGGGAGGTTATCACAGCAACCTGCGATTTTTTTGGTCAAACGGGGGTCCCTTCTGGGGGACCCCCAAAAAACCAGTGTAGGGCCTACACTGGTTTTTTGGGGGTCCCCTGAAAGGGACCCCCACATGATTTCAGGTTGCAAAAGACGTGCAGATCAGCTGTAGGTCCCTTGGCAGGGGACCCCCAAAAAACCAGTGTAGGCCCTACACTGGTTTTTTGGGGGTCCCTTGCAAGAGACCCTCGATTGTCCGAAAAAAATCAAAGGAGCCGCCAGGTGGCCGCGCCTGCGCTGTGGCTGTTTCTCTTTGCGCCGGTTGTTTCTGAGAACCAGAGGTGCGTTGCCAATCGCAACAAAACGGAGTGTGGCGCGAGCGTCTCGCATTTTCTGCTGCAACTCCGCGACTCAAGCCACGGGGAGCGAAGGCGCTACACGCCTCCGATGTGGCCGCGCACCGGCGGACCAGGCAACACTTTTCGTAATCGTGCAACACAGTTTGAATTGACTGGGGTTCACGCCCAAGCTGGTCTGCAAGTGAATGTATCTCCAGCTGCGCTGCCCTTTGCCTCACTTGTGACACAAAATCCTACAAGCAAACAAAACACACTCGCTGCGCTTGTACGACGTTAAAGCAAGCAGAGGGACATGTCTGCAGAATGAGCCGGAAGCTCTAAAGCACTGACACTTGAGAAATGGCCTGCGCCGTTTCCGAAAACAACGAAGGAGAACCACAGGAAAACAGCGTCCAAACCACAACTTCCCTGAAAGCAAAGCGAGCTGCGTCGCAATTGCCACGGGACACCTACGGTCCCCCTATTCTGCCAGGTCCTGCTTGACATCACTTCACGGGAAACACTTGTTGCGAAGTGACATTTCGTTTGGCAAGGCTTCTTTCAGCTTGTTGGATGCTAAGGTGGAGGCAGGCGCCCGGCGCCCCGGGCGCCCGGCGCCCCGGGCACCCGGCGCCCCGGGCACCCGGCGCCCCAGGCGCCCGCCGCCCCGGGGCGCCCCCCGCCCATGGCGCCCGGCGCCCCAGAGCCGGCAGAACTCAAAAGATTTCTGCTCTGTTCAAATGGCTTTCAAACCCACGCTTGTGTTTGGGGCGCCAGGCAAAGGTCCACGTGAGTGCAAATGCAGGCACGACCCCCCGCTTTTGGGAGATTCTCGGGTGTCTCCAAGCGTAGTTCTGCATCTACGTGGAAGCCAAGACACAGCTTTGCGCTGTCAGCCAGAACAAGCCTCAACTCCCGCCGCCTCCTGACTTCGTCCTGGTGACAAACTCCAGAGCGACACAAACAACTCAATGTCTTTGCCTCTCGGCATTCCGGGACTGCCTCGTCGCACAAGCAGCAATTAATGCTGGCCCTTCCTGCAACTGATTGACGCTGAGCGGGTGGAGTTACTGACTTGTTTGAAGACGCAGGTGAGAGCAAATTCGTTTAAATCAGTGCAAGCAAGGCACGTCATGGAAATACGTTCTGCCAGATGAATCTGGGATGCGCGCGGCAAAAAAAAGGGATCTGGCCCGCCCTTGATGGTTGGCCTTGTTTAATGTCAAACCTTGTGACCCTGAAATAGGGGGGATCCCCGAAGCCGTCTAGGCATAGCTGGGCTGCGTGAGGGTTGAATCTGTGGATGGACGACATCCATTTCGCACCACTTTGAAACCATGGGAAACCAGTGTTTGTTGGTATTTACAGAGGAAGCATCAAGCCAGGGTTTCTGAGGTGGTGCAGGATCTTGTCCACAGTAGTAATTCTCCAGGAAACTGGCAAACTCGGCCACAAGAGAAACAGTTTGCGCGCAGTTTCTGGATAATTTCCCGGAGATGGTTTCTGAGATTTTCCGGGGGACCCATTATCGTGGACATCAGGGTTTCGGTTGGATACATGTCCAGCAATCACTCTGTGGATGGATGAAACAAAGAAAGGAGCGATAAGGTTTGTTGGTATGCGGTGCGAAAGGGATTTCGTCCTTCCACAGCAGGCAACCGGGATTTTCTCAAGATTTTACATTGTGGCTTTCCTGGTTACTTACCATAGTGGCCAGTTTTGCGCCTCGATTTTCTGCCATAGTGGTGGAAGACATGTTTCAGGTTGCCAGTTTCTGTGATGCCTTGGGACTCGCGAGATAAAGTAGTCATGATCGGAATCCCACTCAACTCGCTGAGTCTCGAAACCGCCTAAACCCTCAAGATTCAACCGCTTCTGTAGTCCAACAGCTTGCGGGGCCACCCCGTTTTAGGGTCCGACTGGAGTTGTTTGGGGTCCAGGTGGACAGTTCATCTGCACTCCCTCAGACTAACATGGCTGTGGGTCAAAACCAATGGCACCATGTTGGGGCTTTCGGTGCACCCCCCATTTTTCGAGCCTATTTCCGTGGGGATTGGGTTGTTCACCGGGGGCACGATTTGGCTTTGGATTTTGACCCATCACATGGAAGCTCCCAGGACGTTTCGGGAGGACTTGGTTCCATTTCCGGCGGCCACTTGGGGCCGCTTGCGGCTGGGCTCGGCTGAAGCGTACGGCCAGGTCCAGGACCCGCAGACGGCGCAGGTGGCCGCCGCGGGGGTGCTGCTGTTTGCGCCCGCGGCCCCGGATCGAGCGGCGGGGAATGCGGGGAATGCGCCGGGGAAGGCGCGTGGGAAGGCGCGTCGCGCCTCCAGCTACAAAAAAGGAAAAAGACGGGGGAAGGCGCCCCATGAGTTTGGGACAAGAAAAAAACCATTTTAAAGGAACTTTTGTGGGGGCCCATGAATTTGGGGGAATTATTGTTTAAAGGACGTTTTGAGGGTTTAGGACAATATGGCTGCCCAAAACCCGGCGCGGCCACTCCGGTTGTGTCGGGGTACCACCCGTTTCAATCCCGGTAGTAAAAGAACCTAGGTCCCCCAGTAGTGCCCTTTTACCATTTTTTTTTGGGAGGGTTCCCCTACTAAAATAGACTACAGAAAATAGACTGTACCCTTATTCTAACCTCTCTACTGAAGGACCTAGAAAAGAAAGAGGGTATATAGTAAAAGAAGGGGCCCTACCTCCATCACACCCTGCAGATTGGACTAGAGGGCAGGTAGCCTTTTTCCCCTTTTGAACGAAAGGACCCTGCCTTTTTTGTGCCGCCAAAGATGCGAAAAGGGCCGACCGGTCGGGGATCGGCCACCGCTTTGGCAGCACCGGAGGTACCTCCCCGCCCTACTGGCCCTGGCGGCCAGCCTTTGCCTTCTGCGCTGCTCCTCTGATCGCGCTGAGGCGTGCGACTAACAACTTTTTTGTGGAAGACCAGTTTAGTGGTACATCAAAAGTACCCAGAGGGACCATCTTTCAGTGAATTCCTGGACTTTGAACCATCTTAGTGGAAAAAGTTTGGACTTCTTTTGAGCATCCACTGGGGAAGTGAGATTTAGAGGTAGTTTCACCTCGTGGCCAAATCAGGCCATCACAGAGTCTTTGGGAGGAGGTGGTTGGTGATGACCCCTTTGCGATTCCTTCCGGACTGGGCAAATTACAAGGAACTCACGTCAATGGTTTCTAGCTTGCGCACGAAGGCTGCTGCCGCTGCCAATGGAATCCATATGTTCTTCCATTTGCTGAAATTAATATTTGTTTATGTTCCCCTGTTGGTTTTAGAGGAATCGATTTCACCACTGGAAATATGTGTTTTTCCCAGGAACGTATTCACAAATGGATTCTTCTTTTATGGCTTGTGAGTATCAATCATTGGTCCTAGCACCTGAATCAGCGATCCGTCTGTTTAGAAATGTGCAAGCTCCGCTGGTTTTGGGTGTGGTTTTGTTTCCCCCGACAGGAGCAATGGAGGAGATTGGGAAGGGGATTTTGCGCAACCACCGGGCCATGTTTTTCTTGCTGGTGCTCAGTAGGAAATGAAGGAATGACCCTTATAAACCATCCAACTGGTGGTTTCCGTTCAGGGAATCCTGGGTTGATTACAGGGCTCCTCAAGAGATTAGCATTTTGCAACCATTTGAAACGTGGCTTTTTCAACAAAATAAAGGGACACCTCCATTTACAAGTTGCAATGTTCAGGTGTACAATGCATCCGGATCCCTGTTCCATCTCCTTCCCTACCGAGCGCAAAAAAATGTTTCGCTGGCAAGCGGAAACTTGGACCCGCGAAAACGCAGGCGCTGGATCAGGTGCCTGGCTGGGGTGAGCTGTCAGGCGCCAGGCCAGTCCGAGAGCTTGAGAGGTGAGAAAAGATCCCTACTTAAAGGGGCAGGGTACTTAGTAAGTGGTTGGTAAGTCAGGTTATAACCCACTTACCATGGGTATAAGTCTCCTATGTGGATTATAACCTGGCTTACTAACCACTTACTAAGTACCCTGCCCCTTCAAGTAGGTCTCCCAGCTAGGTGCCAGCTTTTACCAACTTTTTTGGTTGGGAGCAAACTTCTCTACTAAAATAGACTACAGGAAAAAATGATACCCTTCTAACCTCTCTACTGCAGAACCTAGAACCGGGTGGAGTGGGAGTGGTGGGAGCGGTGGGAGCGGTGGGAGTGGGGTGGGGGTGGCTGGGGCTGGGGGTGGCTGGGGCTGGGGTGGCGAGGTCCGTCAAAAGTGACTTGAGCCGCTTTTCGGGTGACCATTTCAGTGGTAAAGCTAAAACGTGTGGTTACTGTCCTGACCAAGCCACGGTTCCGTGAGCCGTGAGAAAGGCAAATCCGGTGTTCCCCTCAGGTTTCAGAATCCCCACGTTTTAGCGGGACAGCAACGCGAAGCGAAAACAAATACTGTCGGAACCCCGGCTGTGGACCGACAAAATCTATTTCGCACCAGATTGAAACCGTTGCTGAAACCATTGGTTGTTGGGGTTTGCAGGGGCATCATCGTTCCAGGGCCATCATCGTTCCACCAAAAGAGGGACCGCCCCCTATTAATAATCATGGGTTTATGAATTCGGGGGAAAAGATTAGCAAATGAATGACTTCCTGGGTTCCTGGTGGTTTGCATGCAGTGAACACATCGTCTTCATATAGATGAAGGATGCTTGCTGCAGGGGAACCACAGGGGGACAGACAGAGCTCCCGACAATGATTTCCTCTTGCATGCAGCACGTCCCTTGGCAACTGCACATTGGCATACCCAGGTGACACGGCAACTCCAATCCAATCCAACAACCTCACCAAAGCTTTCGGCGGCCCCTACCAAGTATCAAGCAGCTGATCAACGCCAAGAGAGGCCAAAAGCTTCAATCCACCAGCGGGCACCGTGGGATTTCAACCTCCCTGAGAAACCCTGCTGAAGTGGGCTGCAACCTCCTGAAGACAGTTCACACTAAAGCCGGAATATGTTGACCCCATATAAATTATAAAGGGGGGTTTCCCTCCAAAAGTGGTCTGATTCCCCACTAAACCCAGGAACACCCCCCGCAAAAAAAAAAAGCAACTGGGGCCGATCAGTAGCTTGGCCGCCAATTTCCTTGGCCGAAGCTCATGCGGCCGTAGAACGGCTCCTTTCCGGAGCGACCACGGTAGAATGTGTAGACCTCCGTTGCGTTGGTCTTGCCCCTTGCTCGACTTTTTTGGGGGGTGGGGCGCTTGAACAACAGCTACCTAAACTTTCAGAATCTATTTAAAAGTGGATTATTGCAACATTGCAACCTAGTTTTATGAGATGAAATCCCTTTCTTATGGGTTCTTCGGGTCCAGGTACCACAAAAAAGGGTGCCCTCTATTTCCATGGCCAGTGGGGGGTTTGGGCTTTGCCTTCCGGGTGAGCAACACTTGAAGGGGACAGTCCCAACCAACGTTTGATGCAAAACCAGCTCTTGATTGCTCGAGGATCAACTTTCTTCCCTTCTTCCTTGAGGCATCTTTGGAGCAAGCCCGTTCCGACTCTCCTGCCCTGTCCCGGGTTGCTGTGTTTCCAGCCTTGTCCTAATTGGCGTTTCGGAAGGTGTTTAGAATTTTGGACCAATCTGGAGGACCGAACGGAGTCAAAGGAGCGCTACCGAAGCTAGTTGTCAAAAGGCCGACCTTTTGGATTGTGTCAAGGCTCTAAACCGATTTACATAGGTACTCAAAGGAACCAACGACCCCTTTTCAGGTGGCTTTGAAGGAAAGCCAATAGGAAACAGATACTGGTCCGATTCCTATTTTAAGACCCCCTGATACCGAACTGTAGGGCCAGAGTCTTGCCAGGATCGGTGCACCCTCTGGCTACCTGCCGCTGCTATGCGAGGTGCGGAGAAAAACACTGGGTGGAGTGGCTCAGGTGGACGAGTTGTGGATACCGATGCCCCAAATATTCACTTCCAGACTTCGTTGGCATTTCCAGGCTATCGTTATTGGAGGCATGATCAGATACAACTGGGACATGAACGAAATCCTGCACCACTTTGAAGCCATGAGAAACCATTGTGCGTTGGTATTTACAGGGAAATCATCATTCCGTGGCTTACCAGGTGGTGCGAAATGGATTTCCTCCATTCACAGTACCTCCGAAGTCTGCTTGACTTTTCGGGCTTGACGCGGAAAAAGAAAAAGGTACAGGCGAGATGCGCGAAAAGACTGTACCAAGACCCTCAACATTCCCATTAGTTTTCTGAGTTTCCAAGCTGCTGCAAAAAGTGTCGCCTCCAAACAAGACACGCCCAAAAAGCTTGCAAAACTCGATGAGTTGAAGTGGGCGCTTTAGGATTGGGTTTTGGCACATACAAATTTGGGGTGAAATGCATTTTGTATGGGTGGTTTGAGGGTCCAGGTACGTTTGTGGCTGGTCCTCAATATGACCGAATCGCCGCTTAAGGTCGGTCACGACCTGGAAAACTGGCTCAACCACCGGTTTTTCCTGAGTTTCAACTCAGGAAGCGAGAGGGTTGCATGAGACGTCCTGATGTGAAGTTGCCTCACTTGCGACATTAAGGATCCGTTGCCTTTTGGGCGATTGACCCTTGGCCCCATGTTCGGCGATTAATGGAAATCCACCATTGAAGTAACAAGTCCGCCAGGGACCACGCAGGCGGTTTTTCAGGCCTTCCAAGGGGCTTCATTTGGCCTGGCTGGATCTCTTGGGGTTTGCAACAGAAAAGATTGGTGGCGGCTTGCCTTCGGCGTTTTCCTTTGGCTCCCCTGGTTAGTGCATGGTTGCGAAATCCAGAAATCGCACCACGCAATGAAACCATGCTTGAAATCAGAACGTTTGTTGGTATATACAGGGGAATCGAATCATTCCAGGGATTTTGCAACCATCCACAGTATGGTAATTGGAAGCACTCCTCATTTTGTTCAGACACACACAGAGTGCCCCAAGTGGAAAGAACGTGGGTTGCTTCAACCAACTGCTCGCCCGAGATGCGGAATCTCATGGGTGGCAACCCGATCCAACCCCCCCCCCCCCGCCGCCTTGCTCCAACAAACAACTTAATGAGGCCTTAACTTGTTTGGAGGAAACCCGAAAGAGGGGAAGAGGGGAGTTGGGGCGGGGGGGTTGGCTGAAGCACTCCATCTATGCCTGTCATTTGGCGAGCGGATGCGTTCAGCTCAAAGCGAACAAGAGACTTGGTCACGATGGTTTGGAGGGGACCATGCGTGTGTGCGGGTGTGTGTGTGTGTGTGGTGCCAAATAGCGTCAATTACTCTCAAAACACCCACCCATCCACCCACCCACCCACCCATCCACCCACCCACCCATCCACCCATCCACCCATCCACCCATCCACCCATCCACCCACCCGCTGCTGGCTTACTTGGTTTATTTTGGGCTCTCCAAAACGAATGTATATATTGTGGTAGGCTAAAAGAGCGGAGTTTATATATTGAGGTAGGCTAAAAGAGTGGAATCTGAGCATATTTGTTTGCTGCGCACCTGGGCAAATTGAACAGCACTGCTTCCTGGAGAAGGTTTGAAACGCGGCAACCGCTAGCGCGTTTTACCGCTGGCCGCAGGACGACAGCCCCCCGCGGGGCAAAGTTGCGCCCAGCGAGACCGCCGCTGGGCAGCCCAGCGATTCTATTTACCCTCCCACAAATTTACATGGAGCCTTGCAGGGGGTCCCTTTAAAAGGAACCACGAACGTCAGGCTCCATGTTAATTGGTGGGAGGGTACCTACTCTGGATGGACCAGATCCATGTCCCTCTAAATACAAACAAACTATGATTTCAATCATGGTTTCAAAGTGATGCAGGATTTTGTCCATCCTCAGTGTATAGTAGGCAACCAATAAAAAGCGCCCTGTCGAAGCCAAGTGGAAGATGGCTGGTTGCCTACCATATAGGGATCCACTGCTCTGGAAGCAGCCAATCGGCTTTTTGGCCCAAGATTTTGGTTTTGGAACCTTCTTTTGGGTGTGCTTCACAGGAATCGGATAATCATTCTGATGAGGGCCCAAAGATCAGCTCGATGAGCGGCAGCAGATTATCAATAATAAAATGAGGCAGAAGAAAATCTGCCAGGGTCCAAGTGTATGTCTTCAAAGACTACTGGGGCTCAACCCCCATAACATAGCAGCGGCAAGGGCCAACATTAGATGATGATAATTACTCCTGAACGGGAAGCAATGTTTCTTCTTCTCTTTTTTTAATCCCGCCTTGTTCTAATGTTGGGGGAGGGTTCCCCTACTAACATAGACTACAGAAAATAGACTGTACCCTTATTCTAACCTCTCTACTGGAGGACCTACTTGGTTTTCATCTCAGTTTTCCCCTATCAATCTACTGGATACCAAGGGGCAATGCCCAGAACGGGCCGGGCAAAGCCAACGCTCGAAGACTTTTCCACCCGGTTCCTTTGGTTTTTAGTGGGTTTTTTAGTTGTTGTCAGTTGTTTTCAGTGGTTTTTAGTTGGTTTAGCTGTTGGTCTAGCGGTTGTTGTTGGTTTTTTAGTTGTTTTGGGTGGTTGTTTAGTTGTTTTTAGTTGTTTTGGGTGGTTGTTTAGCGGTTGGGTGTCCAAGTCACAAACAAGCTAAACGCCTTTAGCATGAGAATCAGACTACACAGCCCAGGAAAGGCTTGGCTTTCGCTGGCCAAACCTTGAGGGAAAGTTCCAAAAACCTGGTGCGGACATCCGCGCCTACTTTTTTGCAGGTGCACCTGTTTTGTGGTTTGCAAAGGGAGACCAAAAGGAATATCACCATTTTGGAGGGTCTTTACACACCCACGATTTGTGCGGACCACTTTAGTGCCAGTTGTTATTGTGCCTCGAATGAAACGGGAGGACATGGACGAGCACGAAATCGCAACCTTCAATGTAATGGAAAAAAACATGTCCCCTGTTTCAGCTCTGTGAGATACCATGATCACCGTCCTACGAGGGGGGTTGAAGGACTCAGCGCCACCAAGGAGCCCAACGCGATCTGCTGTTGCCAGCCCAAAGCTGACGCTGCCACCTGGAAGCTTTCCAGTTTTTCGGTCACCCGACCAAACAAACTTCACCCTTCAACCCTTCAACCCTTCAAAGGTCCAGTTTTCAGTCATGGCCCTAGCATGTTTTCTTTTTTTTGCATATTGTGGTTTTGTGGTTGAAATCCAACCTCTTAACTGCCAGAATTTGAAAATTGTTGCTCCCCTTCCAACGTCAACCAAGGGAAAAGGCATGGAATCCTATGAAGACCTTCCGCTTCATTCTCACTTCCTTCGCTTCCTTCCAGGCGGCCCAAGCGGAGCTCCATTTGGCCGACGGAGTGCTCTTGTCCATAGACCCCACCAAGGCCTCGGGCGGATTCCCGCCGTTTGCGACCGAACGAAAGTACCCAAAAAGCGTTGGCCGCAAAACGCAGGGGGTGCGATGGCTATTATTTTTTCAGACAACTGCGAATGAATTCGTTGAACCCAGACGGGCAAGGCCTGAAGGCTCTGCTTCGCCCAGCCTTTTTTTGCTCTTGGCTTCCTACGTTGTCCCCGTCTTGAAGTGGCAGAACGCGACCACTTTGGGTCCGGGGTGGGGCAGGGCACAAAATTTGCGACTGGACCTCTTTGTGGTGCCGGGTGAAAGCAGATGGCGCAACTCCCAGTCGAGAAAATGCAAGGGACCAGGACTCTTCCCCCACCGACCAGCAACAAGTGAACCTTGAGGGCAGGTTTTGTTCTTCCACCCCTGTCTTTCTGGGAAGAAAGGAACCTCTTCAAAAAGTATCAGGATGCTGCAGGCATGATGGAGCTACCAGTCAGTGCTACTCATCATTCTGCCGAAGGCGGAGAGCAAGGCGAGCCTCTCAGGAGCTGTTCTCCATGACCCAGGAAAAGCCACGAAGCCGCAGAGGTCCCACGCTGGCCAACAGCCAGGCAAGCCACGCCGATTTGCCGTGCCAGATCTGGCGGTGAAGCCACCACGACGGCGATGCCTCGAAGCCATTCCCAAAATTCATGAACGAGCACTGTTTTCAAGGGCTCCACCATCCCCACAGGGAAACTGGTGTGTGTTCCCTTCATATAGTCGGGGTTCATAGTCGGGGTTCAGAGTGGACAGTTTGAGGGGTTCTTACAACTTCCTTCATCCAGATCCCAGTTCCCACTTTAGGTAAGCCATGTTGCTCCTGGTTTTCAAAAGGGTTCCCATGGTCAGGTTGTCCACCAGTTCAATCACAGGTCATGCTGCTCGGATTTCGCTTTGGATCCACCTCCCCTTAGTTAGGGTATGACACATGGGTCTGCCAAAACCCTCAAACTAGCCATAAAAAAGGGGAAGCCACTGCCACCAACCATTTTTTTCGGGGGGGGGGGGGGGAAGAACCTATTTTTAGTTGGAGTTTTGAGGGTTTGAGTGTCTGTTTAAGGGCCCCCGCAAAAACAAGAGGGTGGGGTTTCCCTTTGGTTTCCCTTTAGAACCAACCCAAAAAGGGTACCCTCAAAAAGGCACACGCGCACATGCATTGAACCAATCAGCCCAACGATATCCCCAAGCGGAACCCTGCCCCAAGAACGAGCCTATTTGAGCAGAGCCTATGGGGATTTTATGGGGGCAGAGCCTATCTGGGATCCCTTCGTTTCCCTTTTGGAGCCTCCAAAAAAGTGGTGATTGTTTCAATGGAAACCATCAGTAAGTTTATCAACGTTTGAAGAAATTCAGTGAAATTTGCATGACGCACTTGCAACAGGGTGTGGGGCATAAAGTGCTATACCAAGTTCTTCGCCAATTTGCTGGGCCGAACACTCAAGCAGGCCCTCGTTCCTTGTATTAAATGCGTTGCGCACGTGTTATCGTCGCTTCATTTTCAAAATCAAGTGATCACTCAGCCAATTGCAAGTAGCTTGACATCAAAAACGCTGTACTATATGGCCTCCAAGTCTCAGTATGGCACCCTCCACACGGAGCTTCTTGTCGAGGGTTTTCGTGAGCAACCTGTGATCTGTGAACGCCAAAAGGTGAAAAGGATTTCTTGCAAGGCCCTGGGGTCGCACGTGAGACCAAAGGCGGGTACTTCGTTTGCCTGGCTGTTTGGCAAATGGAACTCAGACGGCACACCCAAGATCCCAGGAAATTTTGGTTTTTGCATGTCATTTGGGGCAGAAACATTGACCATGGCTTCTCCGTTCTCACAGGCTGAATGTATATTTCGACAATAAACCCCTGGTATGAACCCCCAGTTTATGGGTCAATTAACCCCTAGCCACATAGCTTACTTATGGGAAATCAGCCCAAACTTGCCCCACAAAATGGCCATGGGTTCATGAATGAACCTACCAAAACCCTCACAGTTCCCTAAAACACGGGTTGTTGCCAGAATTGTGTGGTGAATCCCCTTTTTATGGGTAGCTTGAGGGTTTACGTATACAACCAGCCTTTGACGTTGGAAGACGAGTGTTCTTTTGCACCGCAGGCCTGCAGGGTGAACCTGCCTTGCGAGGTGCGGAACAGTTTGGGTGGGGGGAAGAGGTGGGGCCATAGGGGACGGAGGAAGCGTAGAGTCTACGTGGGCGACTATTTTTTATTCGCGGCGACCATTGTTTTCACCCTGGTCGAAAGGGAAACCAGAACGCAATCCGAAACTCATTTTGGGGTCACCCTATTTTGACACATTCCCACTTGTCCAAATCTAAATGCTGACTTCTAAAGGCCCCTGGCTGTTCGAAGACAGCTGGTTTCCCCATGATTTAGGGGCCAGGCACCCGCCACACGGCTTCATGTAGACTCTGCCGCAAAGTTTGCTTGGGTTCTTCCACAGCAATCTGCAATCGGGAGTTTCGAACGGGAGCCGTGCTCCCGTAAAACTGGAGCGAGCCCACATCGAGGATCACAAGGGCGATTTGATCACAATTCCGTCAGCGAATCTCATGGTTTTACATGTGCAGTTGCTTTTGTCCATTGCCAGGCTCACCCACCAGATTGTTTCGAATGGCCCTTTTGAGTTGATTGTTCCATTTTCAACCGGTGAGTCTTTCTTCTGCGTCCTTCATTGGGAAGTACTGTTGATGGACGAAGTCCTGCGCCACGAAATGAAACCATGGTTGAAACCATAGCGTTTGTTTGGGTTTCCAAAAGAAAGGTGGTGCGATTTCTGGAGTTCCTCCATCCACGCGGGATGTCGAGTTTCTAAACTTTTGGGTGCAAGAGGGACACCATGCTACGTCCCCCCCTGTAAGCGGGGCACCATGTTACGTTCCCCCCCCGTTCAACATCAAAACCACTACTTCACAGCCGAAAGTAGTTCAGGCCACTTGAGGCGGTTTATGAGGCGGTTTATCTCGTGTTCCCGCGTTTTTGCTCTGTTGGTTTCTCCAAACCCTGCAAACAGTGAACACCTGCTGCCAGTTGCCTAAGAGCCTGTTGTGTTGTCCCACTCTGGCGGTTCCATCTGCCTGGGCCCAAGCACTTTTCCAGCTGAAGCATGACATGCTGCAGCCAAAAAGCCTGGAATTTGTGAGTTCAGTGGTTCTTTTTTTTGATGGGCAGCTTGAGGGTTCAGCTATTTTGAGACAAACCCCCAGCATAACTTAAGCAAATGCGGCTCAACTTCACGGTGGTTGCCAGGTTTTAGGCTCTTTTGTTGTTTGTGTTCGGTTTTGGGGTTCTGTTCACATTTTTAGGTTTGGGGCTGCCAACAACAGACTCAGTTTCTTGCGAAGCCCATGCCGGGCGCCGTTTGGGTGGGACCAGAGTTGTCACCGCATGGGACGCGGTGCGAGGTGAAGTCGCCGCTCTCGCCGGTGCCGAGCCCTCGGCTTTTGGATTCGCGAATTTTTATCGGTATGCCGTTCTTGATCTATGAGTTGTGGTTTATGGATTGGGTTTATCTGTTGGAATTTCTTGGTATGCCGTTCTGGATTTATGAGTTTGTTTAGTGTCGTGTTATGTGTTTATTTGTGTTTTTTTTTTGCCTGCATGCAGTTGACTAGTTGTTTACCTGGAGTCTCCTTCTGACCCTTAAACGGTTGGTCATTGCCCCCCAAACTAAAGGGGTTATGGACCCATGTTGATCGGGTCATGGAGACTCCAGGTAACCCTCGCTTTTTCGTGATTGACATTGATTGGTATATGTTTATTGATGTTTCATGTGTTTGTTTGTTGTTTTACCCTCTTACCGGCTAACATGGAACCTGACAGGGGGTCCTTTGAATAGAAAATGGTCTTCCAGGACTCAGGTTCCAGGTTAGATGGTGGGAGGGTATGTATTTACTGTTTTATCAGTCTATCTTAAAAAAATAATAAAAAAAAATGCAGTTATCTATTGATTTGTCTGTATATTTATTCATTCACTTGTGTTTAATTATTTCCAACCTACTGGATTCCTCTCTGCCAAACTTGTCCCAACAAGGCTTTGGCAACACATCCAGCTGCGTACTGCATTGATTCACCACACCTTTCAAAGGGGTGCTCTCTTTTTTTGCGGGTACCCCTTCTTGCTTTGATGTCATCGGGTTTTTAGGGGAACATGTACGAGAACACGTAGTTTTTCTCCAAATTCCGAGGGGCGGGTACCGAACCAAAGAATTCAGTGTGCGTGGCTTGTATGATTCATGTACAGGTAGGTGCTTCTAAGAGAAGCCCTCAGTTTGCCCAAGATGCCGTGATCGGTGTGCTTTTCTGAAGTTACGTTTCTATGGGGCCAAGACATCGTTGGTTTGATCCTTTTCACCAATTTCCACCCTGATTTTGGTGGACAGACTCCCCACCCACATGATGTCCACCAAAGAGTCCCCGATTAAAACAATCACACCTATAGACCCACGCAGGTTCTTGGTATGTCTGGTCTGCTTCCTTGAGTTTGGGGCGCCGGGTCTTCCGACATCTCCGGCATTGAAGTGCTTCAGCTTTTGCAAGCCAGTCTGAAGTTGGTCGGGTTAATTTATCTTTATATACCTGAACCCTCAAAATTCCCTTAAAAATTGGTTTGAGCCCCAAAATTATGGGGTGATATCCAATTTTTATGGGTAGTTTGAGGGTCCAGGTATACACACACGGGATTGTCGCAAAGTCTAAAATAGAAAAAGCCCCCAAATGGTCGATGTCCTAGGTGAAAAACAGACAGACCCATATTGAGCACAGGGTAGTCCAGTTTGGCAGGAAGCATCAGCGCTTCAGGCATGCGGAATCCGACTGACGCCTCCCACAATCATCCTGGAGTGGTTTTAAACACACCCGGAGACATCTGTTCTTGGGTTGCATGCCCCTCAACTCACTGAACTCCTGGACTTTAAAACTCTTTGGCAAAGCCACTTCTAGGTCCCCCAGTGCCCTTTCTCAAGATTGGTTTTGTTCCGTGTACCAGGGGCATCTATCTTTCTAAACAGGATCACCGGGAACTTTTTCTCAAGCGGACGTGCGCTTTTTGTTTTCGAGTGTTGCAAGCGGATCTGCCGGGAGCGGCGCCCGCGGCCCGCGCGTCCAAGGCACTTGTGGATGAAGGGCGCCGTTGCAGTCAGCAGCTCCTTGAGCGACCGCCGCTGGCTCGGATGGGGAAAAACAAAACAAAAAGGAATGTCCTTCTTAGGTTAGTTTGATTAGACATACATGGGTTCGGCTGGTTTTGATTGGTTTGATGCCCCATTTACCAGTGAAAACTATCTGTTTCTCCCGATTGTCATCTTTGCTAAAACAGTGGCGCGATGTCCAATGTTTAAGGGTATGTGGGTATGGGTCAATATTCTGCCACCGGGAGACCGCTGGTTTAGTCCTTGTTTCCATTGACCAGGGCAAGCCATTTCGGGGTTACCCGATTCTTGACAACCACACCCATTTGAGTCAAAGTCCAGGTTCCCCTTTTTTGGCAGGCCAAGAGATCCGTGGCTTCCCTTAGTTGTTCAGTGGCACCAATTCTTTCTCCCCTTTTCTTTTGGTGGCTGCCCCACTAAAAGTGGTCCAAGCCCCAAAAAGGGTTCCCTTTTTTTCCCCGGGTCTCTGAACAACTGAGTAGAGTTTGAGAACAACGCCTGAGGTGCAGTGAAGCTGGCGCTGCCGTTGGCGCTCCTGCGAGGGCCGGGACCTGACAGATCCGTCAGACGGGGTCGAAGGAAGCCACGAGACGCCGGAGAGATGGGCCCCGCAGCAGTTTTTTCTTATTTTTGAGAGAGAGAACCCGATTTTGGGGTTGGTGTGCAAAGGGGAGGCTTCCAATTTGTGTTTTGATTTAAGGTTTTACGGTTTTACGGTTTTACGTAAGGTTTGGAAATAGTTGGGCATTTTGTTAGCTGGGAATCTTGTAGATGTGGAAGAGTCAAACGTTCAAAGGGCTCACAAAGAGGCCGGCGCAGGGGACCTGGTTTGAGGCTTGGGCAAAATGTTCCCCCTCAACCCCTTTGGGTCGGCCTGGTTGCCATGAAGCCTTGGTTCCACCCTTTTTCCTACAGTGTGTGTCATGGTAATGTCGACTTAAGCTTCACACATGGCCCCGCAGCCAGACCCCTTTGTGATCCAATACTAAATTCAGCAGGGCGCAATTCTACAGTTAGTTGAACAAATACAAGGCCGACGCCCCTCCCTCCCCCCCCCAGGCCGACCCCTAGGACCCACATTAATAAGCCACCACGAAAGCTTACAGTAGTCAAATTCCCCAACTGCCCCGGGGCCAGACTGTCTGGAATACACAAGTTCAGGAATCAAGAAAAGGTCAGGCATCAAACATATTTAGGAAGCAAATCCTCAAACACCCAAAACCCATGTGCCAAAAGCCGTTCCCAGCAAACCAGCCTTAGGCTCAGAGCCACCTAGTTTCCAGCAGAGATCAGCACCCAGAGGAAACCACAGAGCCCAAAGAGCCTCTCGCTGCCCATTGTTTGTCTTTTCCAGGATACCCCAATGCGTAGTACCAAACCCTTGTTAACCGTTGCTAATACTCAACCACCGCTTCCCACGTGTACAAGAGCGGGTACCTTTGTATTGCTTGCGGGCTGAACGCCAAGGAGCTCCTTTCCTTGCGTGGCTCGGCCTGTTTTCAGCTTCCCCGCAATTCATTGGTGGCTTGGTTTGGTGGTTTGGTGGTTTGGACTTTAGGGGCTACCTTCCCCATTCAGGTTTAAGTCCCAAACACCAATTCAAAGCACCAATGAAGGGGACGATGTTTTGTTCAACAAAAACAGGCCCTGTGGCGTATGCTACTGTAGCTCTTCAACCATGTGCGCGTGTTTCCCCACTAGGCGCAAGGTAAAGCTTTTTGCACAGGGGGCAGTGGCTGGCCGGTGGTTGGGAGAGCCGGACGCGGAGCTGGGGGTATCCAATTTTGCTTTTGAAGAGGGAGCTCTGGAGCTACCAGGAGTTCAGGACCTGGTGCATTTGAAAGTACCCAAGAAAAAAAAATGGATGTGACCTCCTGAGCAGCGAGAAGGTGGCTTTTTCCCAGGGGAATCGAACACTACTGGATTTTGTTTTTTTTTCCAGAGAGGGCTTGAGGAACTGAAAGTTCCGGGAACCGGGGGCTCCCACCCAAAGTTCTCCTTTTTTCTCAGGGACGCGCCGGACGCTGCGCCTCTGGCAGCACTGCCTGCGGCCGAGCAAGCTGAGAGGGGTAGGTCCAGTTTTGAGGTCACAGGGTACCCGTTTTTTGGTGGTTTTCAACTCGCTCCCTGAGTTCCAGGACTTGAAACTAGGTGGGAACACACTTTTGGTGGCAAATAAGCAGTTGTAACCATAGGTGTCCTTTTTGGTTGATTTGGTCGGAAAATAGAGGGCCCTGGTTTACCTGGTGGTGCAATCAACTGCCAGGGCCATCTATTTTCCCAAAAAGGACACCTATGGTTGTAACTTTTATGGGGCCATCAACTCGGGAAGTGAGTAAAGGGAAAACAAGAGGAACACCGAGGCCATGTTTGGGGTGCAAGCTTAAAGAAGAGCACATTCATCAGTGGCCATTTTAGTAGGTGATTCTACTTCCTGTTCTCGTGGGGGTTACAGAAAGGCCTATGTAGATCTTCAGGACCATGTTGGCAGAAAGCTCAGACAGCTGCACATACAGCCAAGAGTCAAAGTCAAATGTATACAGTTCTGGGATACGAGGAAGCCTCCCTTGAAAGTGAATAGTTCAGGTCGAAGGGGGTAATTCCCAGGACAACATGGGTGTGCAAAGTTGGCTGGTAAGGACACTTGACGGTTGGATTCTGGGTGCAGTGTGCTCAAAGGCAGGGGACAAAACGATCCGTGTGTCTTTTTTTGAGGATCTCCCCTTTTTCTGGTTCGAAAGGGAGACCAAAAGGAAAAACAACCACCGCTTTGGGGGTCCCGGCTTGAAGACGGTTGCAAGTGGTTTCCAATTTCGCACGAGTCCTTGCAAGCGGTGTTTTTTCTTGGAGAGGTACCTGGAGTCTCCATGACCCTTCAAAAAGGGTTCGTTACCCAAAATAAAGGGGCCACCCATTTTCTAGGGGTCACCAAAAGCACCTTGACCCCCTTCCCCCCAAAAGCATGAAGAAGATAAAACCACAAACGGGCGACGGAATTCTGTGGCCATCAATGACGAGCGATTCTTCATCGGTGAACCCGGGGTCGCTGATGTGTTTCTCCCCGAAATCAGAGCCGCTGGATGGCCTGGAGGCTTACTCCCGAGAGCGGGCTGCTCCTCTACCGGGACCAGGAGAGACAGCGGGGGTGAGCGGCCGGCGCGAGGCTTCACCTGTCGCCAAAACCTCCACTTGCTTAAGAAATAGTTTTGATCTTTTCAGTTTCCCCTGTTGGTTTTGAAGGGAGCTGCTTAAGATGTGTGGTTATTTGATTTTCTCACTACTGAACTATGTTCTCATTTTTTCCAGCGGACTTTTGGCAAATTGAAGAAAGGAACCAAAGCATAGGTGTCCTTTAGGGGCAGCTTGGTTGGAAATAGATGGGTTCCAATTGATTGGGGGTTGTATCAGCCATTTACCAGGGCCATCTATTTTACCAAGAGCACACCTATGAATGAACCAACGTGCTTTCAGTAGGCAGTGGAAACCATCTCGCTCGATTCCAGAGTTCCGCTGAAGTGACTTAAGAGTCATTTTGTGGGATGAAGACCGTTTTATATAGTGGTAAACAAACAAATGGACTTGTTTTGGCAGTCCACAAACAGGAGGTGAGTCCTACAAAGGTTAGAAGTGAGAAACTCTGGTTACCTTTTTTTTGTGCTAACTGGAAGCAGTGGAAATAAAACTTGTTCAGGCAGCGTACGACCGTTTACAAGCTGCCAAAGTCAACAAAGCCGTTGCGGGGCCAAATGATTGTGCTCCTCGGGGAACTGTGACTACATGGCGGTTCTCAAACATACTCTTGGACTTGAAGACATTTCAAGACGTTTGGCATTTGAAGCGATGTACGCCACATCCTGCAAACTGTCTAAGGGTAGGCGGAGCGATTGGCGTGCTCGCTTGCTGACTTAAATTAGCAGCTGTTTTGCAACTCGGCCTGCAAGCTTCGCTCTTTCTGCGGGAGATGAAAGCATGGCCCTTTCCAAGTCAGTGTTGGCCGCAGGGTGGGTGTGGCGAGCGCGGCAATATAATGAAAGCAGACCGCAGGGTTCCCGAGTTATCCGCTTCAAACATCACCCCGCAACATCGGGAAATATAAGGGGCATGACATGACCCCGTGAATAGCACGCCACCCACCGCGGCAACCTGGTGACCGTTGAAAGCCGCCGAAAGGGAACATGATTCTGGGATGGGACACCCGAGATATTTTTTCCAGAATTGGCTCCCCTTTGCTTTTTTGCTTTGTTGGGGTCCCTTTGTTTTCCACTAACCAGGCAAACAATATTTTTTTTTGCTGGGGTCCTCATTCCAGCCGAGATTTGAAATACCATCCCACCAATGAACATGGAACCTGACGTTCGACAGGTCCCGGAAGGCCATTTTCCTTTTAGAGGGAACCCCCGAACGTCAGGTTCCATGTCAATTGGTGGGAGGGTAGATCGTGGTTGAGGCACAGGGGGGTATCCCAGCAGGTTTTGGTTCGCTCTGGCAGGGTACTGGGTGCCTTCAGGTGGTTCCATCTTGGCTTGTCTCAAAATTACGGGAGCTAGCCATGTGGGTGGTGAGTGGTGTGCTTTTGGGCGCCCTTTGACACAGCCCTAAAAACAGTACCCTCAAATTTGGCGCCAGTCAGTTTGAGGGGTTCGTCCTTTGCGGGGGGAAATATCGACAGGAGCTCAACGGCGGCCTGAAATGGCAGGAGGCGGGTTCAATTCCTGATGTCCATTTGGTTGTTTCTGTGTTTAGGGAGCCCAACAAAGGGTTAGTAAACAGACTCCAAAAAGATGCAGATGCCCCGACAAAATGGCACGGGTTTCCGTTTGGTAAAAAAGATTTCCCCGACAAGAAGGCAGACCATTGGAGGGATGAGAAGGAGGGACAAGCTCTGTCTAATATAAGGTTCCCACAAAAGCCCGCAACGAGCTCTACATTTCCCAAGTCCTTTTGGGGAAACAAGTGATGTTGACAACGCCTCATGCGGCCTTGGTTCCTTTTTCCTTTTTTCGGGTAGTGCATTTTTGGGCCTGATTCAATCTACACGGGTTTGCGATGTGCTTGATTTTCGGATTTTGGAGGATGTGTGTTTAGCTGTCACACAGCTGAGCGATTCGATTTACATGTATGGTGGTTATCCAAAGGAACCATACTAAAGCAACAAAAACATGACGTACCCAACTCAATGGGAACTGGGATTCACTTGGGCATTGTTTGAAAGGGAACCCATGCGGAAACCACCCATTTTCAGGTTCCACTATGTTGAGACAAACGCATGTATGTTGACTACTTATGGGTGGTGATAGAGTAGTGTTTTCTCAAGAGAACGAATTATGTGCAAAGGTAGGTAGGTCCCTGAAATTATCCCGATTAATTCATGTTGACACAATTGAAGTTTTAGTGTTTTTTTCTTGCAAGGCAAAGTTGGCCCTTTCGCTTCCTAACCCAATCTGGCAGTAATTAAGTCCCCAATTCTTCGGGTTAGCAAACCCTCAACATTGTGGACAGGGCAACAAAAATGCTTGGAGGATCCCCAATTCCAGCCGCCCTAGATCAGGGGTCTCAGAACCATTTACGCCAAAGTCCGTCGGAAACGATTTTCCAGCTACCCTCCCGTCTAACATTGAAGCTGGGCGGGTCCGCGCCCTTTTCAGGGGACGGACTCATGTAATTCCTCGAATCAACTCATCTTTTTGGAGACCCAACCAATTGCCCAACCCACAAGAAGGCTTTTCTTCTTCTATTGTCAACTTCGGGTTGATTTGGAGGATGGAATTCAGGGGGTTCCCCCATTAGTAAGGAAACGAGAGCTATTTTGTGCGAATGCAATCCACTAATCCCTAGTGAAATCCGAAGTCAAGATTAGCAGGGTGAAACGGCTTGCGCGGCTAGAGGGGGGAGGGAGGCCCAAATCCCAGGCCTCATGTAGGCTCCCTCCCCCCCCTCCCAAGGCCCCGTCACTAACCCTGCAGACAATGTTGACCGGGTGTTCCCTCCAAAAGAGGTCTGAATCCCCAAGCCAGACACCCAGTCAACAACCAGGTGTTCCACTCACCCCGGGATCAAACATTGACCCGTTTCTGGGGCGTCTCAAATAGGTATGGCAGTATGTGGACCGCAGGTTAAATCGTCCTTGTTTCCATTTGCCGATCGAGCCAGGCATTTTTGGGTGCCTGAACCCTCAAATCTTTCTTATGGCAACCCACAACTATGGGTGAATTCCCTTTGTTCTGGGTAGTTTTGGTCTAGGTAATACTTTTTTTGACAACCACTCTCAAAATCTTGTAAAAAACAACCAGGGCTTTTAGTCCTTTCCATTTACCAGGGCAACCCATTTTGAGCTTGAATGTTGGATGGTTCCATGTGTTAATTGTTGGGAGGTGTCCCTGGACCCTCAAAATTCCATCTCACAAACCAAAATGATGGAAGCTGTGAATTCCAATCCTTTTTTATGGGTCCGATCGGTACCGACTTTTGAACACAGTATTCAGTATCATACATAGAGAGACACATAAACACACATTGACTCAGGCAGGATTTTTTGGAGTCGACACACTCCATGTGTCAGCAGCATTTTGTGTAGCTGGTTTGGATGTTTACTTCCAGGCACCCTGAGTGTTTTTCATTTGACCACACCCTCTTCAACTCAGGCCTTGCAGCGCTTCCTGGGAGACCAGCCGGCACTGCTGCGGGAGGCGCGGAAGCATCTCAGCGAGGCGGGAGTCGAAGCGAGTCGTGAGTCAAATCGAAGCGAGAGATGGCGTGGGGTGAATACTCTGGGGGGACCTTCTCCATTTTTTCCAGGGATCCTTCTTTCTAGAAAACCTCCGGAAACCCAGGGAAAACGGAGTTTTTGGAAAGAACGATGCTTGAAACGAATGGGGATCAAACCCTAGAAATACACGGAGAAAAGTTTGGGTCTCCTCAAAATATGTTTTTGGAAGGGTAAACCATAGGCGATGTATGGAGTGGCGGAATGTTGAGCCATCAAAGTTGGGGTGGAACTGCTCACGCCGTCCCATGGAGGTCCGGCTAAAGGGTAGAATCAGAAATATGCCCTCTTTTGTGGGCCAAGCGGTAGCGTCTATGCCAGTGCTTTTGGTTGCAGTAGGTAGCCAGTGGAAACCATGCATGTAATTCCATGACAGGGGCAACTGGGTGCAACGAAGGAAAATCGACGCGTGACATTGTTTTTCGTGTCTAAGCGGCTTAAACAACAGTAAATTGCACAGATCATTGCCAGACTGAGCTTACCTGTTGATCTCTTGCCTTTTTGAAATTCAGGCCCGTTCTTGCTCGAGCAATGGCGATTAGAGCCAACTCGTGCATTCCAGGCCCCCTATGCGTTGCTGCGTTCCGAAATGTTCTGGACCATCGACGTCTCCCACTGCCTTGACTTCTTGATCTAGGTGCTTTGTGGAAATAAGCTCGGGCGATATCCCCAACAGCACACACCCTCCCAGAATCCTCGCGGAACGCCCCGGGACCATCCTCCCTGATCGGGGCCCGACGGCGCAATCGGGGCCCGATCGGGGCCCGACGGCGCAATCGGGGCCCGATCGGGGCCCGACGGTGCAATCGGGGCCTGATCGGGGCCCGACGGTGCAATCGGGCCCCGATCGTCCCGTGGTTCAACCCCAGCCACCCATATTATAGCTCAACGCCGGTTTTCCTTAGCATGCGGATTGCAACTGTATCTATAGCAAAACTAGGCGATGCCAGCTTGGTACAATTGACGGGGCCCGACTGAGTCGGGCCCCGATCGGGGCCGATCGGGGCCCGACGGTGCAATCGGGCCCCGATTGTCCCGTGGTGCAACCCCACCCACCCATATTATAGCTCAACGCCGGTTTTCCTTAGTATGCGGATATCATTGCAACTGTATCTATAGCAAAACTCGGCGATGCCAGCTTGGTACAATTGACGAGGCCCGACTGAGTCGGGCCCCGATCGGGGCGCGATGGCGCAATCGGGGCCGATCGGGCCCAAACGGTGCAATCGGGTGGGCCCCGACAGTGCAATCGGGCCCCGACCTAGGCCCGGTGAACCTCGCAAACCGTTCTCACGCAACTTTCGCGGAGCTCAGCGTGAAACTTTGCTGGAACCTTTCCTCAGGGCTGCCCCATAGCTTTTGCAGAATTTGGTGGGAACCTTCTGACCTCATAGCCCTCGGGAATTCTTGGAACCAAGCAGCAATGCCAAGCATTTGCTTTGCTGCACCGTGAGTTCCGCAGCGACGTGATCTGATTTGCCACAAAGCCAACATTTGCCTGAGCAAGTGAGCAAGTCACAAAACAGTGAAAGTGTGATAAAAAACATTGATTTCGGTTTTGCTTAGTGTTCCGCCCAGGAGCAAAGCGATCTTGATCCGATGGCTTTTCAGACGACGGGCGCACGACACACCCTTGGTGGAGCATTGTGGAGCCTTGTGGAACCCGTGTGGAATCCTTGCAGAGCTTTGTGGCACCCTGTGAAACCTCAGGGCCCACAGCCCTCGCACCTGAAACCCTCATACAACCTTACCTCAAACCACCCCGGACCACCCCGCAGCCCTCGCAGAACCTCGTGGGACCCTGCTAGAACCGTGCTGGAATGGAACCTTACCTTGCAAAACCAATTCTGGTGGAATTCTCATGGAACATTACCTCAAACCAGCCCGGACCGCTGGTGGAACCCTGGTGAAACTCTGGTGGAACCCTCGTGGAACCTTCCCCGAACCACGCCGCACCCTCGAAGAAATTGGTGGAACCCTGCTAGAACCCTCGTCCGGAGTACGACGGGCTGGTGGAACCCTGGTGGAAACCTGGTGGAACCCTCGTGGAACCTTACCTCAAACCACCTCGGACCACCCTGCAGCCCTCGCAGAACCTGGTGAAACCCTGGCAGAATTCTGGTGGAAATCTGGTGGAACCCTCGTGGAACCTTCCTCAAACCAGACCACCCCAGCCCTCGAAGAAATTGCTGGAACCCTGGTGGAACCCTCGTGGAACCTTACCTCAAACCACCCCGGACCACCCTGCAGCCCTGGTGGTGGAACCCTCGTGGAACCTTACCTCAAACCACCCAGACCAGCCTGGTGGAACCCTGGCGGAACCCTCGTGAACCTTCCTCAAACCCGCAGCCCTCAAAGAAATTGGTGGAGCCCTGGTGGAACCCTCGTGGAACCTTACCTCAAACCACCCCAGACCACCCCGCCCTTGCAGAACCTGGTGGAACCCTGGTGGAACCCTGGTGGAACCCTGGTGGAACCCTGGTGGAACCCTGGTGGAACCCTGGTGAAACCCTGGTGGAACCCCTGGTGGATTCTGGTGGAACCTTAGCTCAGGGTCGCCCCGAACCACCCCGGAGCCTAGCTGGGCTGAGACCCCAGAGCTTTCAGCTGTTGGGGAAAAAATCGGGCCCATAGATCTCCAGCCATTCGCGTGCCCAACATGACCTGAACCAAGGGCTATGCTCTTATACCCTTTCGATTTGGGGGAGGTGCCTCAAACTTGTGAAGCTTGTTCGGGTCGGCATTCAACAAAAGGAAGCCCGACCGTGTTGAAACACATGATCTTCACACAGAAGGGGTCCACTTTGAGGCTGCTGTTGCTTCAGAGATTTCTTAGGAGCTCATTTGATTCTCGGGAAATTCTCGCCAGGAAGGCGAACATCTCATGACGCTGGAAATCCTCGAGTAGACAAATGTCTCACGAGTGGCGCGAGGTCTTGGCGACTGTTGATGCCAAGGTTCCCCCATTCGGGTTGATATGAACTGTCCAGTAGTAGCCTTGTTGACTCTCATCGCTACTGCCCTGAATCAGAATACAAGCCACAATCAAAACTCGGGCAGGCTAAGGAGAGTAAGGGAGAATCAATCCGTCAGTACATGGGGTACGGCTTGCGTTGGTAAGACCATTCTCAGGCTTGGATTAGGACGCACATGTTTGCATGTATGAACATCTTTTCGGACCCCGAAAAGGGGGTCGCATCTCTTGATTGTCCTTGACACCAACGTGGCTTTAGATGGTTTCAAGGGACATCTGTGCGTATGTCCATATGTTAAAAAAAAAAAAAAAAAAAAAACGATTAAACAAAAATAAAAAAATGCTGAAACAACAATTCCGTTTGGGGTGATGTGTAAAGGGGGCATAGCAGGAACCAGTTCCGATGCCTTTAAACTAAGTTTCGCAGCAAGCATCCGGGACCCTATCAGGCCGCACGCGTTTGCTCCTGGCGGCTTCGAATTTACGCCTTTTCAGCCTAATACGGGCGACTTAAATTCAGTGCTCACTGCACCACTGCACGGCTTCCAGTGATGAGACAAAGGGAGGGACGTCTCGAGTGAGGGTGAGGGCAGTATATGCCCAAGTTGTGCGAAATGAATGCGGAACCCTTGTGGAAACTACAATCAGTTGCAGATGGCTGGTTTGGCATGGCGGTAGCTGAGATCTGGGGTATGCTGATCTCCACATGCCCTTGACCAAGTTCAAGCCCAGCAATCTGAGTTCTTTTGGCCTGACTGGTTTTACCGGGAATATGACTTGAGTTTCATCCTGGCGAATATTGAATATTTTTGTCAGGACGAAGCTCAATGAATCTTCGATGCCAATCAGCGCACGGTTTCCACACAGCTTCTCAGCGAGAGGTCCCGTCTCGGGGCTGGAAGTGGGACTCAACCCCTCCCGCAAAGAATATAGGCGCAAAGCCTGTCGCTCAGCCGCAAAATCCGAAAGGCGGGGCAAGCCGCGTTCGGTTTGGATTCACAGAAGTGAGTGTTCGCATCGTCCGTACTATGTATCAGTGTATATATACATATATATATATATACACATATATATATATATATATATATATAAATAGTATGCATTTACGCCATATATATATATATATATGTAGATATCACCCTTTCTGGGCCAACTCGGGAGGCTTGAAGTTGATGCTTACTTGCCGGCGAATGTTTTTGTGGTGCCAAAAGGCTATCACCTTTAACTTCTGGGCGCGAACTGGGCAGCTGAGTTGATTTATGTTTGTTTTTGTCTTCTTGGTATTCTTGGAAAGCCTCGTTGCAACGAGCTCAAGGGACAGAGGGAACCCTTTGAAAGGTTAAGCTTAAAAAGAAACCAAAAGGAAGGCCACCATGTATGGGGGAATGATACCCATTGGACCCCTAAGTTGCTGCCGATTCGCTCAGCCTGTATTTGCTACATGTCTTTACGGGGTGGGTTGAAGAAGTGTCCCTTCGTGGAAAGACCTGTTTCTCTCTCTGGCGGGGTCGAACGGTCGATTCTCGCCGAGTGCTTCAGTGCTTGCGAGCAAAAAAAGAACGATGCGGAAGGTGGTGAGCCACATGTGAACCACTTTTTGTGTAGTCTTCCATTGGCTGAGATGAATATATTTTTTTGCCCCTGTTGGTTTTAAGGAAATCGCAGTGGTCACTTGCTAGGATGTTCCCTGCCGCATCAGGTGAGTAGCCAAGTTCAAAGCTGGGGTAACTAAGGTTAGTTGGCTTGAAACCATGGCCTACCTGGAGTTCCATGACTGGAAAAGGCAAACCCTGCAAATTGGGGGGTCATACCCACAATAAAAGTTGAGTCATGGACCCACGTTTAGGGATCTCGCCATGACTCCAAGTACTTTCCTGGGCAAGGAACTGTCAGCTCGCAGTCCCAAGTGAGGGTCCTTGAGTACCGGTCCCAGACCCTTTAGTCACCCCCTGCTGTCGATGGACGAAATCCGTTTCCACCACTTTGAAACCATGGTTGAAACTACTCCTTGTTGGTATTTACAAGGGAATCATTATTCCAGGGTTTCTCAGGTGGTGCCGGATTTCGTCCATCCACAGTAGGGAAAAATCTTTCGGGGCCCACTTGAAAAATGAAAGGGACGCCCTTTAGGCAATCAAGTGCAGGCCTGCTGATTCTTGGATCGAATCAACAGGCTCGAAAAAGCGGTGTTTTTGTTTAATTGATGGTACAACCATTGCCCGGGAAAACCGAGGAACGCAAGCCGTGCCAAGGGCTGAAAGGGCAGGGGGTGATTTCAACCACCCTTTTCCCAAGAATCATGGATGTTGCCACCGAAAAAGTTTTGGAAGACGATGCTTCTTTTGCAAACCCCCTGCCGACTTCATGATTGTTGGAAAGAGGGTACCTGGGCAAGCCAGAATGATGGAATGTGTGAATGCCAGCTTTATGTTGGCCTATGTAGGCTCTACTATAACCCCCAATGAGAGCAGGTGGCAGAACTTTGGGTCAACCGCTCTTCTTTTCGCACACCTTGCAACCCTCGCAGGTTTGCTAGCAACCAGCAAGCAAATATGGGAACCATACGTACAAAAGCAAGAGCGCCCATGCTTTTAGAACCCCCATAAAGGTATGTGGTTGTTTTTCTTGTGGAGGATACCATGTTTTTTGTTGGTTTAAAGGGAAGCCTAAAGTAAACACATAAATTGTTTTTGGGCCGGTCTTGTTTAATCACGCCAGCTAGAACTGTCAAATTTGGAATTCCGTGTGAAATCACCTGACAGTCAGCTTTGAAAGCTGTATGTGCAAGTCCCTGCAGCTCAACTTTGAAGGGTCCACCACGTCCGCTCGTTTGGAGGTCTTCTTTTTAAACGGTCAAGGGACCCTACTACTTTCCTCAGCCTTTGCGATACCTGTGGATCGACAAACTCCTGCACCACCTAACAAACCCTGGAAAGATGATTCCCATGTAAATACCGACAGACAATGGCTTTCCATGGTTTCATTTCGTGGTCTGAACCGCAGAACATTTGGTCGAGGAAGGCCACGGTGTTGCAGGTAGGACCAGATGTGCTGCATCTCCATTTTGTGGTCGAGTGACCCTACTTTTTTTGTGATAACCTTATGGTCAAGACCGTTAAACAAATGGTCGAGGAAGGCCGGAAGCTTCGGAGACAAACCAATGTGAGGCCATTTCTTCTCCACCGGTCAGATGAGATCAATCGTGTTTCAGAGTTGCTCCAACCCCCCCCCCCCCACAATAAGACAATGATCAATCAAACCACGCCAGGTGGACAATTGATGTCATCGCTTCTCGGGTCGAGAAGCATCCCTGTGTCACCCAACTAAGAAAAGGACTTGGACGTTCGACCCTATTACTAAATGAATGCTGAATGTTCGGCCGAGTATGTGGTTAGCCACCTGCGTCACAACCCACTAGCAAGGTCAACTCCACCCAGCGGACCTGGCGGCTTCTAACCTAGGCTTCCGGTAGAAAGCTTACAATCTTGGCTAATCCAACACCCAAGTAACTACTAACCTTCTAAAGGTTTCCCCTTCTTTCCAAGCATCGTTCTATTCGAGAACCGGCCGTTTCCCTTGGGTTTCCGGAGGTTTTTCTAGAAAGAAGAAGCCCTGGATTCAGCATGGGGAAGGTAGCACTAGAAACCTGGCCAGACGCCTGAGGACGCTAGGGTCCGATCGATCCTCTCTCAGGGCCCAAGGGCCCTCAAATTGCGAGCCTTCGGTTAGGAAGCCCACTTGAGCCACAATCGAAACCAGGGTGGATGAAGGTTAGTGAGGGACACTCCCAGCCAAAAATCGTTGCGGACGCCTTCTTAATTCTTTACATGGTTCTGGGTGGACCATTTTCATACCGGGTTTTGATTGTGACTTACTTGCAATTGGATTCATCAGCGGATGTGGGCGGTTGGGGAGGTTGGGGGTTGTTTGGCGTCAAGCGGTCGCAACCCCAACTCCTCAATCACCCCCCAAAAGCCCCCGCAACGGGTTTCGTCTTGGCATCAACTTGTGGGTCAGAGTGTTGGGTGCAGTGGCTCACTTCCATTTGTTGGAAAGTATGTGTTCATTTCCACTGCTTTTACACGGAGGCTATCACTTGTGGACATACTTGTTTTTCCCAGGGAACTTAAGCAAATGGAGGTTTCAAGGTCTACAAGATTTTGGGGCAAAAAGTAATTGTCACCTCTGAATTTGCTGATTACCTGGTCTTGCTCGGCAATGCTCATGATGGTGATCGACTTCCATGTTTTGGTTGCCCCTCAACCCCCCAAAAAGGGTACCCCCAAAAGGGTTGACTATGCATGTCCCGCAACTTGTCACATTGCGCCATCGGCTCACGGTTTTTGGTCACCCGAGAGCTCACATCCCTCGATCGGTCTGCATGGCCTGGATTTTAGCGTGGTTCGTAACCCCCAGGCACTTTAACCCCCGGGCAATCCCTGGTGCACCCTTGCGTACTGACCAGTTGGCTAAGCCCAAAACCATCCAAGAGCGCCTGCTTCAACAAGCGCAATAGTTGGCAGCACGCGGTTTTTGCAGGATGACTTGCTTGCTCCCCGAGTAAAGCGGGCTAAGCCTCAGCCCGTGGCAACTGGGTTGTAACACTCCCCCCGTTGTGACAACGTACCGAATCATGGTTGTTGTTGGGAAACATTGAAAACATGTTTGCTTCTTGTGGTTTAGTGGGATTGAAGATCCAAATCCACTGAACTGCTCTTCTTTCTATAAATTTAGTGGTTGAAATCCAAATCCACTGAACTGCGAAATGGTTTCAATTTGTGCTCCCCAAACCCCAAGGTCAACCCAGAAATTGTACTGTGGATGGACAAAATCCATTTCGCACCACTTTGAAACCATGGGAACACATTTCTTGTTGGTATTTACAGGGGAACCGTATCATTCCGTTGGGTTTGTTCGGTGGTGCGCAATGGATTTCGCAACCATCCACCGTATGTAGGTCTCACAAAAGCCACCGGACTCCAAGCGACCGGACTCGATGACTCGGTTTGCCAATGGGGCGACCGGAGGCATCTTTGGGCCTTTGGATGTGCAGACTGAGCTACAGATAGGGAGTGATTCTAAGTGGTAAACATACAGCAACCAAACATGGCTTGCCCAACTTGATGGTAACTGAGATCAAATTGTTGATATATATATATATATGTACATATGTTGTTTCTCTCAAAGTTCAGGAGCCTCTGCTGGTTTATTTCCTTTCGGCTTCCCGTCAACACCATCCAAAACTTGGTGGCTCCCAGCCATCCGGTTCCTTAGCTGTTTAGCCCTTTAGTGTTTAGTGGCAGTTTCCATTTAACCCACCAAAAGTTAAACGTTTAGCGGGGCATCTGGCTGTGGGTCAAAACCAACGGTGCCATTTTGGTTGGTAGGTGAATTCACCACCCCTTCTTCTGTATTTTCGTGGTTGGATTGAATTGGATGTTCACTGGGGGCTAACCCGATTTGGCTGTTGACCCATGGCCATCTGAAAACGATTTGGCAGCCCAGCAAAGGGAAAAGGGGACCCCAATTTGGAGCAACACCCGCTGGCCATGGTGACCTCGCGGAAGGGCTCTGGTTCGGAGGCCCTGGCTTGGAGAGGTGGACGGGATACCCTGTTTAGGGGTGAGACCCTCAAACTGCCCTCAAAGCACCCCCTTTTTTTTGGGGGGGCAATCATCCATGTTTATGGGTAGTTTGAGGGTCCAAGTGGTTCTTTGCAAGGAAAACCAACCAGGAAACCCTTGCCACTCTGGGTCCCGGTTCCAACCACAAGACATGCCCAGATGTTGAGAGAAACATTCTGTAGCGACTGGTATGGATGCTTATGTACCACCAATATAATATTGTAAGGCGGTATATACCATCCCACCAATTATCATGGGACCTGACGTTCGGGGGGTGAAAGACCATGTTCCTTTCAAAGGGACCAGATCCCATGTAAATTGGTGGGAGGGTAGCCCTTATATATGCTCAGTTGCTCAAAACCGACCTTTTGACCTTGTGTTTTTTCCTTTTTGGTCTAGTTTTAGTCATGGCCCCAAAAAGTTAACCTTTTTTTTTGCCCCCTTTGGGCAAGATGAGTAAGTGGTATTTCTCCCCTCCATACCTCCAAACCACGAAATGCCCCGGTCCCAATGCCAGCAGGCTCCCAGGTTCCCCGAGCGATTTCCAAAGCGCCCACTGATTCGAAGGGGTGCCCAAACCTTTGTTTGTTTTGCTTGCTTGCTTGCTTGCTTGCTTGCTTGCTTGCTTGCTTGCTTGCTTGCTCGCTTGCTCGCTTGTTTGTCTTCTGTTGGCTTTTCTCTGTTGGTCTCTGTCATTTGGTACTTCTTTGATCTCCTCGAGTTGCTTTGTTTGGTTTCCCTCCACGGCAAGGTTTTGGTGGCACCTTTCCAATGATTTGCTTTGAGTTCTCTGCAACTTTCTTGCAGGGTTTCCCAAACCGAATTTCTGCCTTGAAACTGGAGCCCCAGCTTCGCAAGGCGCTGCGATGTAGGCGCGGCTCAGGGCTGAAGGGCCCTCAGCATTTCCCTTTGGGCGGGTTGGACACATCCCCCAAAATTCCTTGGTACCCTTGGAGGCTGGTTTTGGTTGTTGGTTAGGAGGTAAATAGTCCCCAAAAAGGGTAGTTGGATGGATCATGTGTGGCCAATTTGAGGTGGAAGTGTTCGGGGTGTAAGGAGGTGAGCTGAACCGGAGGAAGGGCCACCGAACGGCTTGGAGGGCACAGCCTCGAGGTCTTCGAGTTCCATTGGCTGGGTCATTTCGGCTGTGCTGACAGAAGGGCGATGAACTCGAATGGTTGGACTACCCAAATGGATCAGATCCAAGCATTGTAAAAGGGGGTTAACGATTCAAACTAATATTAATACTAGACCCGGAGGCCCCCTGGTCTGGGTTTTTCCATCCAACCCAAGAAAAATGGGGTTCCCCGAAAAAGCAAAATTACAAACACCCAATTGACCTTAATGAAGCCTTTGAACCGGCAAACATTCATGTTGGTATCCGGCGAGGCCGAGGACGCACCGATGCAACCTCCATGCTAAGACATGTAGCGGATCAGGATATTGAATAATGTGACGGAAGTTAGCCAAGTGGTGCTGTCTCCAAAAGAAACCTTGCAACACTTCCACTGTAGAGGACTAACTTCACTCAGGGGTTTGCAAGTGGGGACAAGATGAAGCACCAATTGCCGACCGGGCTTGACGAACACCACTTGAGATGTGCGCGGATTTTGGCGCCGCAACCGACTGGCTCCAGAAGGAGGTTTACTTGGGCCAAAGCCTTGCGGGTAGTTCCACGCCTTTCCGTATGGAGCTGCATTCCTTTCAGTGTCCCTTGCATTTCGATTCTTTTGCCGACATGGGTCTTAAGCTTTGGACTGGGAAAGCAACAATTGCACCTTGGGTCTAAAGCTTAAAGCGATATACTTCTTCTTTTTGCGAGCAATGTCCATCAGGACCCAATTAGCATTGCACCATGAGTGATCGCTTGGGGTAGCTACAAGCACGCCGTGTCTGCCACATGTCCGGGCTCGCAGCTTTTCAGGGGTCTTTCCGGGGCTCTGCTACCGCCTGCCAACCCCCAACCACTGCTTTTTGGACAGTACTTGCAATGAGGAGTTTGGACCATCCTGCTGGCAAGGAACATGTTGCATATCAGCCGCGGGGAAAGATTGCAGGTTTGTTTTCTTCTTGGACACCAAAGAGTTCATGAGACAGGGGACAGCCCCCGTGCTTCCGATTCCGATCGGGACGCATTCCATGTGAGCCGATGGCGACCCATGTCTTTTTCAGGCCGGGCGAAACGACTGTCGGAAGGGGTCCAATGCAATTCGGAGGCGTTCGGAGGTGACACCCAGATGTACCTTCAAAAAGGGTGCCTGACGTGGGATTGTTTGGGGCAGTTTGTTTGTTTGTCATGATTTTCCAGGTGGCACATATAAACAGTTTAATGTGATCTGACGAAAATAAAAAAGGCAAGTTGCGAAGCGACCAAAGACTCGCTGTGCTGAACAAGGAAAGCTGCAATTATGGGCCATCGGTATGGACTCCTAGCCATTTTGCAACATTTCGAAGGCTTTGTTGCACAGCATTTTCTCGACAAACATGCCAATATTTGTTTAACCGTGTGCGGCATACGAGCTTGGGTGTCCCATGGCACAAAACGATTTCGTTTGGACTGAATGTTACCTCTTAGGGGCTCTTTCGTATGCTGCAGTCTTCGCATGAAATGTGGCATGGGGGAATCCCGTCAAAGTAACTGTTGGAATTGTATCCTTGAGGTCGCCGTTGCCAAGAAGCGGCACAGGCGCCACTGGAACGGCCTTATATCTGTTTTCTTGGACTGTACAGGTTCGGCTTGGTGGCCATGTGAGAGCTACCTGGACCTGGAAGAACAACCAAAAGCTGTGGGTTGCACCACCCGGGGGTTCCCCCTCCGCTTTCAGCATGGACTCGGGGAACCGGATCGAGGCGCGAAAGCTCCCGACTGCTCAGCCCGAAAGCGACTCTTGAACCCCCAAAAGGGCAAAGCCAACTCGCAAAAAAACACATTTTGTTTTTTTGGACTTCGTGTTTTATGGTTGGACTGTCCTTGGACTTGTGAACCCCCCAAAAAGGACAACCCCCCCTAAACAATTGGTGTTTTAGGGACCTTTGAACCCTCAGGAAAGGGCGAACCACCCTCCAAACATTCAGAGTTTTATGGACTGATTGGACTTGTGCACCCTGAAATGGCCCAAACAAGGCACTTATTGTGTTGTATGGACTTTTGAACGCCCAAAAGGGCAAAGACACCCCCAAACTTAGCGTTTCATTGTCTAATGCACGTTGTTCTTTTCAGGGATCCTCCACCCAAAGCCCTTTCAAGCAGTACTTGAGCTCTTTTTTTTGCTGAGTATTTTGTTGGGGGTTGCTTTACAGGGAAGTAAGGGAAAACCACCCCTTTTGATTTTCCCCAAACAATCACATCTGGCAGATTTTCGCAGGGTGCGGCATGGCTTCAAAAGCCACCCGATTGGACCCCCTCAAAAAAAGTGCTTTTGGCTTCTCTGTTAAAACGCAAAAATGGCGGTCCCCTCAAAAAAGACACACACACACACACACCCCACGATTTGTTTGGCTTGTTGACCCGTAATCGTGTGTGGGGGCTTTCGGGGTGATCAGTCTTCACCTTTCAGCTAGCAGAGCTTGAGTTCGACCAACTCAGTATGGGCGAATGCAGTGTGGAGCTTCTATTTCGGTTTTGCGAAAAGAAGGGCACTCCCAGGTCCTTTTGGTGTTGCTTCAAAACTGATCAAAAAGGGTGCCCCAAAAACAAGACCAACGTATTTTAGGGTGGTTTGATCGTCATGCGAGGCATCGATGCGCTTGAGGATGTGCAGGCAGGCAGTGTCGTTTTTGTTTTTTGTTGCATGAAGGCATGGTGGGGTTTAGGGCCACTTCTGTGATACTGTTCATGGAGGAAATCCTGCACCACCTCAGAAAAGATGGAATGATGATCCCTACAAACGATCGTTTCCACTGGTTTCAACATGGTGTACTTGAAGGGGCAGGGTACTTAGTAAGTGGTTAGTAAGCCAAGTTATAACCCACATAGGCGACTTATAACCATGATAAGTGGGTTATAACCTGACTTACTAACCACTAAGTACCCTGCCCCTTTAAGTAGGATTTCGTCCATCCACAGTAACACGGGTTGGGGATTGCCCTCCTGAAGCTTCGGCAACTGCAAAACCAGTCCTACAATTACCCAACCCAAAGGGAATCCTTGAAAGTGATACAGTCATGGGAATGTCCCATGCTAGCACCCAAATTTCGGGGTGGCCGCGTGTACCTTTACCTTTGGGAAACCCATTTTGCCCCCAAAAACATACCAGTCCTTTCGCTCCAGTGGTCGCCTGTCGCTCCGTCTCTCCCAAAAAGCTCGGAGATCCCCAGCCCGAAGACGGGGAATTCAAGCCCTGAGCATTCAACTTATGTTGACCCAGTTTCGTGAAGGCGAAAAATAGGATTGGGACCCGGATCCACCCCCGCCTTCCTTTTCCGTTCAGGGGAAAACAATCCTCCCCCTACTGGGGGTTCCTGGAAAACCTTATCCACGCCCCAGCAAATGGAAGCGCCATCTCGCAGCTTGCTCTTTGGCAAGCCTCAAAATACGTCTCAAGCTCGATCTTTTCCCGCACCTCCCCTGGAAAATTCCCGAGAATGCTGTGTGTCCTCTGTTTTTCCAAGCGTCACCTTTGTCTTTCTGGTGGGATGAGGTAAGGAGGCATTGGAACTTTGTTTCTGGACTCCACGCTGGGCAGATGATCGCCGTAGCGGTTACTCAGAAGACTTTCGTGAGCTTTTTTGGGGGATCCAAAGTGAGACACGAGCGTGGGGTGTTTGTTTCGAGGTAAAGACACCAGGAGTCTAGCTTTTGGTGAAACGACAGTGGGTGAGTCTCCTTTCCGCGAAAAGGAGTCTTTGGGGGTACCTAGTTAACGTTACCAATTGGGGCCCATAGAATTTTGAGATAGGATGCTTATGCTTGGACCCAGAACATGCCCTTAAGAACGGTTTATCGCCCAACCATTGTGGAATCAGTTCCCTTTTTTGCAGGTTGATGGTCCAGGTGGTTTGACGCCTCTGCTGCTTCGTTCACTCTGCATGGATTGCAAACGACGGGCGCCCCGACTCAAGTTGGCGAGGACGACCTGGAGCTGGTCCTGCAACAAGTCGCTACAGGCCGGGCGACGGGTGCGGCGCTAGTTCAAGCCTTCGGTCGTCCAAAGGTCACCGCTAGGTCCCCCGGCTAGGTGCGCTTTTACCAACTTGTTTGGGGGAGGGTTCCCCTACTAAAATAGACTACTGAAAAACAGGTACCCTTGTTCTAACCTCTCTACTGGAGGACCTAGGGTGGGGCTTTAGCCCCAAAGCGTGGGGCCCAAATCCTAAAGAAAGATACCCGTCTAGCAGCTGTGGCAACTTGCTGTGGGGTGGTCTGTTGGTTTGTTCGTTGGTTGGTTTACTGGTTGGTTGGCAGGAACAGGGGGAGAGAAGGGCAACATCCCGCTATGGTTCAAGCCGCCCACGTGCAGCGAACCACTCCCGGCTAGGAGAACGAGCTTTGTTTGCATCTCCTCTTCCTTGTTCCCTTCATTCGGGCAACTGCCTTTCACTTGGAACCCCCCCCCCAAAAAAAGAATAAAATCAAAATGCACCCATCTATAATATACTCCCGTACAGTTTGACATGGAACCCAAAGACCCACCATTCTTAGAGAAGCATCGTTTTGTGGGACCCCTGTTTTTGTGTTCCTTCCGCTTGTTTTGAGGGCAGCATTACATCCTTTGGGGGGTTCCAACCTTAAAGGCGAGCCGCCCACATGACAAGCCCCTTTCTCGAAGGACGCCAATCGGAGAACCGAAGCCATGTGGGATTTGGGGTGTCCGGGCTCCGAATCCACACAGCCATCTCTGCGAATGGCCAAGAGCCACGTTGAAACTCAGCGTCCCATAGGCGTTGGGCATGGGATCGGAGTTTCTCGCCGGATCCGGCGGGCGGGCGCCCGCGAAAAACGGCGCGCGCTTGCCATGTGAAGCTCAGAGGACTCCGGGGCCAATTGAAATAGATGGGAAGAATCCGGACTCCGGACCCCACCCCGCCAAGATGTTCAACCTGAGTGGGTTGTGTATAGCTCGGGAAAGTGTGGCTAGTTGGCTTATAGCCATGGTTGTAAGCGACTAAGTTGGTTGAACATAAGTGTCTGGTTCGTTGTTGGCTTAGAACTATGGTCGTAACCTACTAAGTTGGTTGAACATCCAAGTAGGATGGCCCTAGCTTAACATTACAAAAGGTTCAGCTACAGCCGGATGTCGCGATCGAATTTGTGCAGGTGAGCTGTCCTTGTCTGCGGCCCTGGGCTGGGGCCTATGAATGGCTCCGGGCGGTCGACAAGGCCACCATCCCTCCCTATAACTCACTCCTTGAGTTGTTGGACTTCAGATTTTTTGGGAAGACCATTTCAATGGCAACCAACCAGTTTGGACTTTCAAAGCCATGCTTTCAAGAGTATTCCTTGATAGCCATGGACGATACATCAGGCAACCACGTGGCTACCGTGAACTAGGTGCCCAATGCCCCTTTAAAACCAACCAGACGGCAACAAGCAACCAAGAGTCCAGCTGCCAAATGGTCATCTGAACGGTGGCTTCTGATCACGGGGCCATCTTTGCCTGGGTTCAAGTTCAAGGCTCATGCCCAGACGGATTGGCGAACACCCCATATGGGTCTGTCAGTCTTTAAACTTGGTTGGTACCCCGTTTCTGTGGCGGTTTTGAAGGGAAGCCAGAAGGCGAGCCACTTTTTTTGGGTGTGGGGGGGGGAGGTCCCCAAAAGATAGCGAGCCACCCATACTCAGGTGTTCAGCCCGGCGAGGTGTTTGTATCGAACCCCCAGCACGCTTAACTTCACTTGGGGGAGGTTAAGGAGTTCTGCGTGGGGATGCAACCCAAGTATACCGGGGTGAAAGTACCCTCCCATCCACTAGCATGGAACCTGGCTGAGTCCTTGGAAGACTATGTTCCTTTTTAAGGGGCCCTCTGGTGGGTTCGGACGTGCCTTTCTGCGGGCGACGCGGATGACTGGAACCATCACGGCAAAATTTGTGCCATCTACTTTCACCCAAGCGTAAAATAAGTTTACACATGTTGAATGTCGCTTAGGGATTCCTTTTTCAGGTTTGCCAATCGTGGATGACTGTTGTAATTTGAGCACTCCGAGGAGACGTCTCCTATGTTTCCCTTATGGTTTTAAGCACCACCTTGTTTGGCCCCTCTAGTTTTTTCTTGCTGATTTGTTTTTAAAACTCGAGAAAACCCTGCAAAACACTTCCGGCACCTTTTGGCCCCTCCAGTTTTTCGAGGCGATGTCTCTTTTTGAAAGAGCTCCGGAACCCTGGCACTTGCCCCCCCCCCCCCCCCCGGTTGGCTCGCAAAATCCGTTCCTCTGGTCCTCCTGCACCTCGGATGTTTTGAGCTGGTAAGGCGTGCTGGAAGCCGAGCCCGAGCCGGACCCTGCGCACTGGCAGGCGAAGCGAGGGAAGTTCGGTTCTAACTATGGACCGACGGGGGCCCAGAGCTACTAAGAAGTGGGTTTCACCTACAAGGTTGCCATGGATCCATTGGCAACCTACAGCTACCCCAGTTGGGTATGACCTAGTAAGGTACTTGAACGTTACCCCGGTAAAAAATGCTGATAGAGTTCTACAGCGGGATGTTCCACTGCCAAGCTTGGATGCTCAACCAACGACAGGTAGGTAACCATTCATGATGACACAAGGGTTCAGGACAATCCATACCCAATTGATCTCAAATTGAGAAGTGGCTTGTGTTGACCATGCCCAGCATATGGGTGTGTGTCAGAACCCAGCTGCTCCTTTTTTGGGTAACCCCCTCTGTTTGGTCTGATGGTCTATATTAAGATCTTGGAGGTAGGCGGGAGGGGGTACCTGACCCAAAGCCAGCTAGTTACTATGGATAGTTTTTGAACAGACCTCAATTGAGGATGACATTGTTGATACTCTGTGTCGAGGAGGAGTTGCGGGGGTACGTTCAATTAATTGCTGCGGCATGTTTGTGCCATGGTCAAAACGACCTCACTGAAGATAAACCGGATGGTTTTGGACCCTGTCAGGAGTTTAGGCACCACATGGGGTAGGTTTGGCTCTCAAGACTGGCTAGTTGGTTTCCTTTTGCGAACCATAGGAGAGGCGTTTTCCTTTTCCATGAGACTGGTAAGACTTTCACATCTCCATGTTGGGAAGCGGCGTTTGAGTCTCAACAGTCCTTCTGCTCAGCCACACTGCGCCAGGTTGCCAGCAAAAGCCAACGCGGTGAGGCCAGCGCTGAAAATAGCTGGACTTCCCGCCGACTCTTGTCACTGCTCCCCCAATGTTGAAAGCAATTCGGGCCAAATCGTTGCGATCAAGGCCCAAGAGGAGAACGAGCTTACGAGTCATGGCACAGCAGCAAAGGCGCAGGCCTTTGTAGGCTTTGTAGGCTTTGTAGGCTTGGTTGGCTTTGTTGGCTTTGTAGACTTTGTGCACTGTCCTGGGCAGGTTATTTCTTGGCATGCTGGGTCTGGACATTTCGGCTTTTGGTTCGCACGTCGCGGTTCTTTGAGTTCGGTCATCTCAGGGCATGCCTCTTCCGCGCGGATCCCTGAGCCAGGCGCAGGTTGCGAAGAGACGACCAGAGGCCGGTACCTACAGACTCGTCGAGACTGTCAATCTCCCACTGCACGAAGTCATTCCTAAAAGCCTACACACCCAAGAACCCACACTTTGAGGATTTCCCGTTTAGAAGCAATCCCACATGTCCTAAGCCGACTTACCTAAGGCTAAACCGGGAGTAATCAACCCCAGTGTGTGTTTTGTGGGTGTCATTGGGTTAAGTGGGGAATCAGACCACTTTTGAAGGGAACCCAGATTCATACTGTGGATGGACGAAATCTTGCACCACCTAACAAACCCTGAAATGATGATTCCCCTGTACATACTAACTAGAAATCGTTTCCCACTGTTTCAAAGTGGTGTAGGATTTTGTCCATCCACAGTAGGATGGGTTCTACGACCCGTGCAAACATCAGAGCCGGTGGGCTTTTTGGGCAGGCCGAGAAGAGGCGCGAGCCGCGGCAACTGGAGGCAGGAGTTTTGGTTTGGGTCAGTTGGATCCTTCTCGTTTTAGTGGTGAGCCGGGTCCTTCAAAAAGACGAGCCACACAGTGGGCGGTTCCCTTATTCCTTGCTTGGGAGTTCCCTTTAGAAACAGACCAAACAACAATGGCTTGTTCGTCCCGCCACTGGGGGTCTCAACTTGTGTTTCCAGGTTTGGGCAAATGGCAAATCAACTGTTCCAATTGTTCAAACCAAATGAGCCGGGGTAAATGGATGTGAAACACCAGCTTCCTGAGATAAGTATGGGAGGTTTGGCGATCTCCGGGAGTTGTCCATAGACAGGACGAGGAGGGGGGAACCTGGATTTCCATACCCCACAAGAGCCAGCTCTCTGATTTCCGCCATGTGTCACGGCTCGCCGTTTGTGTGGGTTTCAAGGACACCCAAAGGAACACCGCCCGAAAATGGGGGATCCCCTAAAACCAGACACATCCATGTCCTTTCGTGGGAACAAGCAATTTTCACCGCAGCTCATTGGTTCATTACCCCATGCCAAGCCCTTGTTGCGACTCTGACCGTTGTCCCTCAACCCGGGTTGGGCTAACCTGCATCGAGTAAACATGTTGAAACCACTATTGTTTAATCAGGCTTCTAGTTGCCCTTTGAAGGGGCCCAGGGACGTGTTAAGGAGGACCATGTTAATGGCAAACAACAAGTTTCCACTTTCTTGGGATCAGGAAGGTAGTTGAATTAGGTGACCGCAAACAAATCGGTGATTTCATGTTAATCAGCAAATACCTGACAGGGTATCCTCAAACAACAACACTCCCAAATGGGCGTGTCCTTTCTTTTGAGGGCACCTGTTGTTTGCTGGTGTTTAAAGGCAAACCAAGAGGAAAGCCACAAGTTTGGGGGTCCCCTAAAGAAGACACACCCACATGTGTGGAGCGAGGCTTCAGACAAACGACCAACGCCTCTGTCAGGTGGCCAGAGAACCAAAGCGACCAGAGGACCGGGGTGAGCGCCAGGGCCCGACTGACTTGTCCAAGACCAAACTTCGAATTGTTCAACTTTGATTTGTGGTGTTCACTTGGTGGCTGCATCCAAAACACAAATGTAAACGCTGTTCCAATGGGATTTGAACCAGGGCCAAGGTCTTTGCAGGCACCACCCACCAAATTTGGTGTTCAAGGGGAGTCTATCAGTCTATCACTACAGAAAATATGTACGATTTTTTCCTGGGGGCTTCTCAGCAAATGGAAGTTGATTGACTGCAACCCCTACTGTAAACCCATATAGTAGGTAGCCAGTTACCCATATAGTAGGTAACCAGCCATTTTCCTTCTCGGTGGCAAACCCTTGGTTACCTACTCAGGTAAATGGATCCACTGGGTACTGCAAACCCTTCTCATTTTGAGGCAGTGAACTCACGCAGGCCAAAGACATCGCTTCTGCGCCGCTGCTGGTCGAGGCCTACGAGGCAGATGCGCTCTGTGAGGGGACTTGTGCTCCCTACAAAGCATCCATAGGCTGATTGTATGAAGCCATATGGGCGTGTTTGTTTCGTAGGGGAACCCAAAAATGCAAACTTGTTGTTTTCCCTTTAGAACCACACAACAAAAGGTGCCCCCAAACACTGCACCCCTATGTGAGCCCATTGGCCTTTTGGCCTGTAGATGGTCTCACAGAATTAGACCAGAATTAGCGGTGAACTCACCAACAAACTCGGGGTTCATACCAGGTGTTCACATATGGGGGCATACTTATTAACCCCTCACCTAACCCTTGTTTAGGTTTGTTTACAGAGAAAACGAAAGGAAGACCCCCGTGTCTTGTTCCCTAATTTTGAGCGACACCCATGTTTGACCTGTCAGTCGGACCAACCCAGGTTCTAGTTTGAGCCCGCGAACCCAGGTCAACCACCCCTTCCCCCGCCCAAACAAAGAAAATACAGCAAAACCGTAGCTCTTATCCCATCAGCCTCTCAACCCTCAGACCCCTTGTAAAGCTTTGCAACCGAGGTTGGATTCACCATGCAATTTGTTTCAGGCCTTCTACCAACATCCCAAGCAAGCAGAATTACCACTTTAGTCTGTACGTTCTGTACATCTACTGCAGTTCCTTGGTTTCCTTGGTTTGGAGCCCGGTTTGGGTGTTCGATCCCACTTCCACTTCGCACCATGCATACCACAGTTCCTTTCGAATCGTTGGGAAAGCTACGTCCAAACCCACCAAACCAAACCACCAGTGAAGGGGCTAGCTGCTTACAGGAAAATGGGTCTGTCTTGTTTGTTCCCCCTTTTGGACGCTTGGTGTTCGTTTATAGGGAAACCCAAAGGACAACTTTCTGGGGTCTCCCCCCTCCCCCCAAGTGTCCATCATACCCCCCCTTTCCCCCCGGGGTCGTTGATTGTTGTTGTTGTTGAGTGCTTGCCGCATAGTTCCATCTTTCCCCCCCCACCCCGGCAAAGGTTGTTTGAAGCGGTTTAAAGGGAAACCCCCCCAGCACCACCCGTCACTTCTTGCGGCTTCCAGGATTTGGACCCCCCACCCCGGCTTCCAGGATCTGGACCCCTTCTGCAAGGGCTGCCGAGTCCAGAAGATGCAGCTGAAGGCGCCTTCGCGTTGCGCGTTGCACGTCGCGCAAGTTGGTTGCCAGCAACGTTGGGAATTTCATGTTGAGGTCCTGGGGTTTTGAAGGAAGCACTTTTTTGGGCCTTAGATAATTAAACTGGGGTTGTGGGGTGCTTTAAAGCCAAGTTCTAGAGCCATGGTTGCGGTGGCTTTGTATTAGTCACCTTTTTAGGCCCTGGCATTATGGAGATAAGACATACCACGTAATATAAGGTGTAGATGCCGTAGCGGATTTTTTGACGGTGCATGTGCGAATCCATACCTCCAAAACTACCTGATAAAGCCCATGACCTCACTGAGTCGGTTTTGGGTATGCTCTGGAGGAAAACAAAGGGACACCTGACAGAGGATTCTTCACTTGTGCCCAAAACCGCCAAAAGGACAGTGGATGGACCCTGGAAGGATGATTCCCCTGTAAATACCAACAATCAATGGTTTCTCATTGAATCAAAGCGGTGCAGGATTTGGTCCATCCAAAGTAGGGATGTTAGTAGTCCCTAGACGAACATTACTAACCATGTCAGTAGAACCAACAGTCAATAGGTGTTGGTCGCTGCTCTCTTTAGGAACTATATTCCCAAGGTTGCGTTGCCAAACGGCCCCTTCCCCGCTAGTACTTTGATCACAGCCCAAAGGTAAGTGGCAAATATATCCGGCTAAAAAGTCCCCTAAACGGCATTTACTCCACATATCAACCGCAGAACGTGGACTCGGGGATATTCATGTACCAGATCATCCAACCAACTGTCCCCATTTTCTTTCTCCATTGTCAAAGTCGTCCTAGTTCAGTGGTAGGCGAAAGGGAAACAACCGAATCCATTTTCTATCTTTGACAATTCCCGAAAGAAGTTTTAGGCCTCAAGTAAGGCCTCTTACATGGGGGGTGTTGGGTGCTCAAGTGCGGAATCCTCTGTCACTCCCTTTGTTTTTTTCCTCCAACACATTCGACACCTTCCTGACACCCACCGGAATGAGTCGTTCCCGCGGCTCCCACCGACCCCAAGAGGTCCGCTTCGCGCAGGCGCTCGCGGATCAGATGTCGGCGCTGGGCCGGGCCGTGGTGTCAGCGCCTGAGTGCCGGGGTTGCTTGGGGGTCTTTGATTCCTTCAGTTGAGGGACGAAATCCTGCACCACCTATGGTGAACACCCTATAAATATATTTAAAAAAAAAAATGAAGATCAAACCCTATGATGGTGAAAGCCCTATGATGGTAAATACTGGGATAAACCATCTACCAACTGGTGCAGGGTTTCTTCCATCAACAGTTGGACTCCAGATGCGCATGTTTGTAGGGACTTCTCCCAAAAATGGAGCAAATCAAGTGTGTGTGGCTTTTGAGGTTGGTCTCCTAAAATGATGGGGTTTCTTTTTGGTTTCCCTGAAAAAGAAAAACAAACAACAGGTGCCTGGACCTTCAGAATTCCCTCCAAAAATGGGTTACTACCCCAAAACGCTGGGGTGCATCCCTTTCTGTAATGGGTAGTTTGAGGGTCCAGGTATCCTTTTCGGGGTGGCTTTAAGGGTACACCAAAAGAACCGAAACTAATTTTGAGGCTTTCCCTGTTTAGAAACAAGCCCTGTCCCCTTAAAGGAGCTTAGGCTAACCCCAGACGAATCACCCCCAGTTTATCGATAGGGATGTCCCTGAGTCTAGTGGAATCCGACCACTTTTGGAGCCTGTTGGACGGGTTTATGAGTCCAGGGTGAACATCATGTGTCAAAATAAGGGGACCGTCAGAAAATCGGTGGGTGGTTCTTTCGGTGTCCATTTGAATCAACCTTCAATGGGTGCCAACCGTTTCCCAGCTAATTCTACTACCTGGCGTCACACAGGTTATAGTGAGGCCAAAAACCTTGTAACCATGTCAGCACAACCAACCGTCAACTGGCTTTGGGCGTAGGAATCAACTGAGACCCCTCTTTTCAGGGACGGCCTGTCATAAGGCGGCAGACCAAATTAATCAGTTGTGGACACCCTTGGGCACACCGCTTTCACAGCGCTGCACGGGCCCCAGTATCTTTAGGCGATTTGCCCGCAAAGCGAATCGACCTTTCGACCTTTCGGTTTCTCCTTTTTGGTCTAGTGTTAGTCAGGGCCCCAAAAGGTGATCACCTTTTATTTCTGGGTCCGAACTGGGCAAGTTAGGCGATTTGCGCGCAAAACCGAGCGGAGGCCTCCGCTAGTTCCCTCCTTAGCCGATTTTGGAGACGCTGAGGGCCACTGCGCTCAAAAGACTCATAGGCAACACCCAGAACAGATCGAAGAGTGCCATTCAAACCGGACCAGCAAGCAGACGGAGAAATGCAGAGCAGTGCTTGCAAACAGGATTTTTAGAACAAGTGGTACAGCATCATCCACGGCTTCCGCACTGGGAATGTGAGTCACTTTCCGAAATGCTGCGGCCTGTTCAACCTTCCTATAGGGTGAAATGTTAGGCTGAGGGCACGAGGATATGCCAGGCCCGCTCATTTGTTCCCTTTCTCCCGGAGTACACACACACGCACAGGGTTGCTAGTTGTTGTGTTTTTTTGACAATGGCGCAAGTGTCCAAAGCACTGATACGCAAGTCGGAGACTTGTTTGGGGCCGCAGGGTTGAAAATGTGAGACTAGACGGCTTGAAATGCCTTTTGTTTTTTCGTCGCCAGTTGCCAGCACTTAAACTTTGGAGTGCAGATCTTAGATCCAGAAAGAGTCAAACAGCATATGACTGGTCAGGACCGGTTTGCCGGAATCGCCCGAGACCTTTTGGAAACGAAGGGCTTTCCGTTCAACCGATCAAGCTTTTTTGCTCACACGGAGTCAACCCAGAAAAGGGTTTGAGCAGGGGTTGTGTCCCTTTGAGTGCTTCAGTTGCGATCGCCATCCTCCGGGTTAAACATGCCCAAGCTGCAGGGGGTAGACTGACTCTGAGAAACGGTCAACTTTGCTCGTTCCCTTCAGAGGACTTATGACATTTGAAATGTATATACTGGGGCGTGAGCAGTGGAGGTATCACTTTGCGGTGCGAGCGAACTGTGTTTCTCACCATTCAACCCGAGTCACCCGAGTGGGCGAAGCTTGCCATCCACTTGGGACAACTTCAAAGTACCAGGTCCTTCAGGTACGCAGGTTGCAACCCATGTCCCATATGTCCAAGGGGTTCCAATTTTCCATTGAAACTTGTGTGTCTTGTTCGACCCCTAAAATGGAGTTGTCCTTTGGCTCCCTTTTCAATTGACCCTAGAAAGGGTTCCCGCAAAACAAAACACACACACACACACATGGCTGTCAATCCACAAATTTGGAACCACAAGTGGTTAGGGGACAAACATGTATATGTACATATATATATATATATATACACCCACCTAAATGATGTCCAGCATCCCAATTTAAAACTTCAAATACCCTTATAATTCCCCTTAACCATGTGTTTTGCTCCAAAATTATGGGTGCTGAATTCCCTTCTTTCTTTGTATGGATAGTTAGAGGATCCGGCTGTTGCAGTTACTGTCGCATCCGAATCGACTTGGTGGAGCTCTTCTGTTTTCTCCTTGATGGATCCCAGGGGCCTAGCGGGGAAGCAGCCTTCGTCTCAGGCGCGGAGCACGAACTCCGCTTCGTCTCGCAGCGACACAAAACCATGTACGGTTGAAACCATTAGTTGGTCTTTTATGGGAAATCATATTGTTCCGTCATTGGGCAGGGGCGGGAGGGGAGGGGGAGGGGGAGGGAGCCCAACCTAGCTGTTATTGAGCCCTGAATAAAGCCTTATTTGCGGCTTACTTGGGCCTCCCGCGCCCCCAGGCCCAATCAGGATTTCTTAGGTATGGTTGTCATGATTTCGCCCATTGCTCGCTCGGGTTTTGCAAGACTCACAGCCGGCGAATTGACCGGATCTGACCTTAATCGGTTTTCCCCTTTTGGGTCCGCGTTTAGTGGCCCCCAAAAGGTTGGAGCCTTCAAAGCGCCCCTCGGCGCATTGCCGGCAAGATGACGCGCATTGATCGATCGGATTCTTCCACGTAGCACAGCACTGTTTTTGTCTGTTGCCAACACTTGAGCCACAAGACCGAGACGGGCAAATGGTGCCCAAGCCCTCAAAAAGTGAAGCTTTCGGCTGCGCAAACATGCTGGATATTTGGAGCAGGGTGTACTTCAAAGCCATGAATTTTACCTGGTCAGGTCGCACTTGAAGTCCAACCTTGGACGATAGCTGTGCATCCGAGCCGGACGACTGCAGACTTGCAAGCCACCATTGCACATGCCGTTGAATGAGTTGCTGTGACCTCTCTCATGCCGGTGGTTGTTGAAAGCGCTGCGCAAAGGCCGGTTAACAAAGACACTCTGCTTGTTCACTGCTTGTATCCTTTTTGGTGCTTCTTCATTTCCCCTTTCAACCAAGCAGTTCACAGTTTTTGCCGGTCGGAGCGCCAAAGCTTGCGAACCTTGCGGCAGTTGAAAGCTGTCTCGCAGGTGGGGCCGCTTCGCATAGTTGTAGGCACTTGTCAAGTTGCCCTGCTCCGGGATTTCGGACATCATACCTGCTGCACATATTGCGGATGGACGAACTCCATTTCGCAAACCACTACTACAAGGTTTGTGGGTATTTGCTTTGGGGACTCCATTCATTCTGTTGGCTTTCTTGGGAGCAAAGCGTGGTGCACAAAAATGGTACCCTGAAGAAAAGACCGCGCACGCAAACCGGTGTGGGCCAACTCCCGTGGATGGACCGACAAAAAATGGCACCACCTCAGACACCACTGTAATGGTTCGATTCCCTAGCGTAAATACCAACAAACCTCAAGTTTTCAACCAAGGTGTCATGAAACGTGGTGCGATTTTTTGATTTCGCGAAAGCCATCCACCGAGTGACCTGCCAAGACTTGTCACATCTTGCGGAATCATGATCACTCTGAGTGACCTGCCTTTGGGCCTTTGGGTTTTTGAGTTTAAGGGTTTAAGGGTTTTGGGTTTTTCGGGCCCGTCGCTTCGAGGAGCTGTCGCTGCTGGTGCTGAGCCAATGCTCGCCGTGCTCGCACCTGGACCTCGGCCTGGGCGACTTGAGAGAACTCGCCCGGCCGATGGGCACGGAGGGCCGTTCGTTCGGCGACCTTGCTTATGACCAAGGTGGGGGATTGGGAGGGTCTCCGAAAACATTGCAAGATATACCTGTTTAAGTGTTTGCCTTTTGGGTCGTTTTCGTCATGTTGCCTTTTCACCTGCGAAAGATAGTTGTTTGCAGCTTGTCCAAGTGTGGCCCAGCTGAGAAGAGGTTGCAAGGGCTATACACGTTCTTTTACAACCGTTTCAGATCATTTTAGTAGACCAGTCAATGGGTGAAACGGGCGCCGGGTGAGTTTCGCTTCACCTTCAGAAAACCAATTGACACGCTTTGGGGGTGTTCCACAGGCAGACGCCATGCAAACAAGTCAGCTTTTCGTGATACAGACCTATGAAGAAGCAACTGGGCTGCTCCGGGCCTTCCAACGAACAGGATGCCAAAAAGGGTGGTGTTCAAGGGAAGCCACATAGGAAAGCCACGAAGTTCAGTGGGCCCTCCGAATAATGTCAACGACACGGACCAAAATGCAAGGGTCGATTTTTGTTTGTCCTTTCCTACGAACCAAAGTTCAGGGACTACGCCAACCCCCACCTTTTCCGCCGGAAGACATGTCTGATGTATTAATCCGGGGTGCAAAGTAGGATATATATATATAGTATATAACGGATTTGTAGCTCCAGGTTTGGTGGTTTGTCCTAGTAAGTGGGTAAGCACTAGGGCTGATTTTAAGGTTGTGCAAGAGGTTTCCCGCAGCTAACGACTCAGCTAACTGTTCAGCTTCCCGATGCCATAGAAATCCGGACCTGCGCGTGTGAATCCGCTCAAGCTCGGCCGTGCCGCTATGACTCACTTGCCCAAAGCGCGTCTATGCCTTGTTATGACATGTTGCAGCCGGAGTCTAGGGCCTGAAAGCTTTGTTTCCAGGTTCATTGGGCAATCGAGTCGCGGAATCATGCCTCGCTTCACGATTGATGGCGATCCAATCTGCGTGGCCTTCGGCTATGAGGACGATCCTGGCCTTGCCAACGTGTTCCTGTCGGTGTACGACAAACGACTGGAACATGATTGTGCTGCCAGTGATGCCGTGAATGACGTGACCCGAAAGGTTGGTGATGGTGATGGAGGTGGGTGCTACTTCGATCTACACACGCAGACTGGCTTTGGCGTCAAGGTTGATCATGCGACCATGGCAGTGTACTTGCAGCGCTTTGGTGTTCCCCAAGATCAGATTGATGCTCTACCTCTGAACTGTGTGAAGCCAAGCTGGGCTCGGCGAGCAGCTGAAGCGGCAGCTTTCCGGGCAGCTGCCCCGCAGGGAGTGTGTGCAGTGTGCGGAAAGCCTGGAACCAAGAAGTGCGGCAAGTGCCACTCCATGATGCACCTTAGGCCTCCAAAGCCGACATGTTTGTTTCACAATGTTGTTTGCTTTTGGTTCAGGTCCCAAAGGAAAACTGTTGTTTTCATGTCCTTGGCGCAAGTGAGGTACTGCTCTGAAAGTTGCCAGAAGCAAGATTGGAAGGCTCACAAGATCTTTTGTGCTCTTCATCCTTTTCAATCCGCACCTGGAATGGAACGCAGTGTGCAAGCAGTCTTGTTGCCAGAGAAAGACAAGGCTCCTTGTGTGGTGCAAGTACCCTTGAAGGAGTTCCACCATGATGGCATGACGCATTTTCTCCCAGATGTGACACCTTTCCTGGGAGACATGATGACAGGTGACATCAGGAGCGACTTCTTGCCACAACAACCATTTGCCCACCTGCGACACACCTTACACCTGAATTTCAGGGATGCGTTCATGATGGACGGGTCAGAAGAGAATGCTTGCATCGCCAAGCTCTTGAGCAATGAATTCCCTGCGTGCATGTGGAGAGGACCCGTCTTAGTGATGAAATCTAAGGGTGGCCAGATGGATCCACATTATGTTGACATGAAGATGCAGGATACCCGCGACATCGTTGAGTTCATCCACCAGTACGGCTTGGCCTCGCTTTCACGCTGAGTTTGGCAAGCAAAAGCGAACATCCAGAGGTTTCGCCTTCACAACCCCTTTTCGTTCAGCGCGTTCCCTATAGTGAGCAACCATCAGTTCGCACGTGGCTTGCCCCAATTGGATATTCGACCCAGTTCCTGATTGAAATCTCCCATTTTGTGCATATCGCATGTAGGGTTTCTTTTGTCAAAGTCTCTTTTGAGAGGAAACATATGACCGAAGACAGCTGGGAGGGGGAAGGCGCAGAATAGATCATATGAAAATGAATCTGCGTGCAGAACAGATGCCTAGATGAGAGTAGAATCGGGCATGCAGCCTGCAGAGCAAAAAGGGCGGTTCCATCACGCAGATGAGCTTGATGCCTGCTTGCAAAGCCAAACATCGCAAGGGAGAATGTTGCCGGTGGCTTAACATGAAGTGATTGATTGTTTTACTCCAGCGAATCGACCTTTTGACCTTTTGTTTTTCCCGTGTTTAGTGGCCCCCAAAGGGGACCGCCTTTTATGTCCGGGTGGACACTGGGAAAGTGAGGCTTCCCTCCTTCAATTGAGTTCCTGGACATACTTTGACCCAATCAGCGGCGTTTTAAGCCTGGGAATTCGCGGACGTTTTTGCCAAGTCGCCCACTCAAGTTTACATATGGGTCCTTGTTCCCCAGTTGAAACGTGAAACCAAGGGACCCCTCTCGGAACCCAAGCATCTTGCGAATTCGAGAAAGTTTGATTGCTCTCCTTGGAAGGGCAAAGAGCTCCGGTTTTCTTTTTCTTCTGGCACTAAGAAAGAGCCGCGCGTGGGGATTGTGTAGGCCTGGGTCCCTGGTCAGCGATAGAACTCTGAAAGCCTCTGACAAAAACCCATTAAGCGAGATCCATTGAGTGAATAGCCTTCTATGCCCAACGCCAGTTGCCCCAGTAACCTACCCTACTTGCCATGGCTTGGGTGGTCAAGGAATGTAAATCTGCCGCGCTCTGAACAAACAAAATCCGCCGTCCGAGGCACGCTGTGCGCTTCCCTGCAGTCCGCTGTGAACCTCAAGGCTGCGCCCGTGTCTGTTTTTCAGGCGATGGGTGACATGGAAAGCAACAGGAAAAATAAGGCATCCGAAAGCCCTTTTGGGTGTCCCCGAAAAAGAGATACACCATGATACACCCGTAAGGGCACAAGAATTTGCGGGTTGCTGGTTGTCATGCGAGAGGCGTGAGTGTAATCATTTGGCCAATGTTTTTTTCCCACCACGAAACAGGGTTTCCGAGCCATTGCCCTGTCTTTAGAACCTCCAACAGTTGCAGAATCAAATGAACACACCAGTAAATCGATCAACTTTTGACTTGCGGGTTTAAGGCGATGGCCTTAGACCTGCCCTCTATGACTTGTAAACCTCAATCTCCTGAGTCTTGAGGTAGGTTTCTGGTGTTTGGAAAGACATCAAGTTCTAAAAGGTGTGGGGCACATCGGCCATAAGCGTCGCCTTCAAATGATGGGCTGGTGGTTTGGAGGTTTGGGGGTCTTTAGGCAAGGCGCAGGCATTTAATGCCCCAAGCGACAAAACATTCAGGGCTGGTTCATGTTTTCTCGTTGTTTGTCTTGTGTGTGATAGGTGATAGTGGGTGTTTCTGGTTCTGACGACTAGTTGCTTGTTTCAAAAGGGGTACTGCCTCATCAGCTTATATTGGTGGCACAATGCCCCTTGAATATAGAATCTCCACACCAAAACCCCGAACCCTGGTTCATACCCTTGGTTGCTACCTGATAAAAGGCCACAGAAGGGTGGCTATGGCCCAGTTTTCAGGGCTCCTCAAGCACGTGTCCCACCCAGGAGATGGATGGTTTCTGAAGAGGAGAATTGGGGTCCATCCACCCTGTAGGTTTCATGTGGGCTTTCCATTTCTGGTTTGAAAAGACCGACAAACAGTTCTGTTGAACGCCCCAAGGCAACCTATTTCGAACCCACATCCCATGCAACAAGGCCTAGGAAGGGTGTGTGTGTGTGTGTGTTTGGGTGCGGTTTGTAGGGTCCTTAATATTCGTCAAATCATTTGGCCTTCAGGTTTGGGAGTTGATTGGCTAGGACCCCAGCCCAGAGGAAACTCCTTTTGGTGGGTTCCATGTCAATGAGGGGAGTATTTCTCAGATGACTTTTGCCTTCATGCCGCTTGTGAAGAACTTCCTCGGCGTCTTTCAAGTCTTTGCGCTCCGCGAATTTGGCTCCCCCTAAGAATGTAAGCCAAAGCAACCGCCCGGCCTGAACGGCGAGTTTCGCTTTGGCGGGCGCAGGCGCAGCACAGCCCAGAGCCGCGACAGGCTCCGCCTGAACCGAAGGCCCCCCTCCGCGAAGTCGTCGCCAAGTCGCTGGTTTTGGGGCGGTGGGGGCGCCTGAAAGTCGTGCTTCCCTTCTGTTTTCGCTGAAAACCATCCAAAAAGGGAACCCTTGTTTTGAGAAACAACCAGCATATGTTGTCTCATACAATATAGTGACAATTTGCGGTGCCTTCAAAGAAGGGCCCCAACAAAGCGCCACCTTTTTGGGCACCCTACAGAGCAGAGCCCCAACTTCGCTTCAACACGAAGTATACTTGGGGTCTCAATCGCGTGGCATTGACACTTCGCCTGGTTGCCGTGGTCCACTGCTCTTGTCAACGGGTCATTTACTTTGGGACTCTAGCACCAAGGCCCCAGTCGATAAGGCCTCATTAGGCATTATTTGGCCTTGTGCCGCAGCGGTTGCCGAGGATGTTTGGAAGGGTCGGAGCGGTTTGGATCTTTGAGGCGTATGCTATTCAGCATCATTCAGCAATAGGCTCATGACTTGCGTTTGTTGCTAGTGAGTGGGAACGTTGACACTGCTGTTTTTGACATGCCCAGGCTTTGCATTCCTTTGAGTATGACAAAGTTGCGATAGGCTTTGCCTGCTTCGATATCGAACGATAAGTTTTTCAACATGAGCGTAACTCTATGTTTCTCTTCCAGTTGCACCAGGGTTATGGGGTCAAGGGGTTTATCCCCACTTCTGTGATACAAGGGAATCTCCCCCTTTACATGGGGTAGTCTTGGGGAATCCTTTTCTGTTGTATCACAGTGGATTCCATTTGCTACAGTCCTGAGTTGCACCAATGGTCCTTTGGATGGTTTCCTCTTTGCTCAAAGTGTATCCGCCAGTAGAACCAAGCTCTAGGGGACGGACCCCTTCGAAGAGGTTCCAAGCAAGGCGAAGTAAGGCTTTGGCTCACTTGCTCCTTAAAAGATACAACTATTTGAAGCATGGCTTTTTCCACCAAAATAAAGGAAACCAGCATTTACAAGGCAACGTTCAGGTGTATAACGTAAGGATCCCTGTTGCCCAAGTATTCGACACGGTATTCGATTCTCTGTTGGAGAGTTGATCCTTAGGACAGGCAGCAATTTGGTGAGGACTTCAGGCTAGAGCTTGACTGGATCTTTGACGATTGCTACGGCCTGTACCAGCCACTCGCGATCTGTGCAACATACGACCACACTCCTTTCGTTTACCAAAACGCGGCCAAACACCTATGGCCGATTGACGAAGGCTTTGCCTACGCTGTGGGGTGCTACTTGGATATTCGTGCCGGTGATTGGAGGATGCGATGAGGTACAGCCTGATGACCATCAACCCTGGCGGACGCACTGATAACATTTTCAGCATCTATGCGTTTTGGGATCCCAGGAATGTTTTCAAAGCCGACCTGCCGACCTTTTAGTTTTCCCATATTCGTCCATTTTCTGTAGAGGTGCCAAAAGGTTAACCCTTGGTTGCCGTTTGCGACCAGTGGCACTGGGCAAAATGGTTGCCCCTTCTTTTCGCACTCCCACACCGCATGTGTAGGGGTTCTTCGAAGGGAGTCAATACTATGACTCACATGGGAAGTTTTGGCAACCGCGGACCGCGTGTTTCGAACTCGGCTTCTTTCGGCCCATCCGTTGGCCTGGTGGGGTCCGTCGAACGCCAACTTTCTCCAGGTGGAGGCCGTGAAGTCCTCACTGCCGCCTGGCTGAAGTTGAGGTTTGTTCAGGGACCTTGGCCGCAGCCACGTCTTGAGTTTTTCGGCCTTAAGCTTTTTGGGAAGACCCATGTCAGTGGTAAATCAAACTTTGGACTTTGCTTCTTGGCCAAACCACTCGGGAACTGAGACCCTACAATCCCAATCCAATCACTTGGGCACTTCTTGTGGTCGGGTAAAAGCAATCCCATTAGTACCGCTAGTTGCCGGGTTGGAAGAGGGACCCACTACCCTCAGGGTGACAGCTGGGTGAAAGTTGGTGCAATTCCCTCGTGTTTCAGTCATCTCCATTGTACCCACCCTGGTGCACACGCTGTGTAAGGTAAAGAGGGTTTTTTGACCTCTACATGATGGTTTCCTTTGGTTGCCGCAAAACGGGCTTTTGACCACCCAAAGAAGCCGTTTTTTTTTGGTGGGGTCGACCAAAGCCAATCCCATCGACCCTCAGTTTCCCCCTTTGGCTTGGTGGCTTGGATTACCATCTACAAGTTCGAGGGGTTCAAATCCCCAAGCCGCCCATCCACACCACCAACCACGGGTTGCCTGAGACCCGCTTGGCCCCGTAGGTGCACCCATTTTAGAACCTATTTTAAGGGGTTGGATTGGGATGTTCACTTTGGCTTTTGACCCATGGCCATGTAGGTTTGACTTGGCGGCGGGGCGCCAGTGGCCTCGGGTTGCGCGGATTGTGGGCTGGTGGGGGTGGTTTTAAATGGTGAGAGACCCTTGTTAAGTTAGGACTAGAAACCATTTGGAAGGCAACATGTGTTGGGTTGCCCCTATTTTGACACACACCTGTTCGCCAGTCCACGGTCTCATTATGTTACAAAGCAAAATCAAGCCCTGGCTAAAGGGTCACACAAAACACCTTCAATGAAAGCACCTCAGATGAATTTGGCTTTGCGGGACGCATGAAAGCAGCCTGTTGGGATATATTTTGGGTGTCCCCCTTTGACGAGAAAGACCCATTTAGGTCAATGAGAAACCCGCCGGGTCTCGCGCTCCAGGCTGGACCCACAGCCTGCGCCGCCGCGACCGTCGAATAGCGAGATGCAGTCGGCGCGATTGGCGCGGCCATTGCCGCCCTCAGTACAGGAGCCGCAACTTAGACTAGGTCCTCCAGCAGTGCCCTTCTCTCCCCTTTCTTGGCGGCGGGTTCCCCTACTACAATAGACTACATTCAGAAGGGTACCCTTATTCCACTGGAGGACCTGGACCTAGTAGATTCACAGACACTCTCCAAATAAGGGTCTGATGAAGGGGACGCTTTTGTGGGGATGAGGTAAGTAGGTTACAACCATGGAATCAACGGAGGTCAGTTTGACCAGGACCATGGCATGTCGTGTTACCCACTTGGGTTCAACCAAGGTCAGGTAGGCAGGTTACAACCATGGTTCTAGCTCGGGCAACTGACGGTTAGTCCCCTTATGACCTATGGTTATTACCTACTTACTTGACGTTGGTTGAACACAAAAAGCGTGGCCGAGCCGAGAGGGTGTGTTTTTGGCGAGTCTACTTGCAGTCTTTGTTTCCTGCAAGAAAAAAATGCAGTGACAAGTGTGAGATAACACCCTGCCATGAGTAATAGGGAACCACCTCAACAGTCGTTGATAGACATGAATCCCCACTCAAAAATTATGGTGTCGACCAAAGCGTCCGGGACCCCTTAAAATCCACACCCATGTCGCCTCACGGTGATTCCATTGCGCAGGGAAAGGAAGCCCAAGAGCTGAAAAGAACATGGCGAAGGGATAGTGTGGCGTGGCAGGGTTTCAGGGACTTGGAGCTTCCGCTTTTCCTGCCAAGGTCAGGACGCAGCAGCAGCTCGGTGTATCTAAATTTTTGGGGGACTCGCAATGGGCGCGACCACAGCTTGATCTTTCACAAAAGGATCCCAAATGGGGATGGATGCTTGCCTATTTTTCCAGACACCCTCATATTCTTTAGCACCCCGTTGAATCAGAGCTGTTGAACACGCCAGGACGACACCGTGCGCTTTCACAACTTTTCCGCCAAGGGCTCAGAGTCTGGCTCCAGTCGAGCTTTGCCGGTATCCGAGGATGTCACCTTGTTCCCACACGGCTGTATATAGGTCAAAACCAATGGCACCATTTTGGGGTAGGTGCACCACCCATTTTAGAACCTGTTTTAGTGGTTGGATTGGGTCAAAGTCCGAAGCTGTTTGGTGGTTAGTTCACTGACGTGGGTGTAATGGAGCCAGTGCGGCTGCATCGGCTTCTGCTAGGTTTATCCTGGGTTCCCCCCCCCCCGGCCGCCCAAGGGAGAGTTGACGTTCTTTCATTTTGTGGGTCTTTCCTCTTCACTTTCCAAGCTTCTCACTTTTTGTTGCCAGGCGTTGTTTGTTGTTATAGTGGGCCGAAAACCGTTCATTTCTTCTTTCCGCTCAGCTTGGGTCAGACCAATGTTCAGCAACTACAATTTGGGCTCAAGTTTTGTCTGTGTCTCCAAAATTGGTTTTCGACATAACGCAATTATGGGCAAACAACATATCCATCTCACAAAGGGATTTGATTTGCGGCCAAGTCCCTTATATGCAGAACCCCCAGCTAGAAAACTAGGTTGGACCATCTGTTAGATGTTGATGCAAAATCTGAAGCTCTCCTTTAAGTCTCTTTGCATTAAGTGTGGCCCAACAACGTGGCCCATTGCTTACCACTTCCCGTGGGTTGAACATCCAAGCAGCTTCAAGCCTCGAGCGCCAGGTCGAGGGGGGAGCCGTCGAGGCCTCGTGGGGGGTCCGGGGGGTCCGGGGGGTCGGTTTGAAGACTTGGTCCCTTGCTTCCAAACATACCTTCCCCCTTCCCCACTGCTAAGGAAGGCGTATTATTTGTTTTGCCGGACTCCGTACCCATTTCAGGTTGGTAAAGGGAACCCACACAGACATCATTTTGGACAAGCACGCTGTACTGCAACCCCATCAATCACTCACCCCCTACGATAAACCCTCCTGAAAACCCTGCTGCAACTACTATTGACTTTCATTTGCTGAAATGAATATGCGTTCTTTTCCCTGTCGCTTTGAAAGGGAACCTATCACTACTACTACTGGAGACATGTTTAAGTTTTTCCAGGGGGCTGAAGCAAATGGAAGAAACATATTCCAACCGGCAAGAATAGATCAATGTTCAACCATATGGGTGTGTCTTTTTTAGGGGCAGCCCCCAACATCGTTGGGTTCCTTTCCTTTGGTGTCCACTACAACCGCCGTACCAATCAAACAAAGGCAGACCCATGGAAGCTTATACAAAGCATGCTGAAATTAATACTTACTGAAACTAATCTAAAGAATCGTTCATGGGCAAGTTCATTTTGGCCCCAACATCTCCGCTCCGGGTTGTTCGGCCGAACCCAGGCTGGACCCCAGTTAATAGTCCCGCAAGTGAGGTCAGCCTGGTTGCAGCTTGGTTCGTACTTGCTGTGGGTGGACATTTCGCACCAGTTGCAGGGGTGTCACGGAGTAGATCCATTTGTGTTCTACCTTTATGGTGGGTATAAAGGGAGGCCACCATTTTTGGGGATCCAACTTCCAAAAAGGGCAGGAAGGAAGTTATCACAGGCGAAGGCTCTAGCGTGGCACCCCAGCTACCCAGGTGCAACCATGGTTGTACCCTACTTGCGCGACCTGGGTTGAACGTCCAAGTACCAGCCCAACGGGTCCAAATACATTTTGTTTGCAGATTTTAAGAATATGTAATTCAGGAATCCTTTTAAACCAAACCCACGACCGTAAACATGGGGCACGATCAGACAAACCAATGAGCAGGGAAATGAGGGACACTAAGATATGAGATGAGATAATTTCGCGACAAGGACCTAGACTTCGTTTGAATGCAAATGTCTTGCAAGGGAATCCTCCTGTATCCCCGCTTCCTGCGCAGCCCGGCTAGTTCGATTGTCCAATCTGGGGAATCCAAAACACCAACCACTGACTCAGGGTTGCCTGAGTTGCAGTACTTGATGGTTGGGGATTACCGTCCCAGGCAACCCTGAGGCAACCCTATTAATGTTAAGCTCGGATTCCTCTGGAGGACTGTACCAATCAGCAGTGGGTTATCTATTTCCGGGGGGATCTCCTCCAGTGCATGAGGTCTCAACCATAGAGAACCATGGTTATAACCTGTGTGCTAAGCTGGTTGGACAGCAAGCCTCCCAGCGGATTCCAGGCGGTTCGCCTTCAGTGGATCCATTTACCTGACGAACGGCTTGCCACCCGGTCAACCACAAGGAAATGGCAATGCTTATCACACCCCAGCTCAGGTTAATTCCCATGGTGAAATTCTTATTGGACCCAAGTTCCAAGTTGAACATCCCATGTTGAACATGTTGAACATGTTGAACATTCTTATTGGACCATGTTGAACATCCCGAGTTCCAATGCTTAGACTCCGTGCCCGATCCGATCCGATCCGCGCGCCCGATCCGCGCGCCAAGTGGCGCCAAGTGGCGCCAAGTGGCGCCAGGTGCTGCGCTTCCCGGCGGCGGCGCCCTGCCCGGCGCTGCTGCGCATGCCGCAGCTCAGCGGCTCCAGCGGATCCGGCGCCAGGCAAGGGAGGGGTCCGAGGAAGGGGGGTTCAAGGGAAACTGTTTCCTTTTTCTGGGGGGGGGGGGTAAAGGTTTGTTGTTTTCTTTTTCTTGGGTGGGGGGTTAAAGGGAAACTTCCTGAGTTCATGGACTTTGTGCGTTTTTTGTTTGGTCTAATCAAAAACCGTCACACACACACACATTGGGTGTTTGTATCAAGAACCCAATGTGTGGACCATGTTAGTGGGAAACAAACAATTTTGGACGTCTTTTGGCCAGTCCACTCAGGAAGTGAGGTTTTGGGGGTTTGAAAGGGACACGCGGGACATGTATCTAAAAGAAGGGGTTCCCCCGCTTTACGACACATGTTTGTTTGGCCGAGGTTTGCTAGTTGGTTGGAAGGGAGCCGAACTCGCAGCTGGGAAGGAATCAACTGGAGAGAAGCATGGGGTATTGGCTGTAGTTTGGTTTGGCAACATCTTCTCGAAGCACTTTGATAGAAGCGGGATCCTCGGAAAAGAACCTGGAAGTATCCATTTGATATTTGTTGAGGGACATATCAATGTGCTTGGTTCTTGGTTCCAACCAAGCAGGATGTCGAAAGATAAACAAAGGTCAATCCTGTTGAACACATAGAATCGACCTTTTGACCAGTTAGTTTCCCCAGTTTGGTCCATTTCTAGTCATGGCCCCAAAAAGGTGAACCTGGATTTCCAGGTCCTTAAGTGAGGGACTTATCAAGGCGACATGAATCAGCCACCAAGCTTACGGGTGAGCCTCAGGAATAATTAGGCAGCCTGCCACCCACCAGCTCCCCCAAGAACCCCTCCACGAATTACAGGGTCTTCAGGCCTAGGGCGAACTGACCTGGCGGCCTTACTGTACCGGTCCGAGCTAGGGTCCCCGCAGTTCTCCTCACTCAGCTTTCTGGACTTGATGGAAGAAATCCATTTCGCACCACCGTTCAGAAACCCTGGAATGATGTTTTCCTCCATACCAACAAGCAATGGTTTCAACCATGGTTTTAAAGAGGTGCGAAATGGATTTCATCCATCCACTGTATTTTGTTGGGACAAGTCCGGACTTTTCCTGGCCACTCAGCGAGCTATCCTAAGTACTGCAAAAATGGGGGAGCGCCCAGCCCTGAATAAGTTCATAGCCGCCCAAAAAGAGCATCACCAGCCCGGCGAGCGTTGTTATCACTCAGACTCGCCACAGGTAACCCGCCTCGCCGCTTCGAAGCCCAAGACATTGCCCATGGCACACTGTCCCACTTTGCTGGGCTCCAAACCGGGTTGAGCTTGGGGTATATCCAATGCAAAGCTAGAATCAGAAAATGGTTTTCTTTGTGTACCCCAGATGTTCATTGGTGCCCCTTGATTTTTTTTGCAACCCAAGCGTTTTCGCGGATCCCCACTTCAAAGTGGTTGACCGGGGATTTTGACCCCTGGAGACCTGCCTAATTTGGGTATGACGAGCTCACCATGATAAAGGTCCTTTACCTGCAGATCCCTCAATTCAGCTTTTCGAAGTATTGTAAAACAAATTGTCAGCTTTATATGGCAATATAATCTTTCTATGACAAATATAACTAGACAAATAATGGTAATTCACCCTTTTTTATTGTTACCCATTATTGTTCACTTTTATTGTAACCCATAATTTCCCTCTATGACAAATATAACTAGACAAGTGGCATGGGGTCCCGGACCTCCGCAGGGCGGCGTCGCGGTCCAAGAGCCCCAAGCTCACGCCCTATGAGCTCCACGTGAAACCGCCGCAGCGGGAGGAGCCGGAGAGCCTCACCAGCCAGGCAGCTGTGCACGAAGAAGACGTCCGTTTTGCTTGAAAATCCGCCTCCCTTTGCCAGAATACCATAGGTTTTTGTGCTTGCAATTGCGTTGGGGGGCCAAAGTCCGATTTTTGACACAATCCCGACTGTGGATGGTGGCGAAATCCATTTCGCACCGCTTTGAAACCATGCTTGAAACCATGGTTTGCTGGTATTTGCCGTGGAATCGTATCATTCAGGGTTTCTGAACGGTGGTGCAGGATTTTGTCCATCCACAGTAAGCTAGTTCGATGGTCTGGGACTTAGCTAACTGGCTATAGTTGTAAACCCACTTGCAATGGTTGCAAGTCCCGGGTAACCAGTAAGCCCTCACTGGTGCGTTTGGATTTGGATTTGGAACTCTTCTTGTAGAGGGCACATGGGAAACCACCACCAAACCACCAATCCAGGCCACTAATTACAGGGAAGCTAAAAGTATTTGGGTGTAATATGTTTATGATTTCGGACCCCCCCCCCAGTTTCCTTTTAGTTTCCCCTTAAAGGTATTTGGAAATGGCACACCCCTTTTTTGTTCCCCTTCTCCCTGTTGTTCAGAAGGGAGTGGACACACCTTGCTCTATACACTTTTCTTCTTGGTGTTTTCCCCTTTAGTTCAGTGACCCAAGAAGGGTACCTGGATCCTGGCAATTCCGTTACAGATGAATTTTTGTGCCAACATTATGTGGTGAACTCCTTTGCAGCTTTGGTGGTGGCTGGTGGGATGAAAAGGGGGCGTTATTTGATTGTGTTGTGGTGTTTGGTTGGGTTTTGACGGTTTTCAGTGGGGCGCTTGTTTCTGTTGCGAGTGCTTGTTGGGGCTACAGTAATTGTTTGGGTTTTACAAGGGTTTTGGTTGGGTTCTGTATGCGGGTTGATTGGGCTCGGGTGGGGTTCCAGTTGAAGAAGCATGATCGTACACTCCGATGTTTGTTTTATGTTTGGAGGCGCCTAAATTGTAGTGATGATCACCCGCAGCGCGCTTTGGAAGCTGCTGATAGAGGGCTACTCCGCCGCTCAAACTGAGCATCAGTCGTGGTGTATCTTGATGCTGGTGGCCGTGCTGCTCCTCATCCTCACCTTGCGAACCCATTTTGCCAGAGGCAGAGCGAAGAATTGCAGCTATTGCCTCACTTCTTGAGTTCATGAACTTTAAACTTTTTGGGAAGACCATTTTAGTGGTAAACAAAATGTTTGAACTTTGTTGGGGCCATCCACTCAGCCGGTGAGTTGCTGGAAGAGGGCTTGCTACCTGAGCATACAGCTGATATGTGTGCACGCCGGTGCGTGCAGCATAAGCTGAACGTGGGGTTGGGGTCAGCGGGGATTGGTTTGTTCAGCAAGGAAGATGAAGGGGCTGAATCCGAAAATGGTGCGTCGTTTTTTTGAAGGGGCCCAACACAAATTGCGATTTTCCGGTTGGTGTCCCGTTAAACCACCAATAAGGCAACCTCCAAGTAAGGACACACCCGCGCATGGCTGGTGTTTGATTCCAGCTGTTCTCATGTGGCAATCGCGGATGTCCTCGACCTCGCAGGTTTCTTATAGTCCACCTGAAGCCCGGGGCGGGCAGAACCTAAGAATTAAATGCCCAGCCTCTTAAAATCGGTTGATGGGGGAGGGGGGACTGCGGCCCCTCAAAATCTCCATTTATGGCAAACCATTTTCCAGATGGTTCCCGGACACCTTCCCTGCCCCGGACGCCCTTGAGCTAGGGGGGATGAATGAAGACCAGTTTTGTTTGTACCACTCCCACTGCCACAGGAAGTCATCATGCAAAACGGGGGAAACACATCTCGAGTATAGCGGTGATTAATTGGAAGCACTGGGACCGGCAAAGACCGGCAAAGGCGTAAAGATGGCGTTCCCTTTTGCATGAAGCCCACGAACCCTGGGGCCAGAGACCAGATGTTTGAAGGATCCATTCATGAAACTATGCATCTACGCATGTGAGAGCGTCATTTTGAACCCATTCGGGCCAGCTGAACACTTGCGACATATTTTAAAACTATGGGCCTGTTTTGTTGAAGGGAGCCCCAAAAATTTGTGGTTTCCTTCGGTTTCCCTTCCAAAACGAACAAACAAAGGAACCCTTAAAGTATTTTGTTTAAGGGTAGGCTCCATATGAGACATAAACCAAACATCTCAGATGTTCAGGTGGCTTGGATTGGTGGGGACTTGGACGTCAGCCCACGGTCACCACAAAACCGAAACCTCCGCCTTGTCTTCCCATATGGGTATGTCCTTTTCAGGGTGTGGTGTTCCTTTCGGTTTCCCTTCCAACGAAGAAAAGGGGTGTGACTCAAGCAAAACATACCCAAATGGATTTCGGACCCCGTTTGGGTTGGTACGTACAGGTATTTTGAAAGGTTAAACTCACTTCCTGAACTCCTGGACTAAACACCATTTTAGTGGCGTGAACAAAGCAACATTGGTGACTTTTGTTGGCCAAAATGCTCGATCGGAAGTGCGTAAACCAACCATTTCAAGTTCCTTCAAAAGCACAATTGTCTTCCAGGACCCCCACCATGTAAATTGGTGGGAGTGTATTTCAAGAGGACACCAACCATTTTAGGGGACCGAAACGATCACAAAGACCTTTGCCAGGCTGGAGACGCTTACCCTGCCCGGCAAGCGCCGCGACCAACCCAGTGCCTCTCGGAGCGAAAGGACCCGCCCTGCCCCACCCGAGCCCTACAAATGGGTATGTGTGGAAAGTAGGGGGGATCCCCCAAAACGGGTGGTTTTCCTTTAGTTTCCTTGTTAAAAAAAACGGGTCCGACTGGGGATCCACCTACGGTGGCTCGTCTTTTTTTGAGGGTACATGTTGTCTTTGTTTGGAGGAAAACCAAAGGGACAACAGCCACTTTGGGGGGTCCAAGTCCAGAAGAAAGGGTTAAAACCCTTGAAGGGGTCAAAAAGAGAAACCAGGTTTGTGCTATTTCGATTTAAGCTGGAAAGCATCATGGAGACACCCTCCGCCCTTAAAGAGCCAAAGCACCCTTGTAGGCCCTTTTCAACCGCCGCTACTAGCTTCCCCAAGACCACTGGCTATTTGTTGAGTTTATGCTCTTGGGCTTTATACTCAATTTGGGTGGCACTATATACTTTGGTGGTAAACAACACGTTCCTGGACATACTTTGGCCAATCCAGAAAAGATCGGACGTGAGGTGCCCTTTTGTTGGGATTGTAGCATAACCAGAACCTGATGCGCTGTCTCATGGATTTCTCAATTCTGGACCCCAGAACATCCCCTTGCCCAACACTTTTTCTCACTTGCCCAGAGCCACTCGACCTTTTGTCGCTTTGTTTTCCCTGATTTGGTCCATTGTTAGTCAAGGTTCCAAAGGGTCAACCTTGTATTCTGGATCCTTACACCTTTCCAACGCCAAATCTGGTGAAGTAAGGCGGAAATAAGGCTGGAGGGGGTCTTTGCAGGGTTCTAGGCGAGAGTAAGCAATGGAAGCTTCACTGTTCTTTGCAAATTTTGGGTAAACTAGGGTTGCTTAGGGAGTGTTTGGGAACGCCGCCTCCCCGTGGACCACCTAGACAGCCAGTTGCTGCTTTTTTCAGTCACCTTTGCTGGCTTTTGGGGTAAAGTTTGTGGAAAAAAGCAGTAACCTGGCGATCCAGGCACCTCCATAAGTGCGTTTTTTCCTTTGTTTCTAGGGTTGCTTCGGGAGTGTTCGGGAACGCTGCCTCCTTGGACCTTTGGGGACTCCATAACTTGCCGCAGGCGCGGAGGTCCTGGAGGACGTGTGGCCGCCTTCGGAACAGCTGCCGGTGGTCCGCCGCGCCTCGCGCCCCGAGCAGCGCATCGCGCCGAGGCGTCTCGGCGGAGTCGGGGACTCCAATTGGACGCTCGGTCCCCCAGCTAGGTGCCAACTTTTACTGTTCCTTTTTTGGTTGGGAGGGTTTTTCTTGTAAAATAGAGTACGGAAAGAAAGTTGGCAGCCTTATTCTTAACCCTCTCTACTGGAGGACCTAGTGGATGTTGAACCCATTTCTCCGCTGTTGGGATCAAGTTTTTGTTGGTTCTGTTCATATTCAGTGGGTGGTGCTGCGAGGCTCCTTGGGAGTCGCGCTTCTATAGGGGTTGCCTTGGGCGATTTGGGCGATCGAGATTATTGACCCGGTAACTCACTTGCCCGAAACGAAAGGTCCCTAAGGTTATCCCTTTATTTCTAGGTCTCTAGGGGGCAAGTGAGCACAGCCAAGGGTATGAGTGGGGTAACTACTCGGCCAGCATTACCTGGTTCGATTTTTTTCGCGTGTGCCAATTCATATTTTGGAGGGGCTCCCAATTAAAGTTCATAGCCCTGTACCCTTTTGGGTAGTTACAGGGAAACCAAATGGAAGCACAGAATTGTATGGGCTACTTGGCCATGGGTGTGAGCCAACTAACCCCAGTAACCCCAGTGATATCCTTGGTTATCACCTGCTTAGTGGGTCAACAGGCCGCCCTTTCTGCTCCGTCGAAATCCGAAGGTCCGCCACGTGCATAAGTCGTTTCCCTTTACTCATTTGGCCAAGAGGCCAACCGCCCACTCATGTATCCCACTCAGCATTATAGGAAATGCCCACAATCATTTACGTGCAATACTTAACAACAGGGCTGCCAACATCATGATATAATTTCCATCCACTACCTCTGCTCCAGATTTTCATCTCCCACCTGTCCATCGTTGTTGCAAAGACCAACCGGTTTCTTTGGGTTTTGGCGGTAAAGCCGGGAGAATGTGGATGCCCATATTGCAAAAGGCAACCATACTCAATCATGCGACCATGCGACAAATCGCAGCAGCGTGGAGAATCGATTTCCTCCTATTTGCAATATTTGGGTCTGTCTTATAGGGGACTCCCCCCCCGCCCCAAAAGAAAAGGGTGGGGTTGTCCTCTTGGTTTCCAAGCAAATGGTGAGTTTTCCCTCTTGGTCTCCAAGCAAATGGTGAGTTTTCCTCTTGGTTTCCAAGCAAGGGCTAGCAACTCAAAGCACAACACGCTCCAATTTGGGGCCCGCGGCAGGCCTGACCTGCTGCCCGGCCAGCCCAGTCCGACGCAGGCGTGGGGCGTTCAACCGTTGTCCAAAAACAGAGCTTCTTACGGTAGTGTTTCCCCGTGTTGGTCCATTTTTAGACCAGGCTCCAAAAGGTTTCCGTGTTGTTTTTTGCGGTAAAATAGACACGTAACCCATCACATTTTCCTGAACAATTGGGTATTGCCGCAAAATCATGGGGCCAATTACATGTTTTTGTGGGGTCCAGGTACTGAGAAACGCAAAATGCGCCTTTTTCAAGTCCAAGATGCTTGGGGTGTTGATGGTCCATTTGGGGGCACCTGAGGGCACTCAGTTTGTTTTCCCACAAGAACCAGAAACTCACTGCTTGGGAGTTTTTGGGTTGGATCGTTCACCTTTGACTTGTTGGACAAATGTGCAATTTACCACTAAACGGCCTGCCGCGGGCAATAACGCAGCAATTCCCAGCCAGTTTCTTGCGGGCGTCGAGTTCGCGTAGTAACTCACTCCCCGAGTTCATGAGCTTAGCACTTTTTGTGAAGTCCGTTCTTGGCCAACAAAAAGGTTCCAATTCGCGTTTTCTGGCCCAGAGCAGCTCGCCAGTCTGGTTTTGCGAGAAATGCCCCACTCGGCGCACAGTTGGGTCTACATTTCATGTTGGTGCCTTCGTGTTTTGAGTGTACCCTGAGGCTCGGAAAGGGTGATGCTTTTGTGTTGCTTTGGGTTGTGAATGCTTATAAGCAACTTCGTTTAATCCCTTGGCGTTTTTTTTTTGGAAGCCACTCGCTCGGAAGTGAGGCACAGTCCCACTTCAGGTGAGCACCCTCTTCCGGGGCTCAATTCCTCCCATTAGGTCCCCCAGCTAGATGCCCTTTTACCGCTTTTTTTTTTTGGGGGGGGGGTTCTACTAAAATAGACTACGGAGAAAAGTTGGTGCCCTTGTTCTAACCTCTCTACTGGACGACCTAGTCCCACGTCCAGTCGGGGTCCCAGAAAAGCCGGAGGCCGCAGGAAGTGCCCATTTGAGCTGAGACGGAGGCTTGTTTAAAAGCTGGTTTGAAGGGAATCTTTTTTGCGCTGGAAAGAGACTCACAAACTTTTCACTGGCGACTTACGCAGATGGAAGGAAGGGTTCTTACCTTGTTAGGTTCTTGGGGTTCTGAGAACTTTTCTGGGGGTGGGGGGGCCCTATCGGTGCGTATTTTAGGATTTGGACACCCAAAAAATGGCGGTTGTCCTTCCGAAATCCCTTTAAAGCCACCAAACAAGGGGTACTGGAAATAAATACAACCAAAAAGGTTGGGTTCTGTTGTTAAACCCACCTTAACAATCGGGTTCTGTTATTTAAACCACCAAAAAAGGGGCGCAGTCGCGAAAACCGCCCGTCTTAACCCAAAACGAGGGCGCACGCCCCGTTGGGTCTCATGGCCTCTCAGGATTCGGAGCCCCCGTCGCCTCTGTCGCCGCCTTCGCGGCGAGCGGTGCCGCCACAGCAGCAGGCGGAGCAGCTGAGCAGCGGGCGCTTTCGGCTGCAAGCGAGGGGTCGAACCTCAGAGGGACCAAGTGGGGGAGCTTCCAGCTGTAAGCCTGAGGGAGTGTAAATGGACATTGTTTTTTGGGGTTTTGTATTGTTGACAGGACAATCATGGTTGTTGTTGGGAACATTTTAATTACATGTTTGCTTATTGTGGTTTAGTGGGAAATCCCCACTTCACTGCTAAGATTTGAATTTGTTGCTCCCCTTCCAACGTCAACCAAGCCTAGAGAGGGGGTACAAGGGGGGGTAGTTGAGAGCCCTAGGGTCTCTTGGGGAGAGAAACACCACATTTTTTGGGCCCCTCTTTGACCTGTAGCCATGTCTGGACATGTTCCAGGCCACTCGGGCACTCCTGGGTTTTATCACTGCCCCTTGCGGTTTTTGGGACCCTTTGAGCATGCTTGTTGTTGGGAAACACTTTACATTTTTCTCACTGTGGTTTAATGGGAAATCCCCTCTTAACTGCTGAAATTTAGATTTTGCTCCCCTTCCAACGTCAACCATGTGAGGGCCACGAAGCTCGACATCATGGACATCAGCTTATGTGGCTGCTGGGTTTCGCCCCAGCTGCCCAGGATAAAAACATCCCCCCAAGTTAAGCTGGCACTGTTGCAATTGGATTATAAGTCAAGTTTACTAATTGCTTGCGGTCGGATATCCGAGTATCCCACGCAGAGGCCTTCCCCCCTCAACGGTTGAGCCCCGAAGGCGTATTGAGCCCAAGGTTCAATTCATCTTGATGAAATGCCCAAAATCGACCTTTTAGCCATTTTTAGCCCAGGTTCCAAAAAGGTTAGCCTTTTATTTCCAGGTCCTTTGGCAACTGAGGCATTGTTGCTCAGGCTCTTTCTTTTTTTCCCGGTGTTTGTTTGGTTTGTGCTTATGTCCCAGTGTTCCCCTTTCTTTCGAAGTTGGCGACACTATTTGGGTCGGGTGCTCCGTTTAGAATAAAGCATCAACCGAGATGTTTATCGAAACCGGCTCCAGGAAATTCTATAGGAAATTCTGCAAACACCCCGTTTTAGGTGGATATTTCAGGGGTCTCTACTTTGGCTTGATTTATTCAATCATATCACGGGCCAATCGAAGGTGACTTTCCCATGTTTTAAGGGTCCCCATACAGATACTTCAGACGAGTGGGACTCATTAGCTGAAATGAATGAACTGGTCAGGGCGTGGTTTGGCTACCCTCCCTCCAGTGGAAGCTAGGGTTTTGGAAGACTACTTTCCTTTTGGGGAGGCCCCTCAACCACTGTCATGGTGGTTGGAAAGAAGGTAACTGCCATGAGCTTCACATGGGTATGGGTCAAAATTAAGCCACCAGGGGACCGCAGGTTTGGTCCATGTTTCCACTTCCCAGGGTTCCATTTTGGGTACATATTTTTGACCCACAGCCACATGGCCTTTGTGCTCACCATGAGGCTCAGTGACTCGCTCCGGCAGCAGTTGCCAGCGCAGCAAACAATAGCCGAGGAGATGAGGCCGGCGGCGGCCCTGTCCGAATAGGGTCTCCTCCAAAGTGATATGCAGCTTAAGAACACACATACACAATGTCAATAATACATATATATATATATATACACGTAACAAAACGAGGATCAAAGTCTGTTGCGCAAGTTGTGGCACCTAGGTAAATTTCCATTTGCTAAAATGATTATGTTGATTTTACAGGGAACCTATCACTACTGGACATATGTCTTCATTTTCCCCAGGGGGAGAAAGCACAAATAAAGGAAGCTCTGTGAAAATCATATAAAGGACAAGTCCCAGGGACCCAGTGGCTTGCCTAGCTCTCCGCTTGCAACATGGTTTGAAGCATCCAATGTTTGACGGATTCCTTCCGTGGATGAGCGCAATCCATTCCGCACCTAAGCAACCCTGGAATGATATATGTTCCCCTGTAAAGCACCAATAAACCTTGTGGTTGCAACCACGGTTTCTTAGGTGGTGCGAAATAGATTTCGCCGCCATCCACGGTAAGGCTGCCCTTTCGAAGGTGCACGGGGCTGGTTTCGAGTTGCGCAACCCTGAGGCAGACTCAACTGACGCCGCGGACACAAGCGCCAGGGGAGATGCAGACAGGCGAGAGTGAGCAGACGCAAGAACTGAAAGCGGACACTCAACAGGAACAGCAGGATCAGCAAATGCCACGGAAGCAGACGCAGCCGCAAGAGACCCACACGCAGCAGACGAAGCAGCAGGAGAAGCAACCGGAGGAGACGCAGCAGACGACACAGACGGGTGAGATGAGGCAGCCACAGCAGACGCCGCACACAGACCAGAAAGAGGACATGCAGCAGGAGCAGCAGCAGACGCCGACACAACAGGCGGACAAGCAAGAGACGCAGCAGAAGGCAGCCCCGCAGCAGCCGCAGCAGGCGGATACGCTGCAGTCACAGCAGGCGCTGCAGTCTGGCGAGATGAGGCAGCCACAGCAGACACCGCGCGCAGACCAGAACGAGGACATGCAGCAGGAGCAGCAGCAGACGCCGACACAACAGGCAGACAAGCAAGAGACGCAGCAGAAGGCAGCCCCGCAGCAGCCGCAGCAGGCGGATACGCTGCAGTCACAGCAGGCGCCACAGTTTGGCGAGATGAGGCAGCCACAGCAAACGCCGCGCACAGACCAGAAAGAGGACATGCAGCAGGAGCAGCAGCAGACGCTGACACAACAGGCAGACAAGCAAGAGACGCAGCAGAAGGCAGCCCCGCAGCAGCCGCAGCAGGCGGATACGCTGCAGTCACAGCAGGCGCTACAGTCTGGCGAGATGAGGCAGCCACAGCAGACGCCGCGCAGAGACCAGAAAGAGGACATGCAGCAGGAGCAGCAGCAGACACCGACACAACAGGCAGACAAGCAAGAGACGCAGCAGAAGGCAGCCCCGCAGCAGCCGCAGCAGGCGGATACGCTGCAGTCACAGCAGGCGCCACAGTCTGGCGAGATGAGGCAGCTACAGCAGACACCGCGCACAGACCAGAACGAGGACATGCAGCAGGAGCAGCAGCAGACGCCGACACAACAGGCAGACAAGCAAGAGACGCAGCAGAAGGCAGCCCCTCAGCAGCCGCAGCAGGCGGATACGCTGCAGTCACAGCAGGCGCCACAGTCTGGCGGGATGAGGCAGCCACAGCAGACGCCGCACGCAGACCAGAAACAGGACATGAAGCAGGAGCAGCAGCAGACGCCGACACAGATGCAACAGACAGACGCGCAGCAGGCAGAGCAGAGCAAGCAACAGCCAGCGTCGGAGAAAAAAGAGGACATTCAGCCACACCAAGCTCCAGCAATGCAGATTTCCCAGAATCTCGGTTCCAAGGCGAGTTTTCGACCTTTCATGGTTTGCCGTTCTTGGTGTTCGTTTGTCAAGTTTCAAACACGGACCACCAGTTCCGGTTTTTATGGTTCGGTTCGTTCAACTCCCAAAAATAAGGCGGCCCTTGTCTGCCGTGGCCGCGGCCCTTTTTTGCCATGGAACAAAGGATGGTGTGAGGCGCATGACTCGGGTTCTAAAGTGCCCTGCGCCCCATGCACATTTAGCCTCTCACATTCCAGGTAACCGTGGAGAAAGGTGGCTTGAATAATTGGTTTAGGATTTTGGACTTGACCCGCCATTTTTCTTGCCGGCAAATGGCAAGCCACCCTTCAACACCTCCAAACCAGTGGTTGGGCTCCAAGCCACCAATTGGAGAAAAGCTTATTTTATTTGTACAGTGGATGGACGAACTTCTGCCCCACCGAAGAAGCAATGGGACTCCATTGCTTCTTTGTATTTACAGGGGAGTGAGATTGTATCCATCCACTGTACATAGGTGTCCTTGTTGGTTGTTTTGGTAGAACAAATGCTGGCTGTTTCGTACTCTGCAGGGCTCATCAATTTTTCCAAAACGCCACCTTGGAGTATTTGTTTCGTTTTGCGTGTGTTTTTTTGTGTTGTTGTTTTTGTTTAGGGGCGGGGTTGCTTGAGAGGTCCTTGGGTTTCACGATGAGGAACGCGGCCAAAGCGACCGCGTCGCCGGCGAAGCAACGGAGCTCAGTTCAGTTGGATCGTCTGAGAGAGCTGCCGCCGAGTTCCCCGAGGAGTCTTGGCTCTTTGGTGATCCCCCATAGAAATGGATCTGTCTCAACCATGGTTCAAAATCAATGGGGTCCCATTTTGGGATAGGTGCACCACCCATTTTACAACCTATTTTAGTGGGGATTGCGATGTTCAACTGGGGGTACGGGGTTTTGACCCACTTCCAAATGGGTCTGTCTCAAAATAGGGGACCGCTGTTCTGGAGTTCCTCCACTCCCTTTTTTGGAACCTCATAAAGTGGCGCGATCGTTTCAAGGGAAACCACCGGTGAATTGCAACTGTTAGAAGGGGAAATCCAGTGTCCCCTGTTAGTGGGTCTGGCTCAAAGGGATCAGAACGTTGGGATGGTTTCAAAGGGAAACCAAAAGGAAGCCAACCACCTGTAGGGGAAGCCAACCACCTGTAGGGGTGCCGTAACATGTCGAGCCGCCAAACCACAATGAAATTGGGCTTCGATTTATAGTGTTCTTTTTTCTTTTGGTGGGGAAGACTGGAGAAATGGAATCGGGGGACCCAACTCACCCGTGGGATCTTTGTGACTGAACCAATCTGCCGTTTGAATGGCGAGCTTGGTACAAAGAGCTCACCATGTCGGTCCTTTGAGGATCTAATGCTTCCATTGGATGTATCGATATTCATTGTAACACTTGTAGACCAATGCCAGTGCTTCGGTTCCTTCTTGGACGATAAAATCCAGGGTTGCAATTGCAGGGTTTCCGAGCCATGTCCCTTCAAACAGAACCTCCCAAAGTGGATCGATCGATTCACGGGACACCAGTAAATTGGTCAGCTTTCGACTCGGAGAAATCTATCTTTGGCTTACCCTGCCAGGGTCTCTATGTGACCCTTTTTTCAGACCCTCGCGCTTGGAACCTGACCGGAGCATTCTTTTGGAGGACAGTCCGTTTTCCAACACCCCAAGTCATGCTCGAAGGGAGGTGTCGTTTTTGTTTGCCGTTGAGGGCATGAGGCGATTTGTCAAAATGTGCGGTGAGCTTCATTTGATATCGATAATCCTTACAAGAAAGAGGGGCTTGCATTCAAGTTGCCCCAGCAGAACGTGAATTGCACTTTCTGCGCGGAGTTCATTTCACCACCCCGACAGATGGGTCAGTCAAGCGATTCTTGTTGACCTTGAAGCAGACAGCATATGTTTTCCCAAGCGAGCAAGCGTCCTTCGTTTGCGCTTTTGGAACCTCCAAAACTTCCCCAGAATTAGTTCCCCTTTTATTTTTTTGCTTTTTTGGGGTTCCTTTTGTTTTTCACTACCCAGCAACATATTTTTGTTGCTGGGGTCCCAATTCCAGCCTAGCAATAGTGGGGGTCGCAGTGGAAACCGAGGGGCCAGCTTGGGGAAATCCAGTGACCCCCCGTTGCAAGAAGTCAACGCGCTCTCTGAGGGAGTTCTTTGCGGGCCTGGAAAATGCAGACAGGAGCAGCTGCAATTTGCAGGGTGTCAGTTGCGTGGCATTGTGTTTGCGATTATTTGGCCTCCCAAGGTTGCATGTCTTTTTCTAGCAGGGTCATATTCAGACTAAGTCGGGTGTCCAAGCAGACCAAGGACAAGAGCCCTTTCCACCTTCGTGCCGAGCGGGGCAACATCTCCACTCGATGGAGCCTCGGTGCAAAATGCGGGTGTGAGCAGCACCCTTGGTGTTTAGTGGCATTTGTGTTTCATATTTCTGCGTGTGATTGTGATTGATTTCATGTTTTTGTTCGGTGCATATTGTATGTTGGACATGTTTTGTTTGTGCTCATGCTGTGTTTGTTTTTAAATCATGAGATTTGTCTCTAGGGCCCAGCGCCCTTAGAGAGCACCAAAGGGTGAAGATGCCGTGCCTGATCTGTTTGGTCGCAAGTTCGTTTCACTGGGGAAACCACCGTCGAGTAAGAATGGCTGCTCTTTGGTGTGACAGTGCGACCAAATCCTTTTGCAAACAACTTTTTGTTGGGGGACCTCCCCCTCAATTGATGAGTTTTAATGTTAGTTTTCCCGGAAAGCCACCAAAATAGGGGCACCAACTCCAGCACCAACTCCTCAATTGGTTGTTCTGTTCGCTTTCCCGGAAAGCCAGCGCCAACTCCAAAAGCGACACGCCCAGTGCCATCTACAACAGCTGTTCCCTTCTCAGGGCGGCAGCCCAAGGTACGGCGCCGCTCACACCCGCCTCTCCGGAGACCCCGCAAGCTCCGCCGGAAGCGCCGCCCGAGCCGGAAGCCGGCGAGACGAAGCTCGGAAGCCAGTGGCAACCGCTTTGGGTGTGTTTCTTTCGTTAGAATTCGCCCCCACCCCCCCCAAAAGAAAGGAAGAAGCAAAAAACAAACCAACACAAAACACACTAATGGATAAGATAAAATGATAAAATACTACAGCAACAGAACACAAAAACAAAACAAGACAAGAAGTGCAGAGCTTCGGTAGACCAGTACTTCGCACACGTTCCCCTCACTTCGCCGCAGACTCTGGCTCTCCATACCCTGGGTTTCCTTTTGCCTTTCAAAACAAACAAGCAAACAAGGGGTGCCGAGCCTCGCGAAAAGACGAGCCACCCACGTTGCTCACTTGCCCGAAAGGGATCGACCTGTTCACCTTTCGGTTGTCCCTTTGTGGTTCCCACTTTTAGCACGGGTCCCCAAAGGTGACCACATGCGGCCACCTTTTGATTTCTAACTTCCTGCGGGGCCAGGTACCGTACAATTCTGCAACACCGCCTTCTTGGCCGTTTGATTTGACCTGATTTGGCCTGCATGAGCTGGGCAGTATCAAACCTTGTTGGTGTCGTTGTCTTTTTGCAGGAGTCTAAGGTAGTTCTGTGTCTTATCTTCCCGTAAAAAATCCAACGCACATAGGTGCCAAGTCTTGTCATCCCCTGAAAATCCAAGATACGCAGGTGCCAATTCTTGTCATCCCATGGAATTCCAACAAACGCAGGTGCATATTCTTGTCCTATGGTACCAATTCTTGTCTTCCCATGGAAATTCAACAAACGTAGGTGCATATTCTTGTCCCATGGTGCCAATTCTTGTCTTCCCATGGACATCCAGCAAACGTAGGTGCCAATTCTTGCCAATTCTTGTCCCATGGATCTCCAACACACGGTATTCCCATGGAACTCCAACAAACGTAGGTGCCAATTCTTGTTCTACGGGAATCCGACAAAAGTCAGTCCCAATTCTTGCACTTTTCTTGAACTCCAGCAAACATCGGCTCCATTGCTTGACATTGCATGCACATTCCACAAAACTGGGTTCAGAAGTTCTCGTCCCATGGACTCCCGAAAGCCAAGGGTCCTCCGGAAGCTGCCGCCGAGCTCTCGAAGCCTCTTGGCGTCACTTGCGGCGAGTGCGAGCCGAAGAGGACGGAGCTGGCTGGGTCCGTCCCGAAAAAATCGACGCAGCTATGGACACTGAAGGGGTTCTGCTGTTAGGTTGGTTGGCGGGTGTTGTTTCTTCTTCTTTCTTCCCAACAGCTGCAAGCTCTATGGGTTGTTTGTTGGCCGAGAAGGGGTGGTTTAGAGCAGCTGGGGGCTCCATATCTTTGGCGCTTGGTTTTGGGGGAGATCGACTGCCCGGTTTTAGCTCGATTACAACCACTCAGGAAGTGAGTTGTAGCAGGGTAGCCCGAATCAAAGGTTGGAAGTTTGAGGGATCCTATACGCACGTCCGAGATCACCTACGCCAACTGCACAAAAAGTAGTTGTTTTTTGGTCTTATTTTGCTTTACGTGGCCGCATGCCTAGTTTTGCCTTGTAATTGCCTTAATGTAGGGCACAGGGTTCTGACACATATCTTTCACATCTCCAAGTTTCGCCTCGGGACATCAAGTGACGCTCCAGGAGTTTGTCCCCTCAAGCCAATGGGAACAACTGGGCAAGAGTCTCCAAGGGTCCAAAAGAAAGGCCCGCGGAAGGTAGACCAAGAGGAGCTTTGGTAGGCCTCAGGGGATCTGTTTGATGGTGCTGGAAGTTTTAGGGCTGCGCTAGAAAGGTGTGGGTGATACACTGATACAAGGGAGAGTGGTATATATGAACTGGTGGTTAGTTGGGGGGCCCAATCTTCCCACGTCCTTTTTGGGAAAGTTCAGGGCTCTTTTTTTCTCTAGACTTTGAAGCCGTGGCTTGTCTTTGGTGTGACCGAATCGCCTTTTAAGGCCCCTTAGGCCTCTGAGGCCTTTTGGAAACAAATGGATCTGCCCAGCGGGGAAGAGCGGCACAGAAACTTACTGCGTGTGTGAGGGAAACCGAAAGAAAACCAACCATCTTAGGGGAGCGATTCTTTGGAGAAGCACCAGCAACGCCTCCACACCTCCTGACATATACCATAAAGCCACAAAACCTGGTGAGGGGTATTGGCTTCTCTGGTATTATGCAGGGGGCATGATGACCATTCGCAAGCAACACTCCATTTTGAAGATGCTTGTGTCAGCTCAGGCGAGGCGGCTCCGGTGAAACCTGCGGAGACTCAGCAGCAAACGGAGGCGTGTCAAGCCTTCACCGCCTTTTGACCCCTTCCACTTCTGGCTCCTGTTGGACTTGTTTTACATTTTTCAGATTTACTGCAATGACATGGGCTTGAAATAGAGGACTCCACCATCAAAAAAAGAAGTGGCTTCCTTTTGGCTTCCACCTAAACCGTCCATCAAGGGGACCCTCTTTTGTCAGGGCCCGACAGTGTTCGCATCCTTTGGTTGTTTTTCCTAGGTGTCTGGAGAGTATTTTGGATGAAGCCGACCGGAGAACCCAACGTGCATGCGGCTTCATTTTTCCTCAGCTGGAAGCTTGGGGGTCTCACCCCAGAGCTGGACTCGAAGTTCCGGGGCTGGGGATACTGTGGATGGACGAAACCTTGCACCTAACAAACCCTAGAATGATGATTCCCCTGTAAATACCAACAATAAATGGGTTTCCCATGGTTTCAAAGTGGTGCGAAATGGATTTCGTCCATCCACAGTACCTCAGCGTTTTCTCCAGAGGCTTCCCTGGGAAACGTTGTTTGTCTTTTAGCCGAGAAGCCGAAGGGTTGAGCCCCTGTCGGATCCCTGGTTGAAGCAGCATTGTTCGCAAGCGTCCAGGTCCCTTTTTGCAAAGGTTCAGCTTTTAAGGACCTGTTTTAAGGGTTCTCTTTAGGCACCCCCCCCAAAGAAAAAAACACAAAGAAAACAAGAAGAGAAATAAGTGGCTGCTGTTCCGTTGTTTTTTTTCTTTTACCACAAAAGACAGGCGGGCATGGGTCAGAAATAAAGCACCAGGATATGGCAACCATTTTGGGGCACCCTATCTTTGACCCCCCAGGCACCCTCAAAACAAAGACACCTAAAGCCTCACAGAGCAATGTCGAAAATGGGTTATTACCAAGGGTACCTGGAGTCTCCATGACCCTTTAAGAAGGGGTCTATGACTCCATTTTAGGGTCATTCATGGAGAGTTCATTACCCCAGAATTGTGGTTGGTGACTTCCAACTTTTTAAAATGGGTACCCTCCCTCCTAACGTAGCACTGGCGGAAGGTTACCTGGAAGATCCATTTCCTCTGGAGGGAACCTCTGTCAGGTGCCATGGCAACGTGGGAGGGATGGTGTCGGGTTTAGATTCACCCACTAAAGCGCGCTTCGTTTGCCAGGCGGCTACGGCGTCGAAGCCGGGCCAAATCTCGCTGCGGGAAGTCCCGCGCGAAGCGAAGCCGGAGGACGGACGACATGTTGGGACGTGCAACTTCTCCGCGTGCGGTATCTTCCATTTGCCTAAGTACATGTGAGGCCTCATGTATACCTGGAGTCGGAAGTCTCCTTCTGACCATTTAAAAATGGGTCCATGACCCCTTTATTTTGGGTAATGACCCCATTGAAAAAGGTGTCACGGAGACTCCAGGTACCTATGTTTCCCGTGTTGGCCTTCTGGTTTGAATCGATCACTGCTAGAAACAGGTTTACATTTTTCCAGGAACTTATATTCATTAAATAGGGGAAGACGTTTGTTTCGCAAGTTGGAAGGTCTAGAAAAGGTGGCGTCCGTTTTGTTTTCCCCGAACACCTCTGAACATAGAAGTAGGGGGGGTTGGAGGGAACCGCGTTTCCCGGACTCCTCTTTGGGCAGGGGTCCATTCAATCGCCAAGCAGCTGGAGTTCACGGTTTGGATTGGGAAGTTCGAAGTTCCCAGGGCTTCAGGGCCCAAAACCGTGATCCAAAGGTCAAGGGGTGTCCTGACAAGAGTCTTGTCTTGCGCTGGGGTCCACCGCCAATTTCTTGGGGGAAGGGAGGGGGTGTCGGCCTCCAAAAGTTGTATTCCCCACCAAGCCCACGTTGACACCGGGACGCAATCCCTTGGTGGCTCCCAGCCATCCGGTTCCTTGGCTTTTTAGCCTTTTAGTGTTTAGCGGTAGTTTCCATGTAACCCACCAAAAGTTAATCTTTTAGCGGGGGATCTGAGGGCACAGAATCCGTGGGTTCCCAGTACCATAGGTGTCCTTTTTGGTTGTTTAGCTGGGAAAATAGATGGGTTTCCCTGGTTTACCCGGTGGTTTAATCATCTACCAGGGGCCATCTATTTCCCCTAAGAGGACACCTAGGTGGGTTCCCATCACAAGGGACTTGCCCACCCGGGGCGACTCACGGAGATCGGTGAGGAAGCGGCGTCGGCGGCATCCTCCAGCTGGACGGGGGATGCGTCGGAAAAATTGGGAGGATCGCCGCCCTCTGCCAGGGTACCATATGGCCATGGGTCAAAAGCCAAATCGTACCCCCAGTGAACGGGACCCAATCCAACCACTACAATAGGTTCTAAAATGGGTGGTGCGCCTACCCCCCGGCCATATGTTTTGCGGTTTTAAAGGAGAACCTGAAGAAAACTCTGTTTTTTTGGGGTCCAACTTTCATTTGTTGACACAATCGCTACTGTGGATGGACGAAATCCATTTCGCACCACCTAAGAAGCCATGGTTGTAATAACGTTTGTCGGTATTTAGACGGGAATCATTCCAGGGTTTCTGAATGGCGGTGCGAAATGGATTTCGCAGCCATCCACAGTAGGTCCAGGAGTTTCTGCACTAGATGTTTTTTGGGAAGACCAACTGTTGGGAAACAAGAAAGGAAGCGAGCTATGCAACTCATCAGGAATTTGAGGCCGCACCCCCGTGCGTGGGTTTTGGGAGACACAGTTCTAGGGTCCCTGAGGACTGGATGATCGAGATTATTGACCCATAACGCACTTGCCCAGAACCGATTTTGTAAGCCTTTTGGTTTTATTCCTTTTTTTCCCACTGTGTCCACTCTTACTAAAGGTTCCCAGCATTGGCCTTTAATTTCTAGGTCGTGCTAATGGTATGGTTCGAGGGTTCAGCCTGAGGGTCCGGGGGCTCAATATGGCTGTGTTCAACCCACATCAGGTAAGTAGGTTGTTCCCGTGAATAAATGGGCGTCGTGCTGAAACCCATGTATGCAGTTATTCCGAATTTCCAGGCCTGCATGGCATGAGCTTCCCACTGTGTGCGCGGAAGAGACGCGGAAGGGCGGCGGAAGAGACGCGGAAGGGCCGGTGAACGAACACATTGACCGAAAACCGGTGATAACTTGTGTGTAGAGTGACAATGGGCGCAGAAGGTTGGAAGGGCGGCGGAAGGGCAGCTTTCAGGAGAAGTAATTTTGCACAACCCCCATATGCCAACCAGCTGGTTTGAAGTCGGGAGAGGAGTACAACCGCTTCGGTGTTTGTTTGTTTTTTTCTCGGAGAACCAAAAGGCAAACCAAACGCCATTTTGGGGGTCCTCCTAAAAAACCCTCTTGTTGGATCCACCTTTCCCCTCTACGATGGTTTCCACTTCCCCCAAACCATCCTCAGGCCAAGGGAAAATGGTGTGTGCCAACCCCTACATGGTCATTGAATTATATAACTGTTGGATATATTACCACTTCCTGGCCCGGATGGTCATTAAACCCCGACCCTCCTGTCTCACATGGAGCCCACCAAAGGGCCCCTTTCAAAAGGAAAATAGTCTTCGAAAACGACAGGTTCCGTGGGGAGAAAAAACCCAAAAGTGAAGTTAGTGATTTCCAGGTCTGGGCCGGTGATCAGGTGACTCTTAGTTGGCTGTTGGGATTCGTTTTGGGATTTGAACCCAACTTGTTCTCGCGGAAAGCGGACACACGCACCCCGGGCTCCAAAACCACCAAGCAGGACCATCGATTTTCCTTTTGGTCTTGAAAGGGTGGCAAGGTCTTGCTTGGTTACCTGCAAATTCCGGGTAACTGAATTTGGTGGGAGTATTTGGTAGGTGACCCTTTATTTTTGTAGGGGAGCATCCCCACCAATGCCACCCCCCCCCTCCCCCCACCCCCCCACCCCTCGCAAGGAGCGAATCGGCGCGCAGCTCCCGGTCCTCCGCGCCGGAGCCGACGACGGCGGTCCAGGCGTTTCGGAGAAGGAGAGAAGGAGAGGTAGGCCCACCTGGAGCCTCGAAAGTCTCAGCCTCAAAATGGTTGTTATAGCAAGCCAAGTTTTATGGAATTGGGGAATCCCATATTTTGTTAAGTATAACGGCTGAATTGGTTGGTGAACTCCCAGCCTAGAAAATTGTTGTTATACCAAGTCAAAAAAAAGTTAAGCTTAAACATGGGCTATTGCACCCGATGTTTGTGGTTGGTGAATTCTGAACAAAAACTAGTTGTTATAGCAAGGCAAATGCATGGAATTGGCGAACTCTAACCTTTTGGGTAGTTTTGAGGTTTCGGGTAGGTGATAAGCAGGACCGCGGTACGGGGAGCGTCACCCCAGAACTGGAACCATAGTTACAACCTCCCTAAGTTGGTGAAGAAGCCAAGCGCTCTTGGGAAAGAGCAACGAACTTAGTACAGTGGATGGTTGCGGAATCCGCTTCTCACCTCGCAAAAATCAGAAGCCACTGAATGATTTGAGTCCCCCTGTAAATACCAGTCTGGTGCAGGATTTCGTCCCCAGTTTTTTTCCCATGGTTATAACCTCCCTACTAAGTTGGCTGAAGACTCAAGCACCCTCCTCGCAGTCCGGTTACACTGGCGCGAGGCCCTTTTTCGACTTTTGTTTTGGGGGGTTCAGTTGAGAACAGAGAAACAACAAGTGCCATGAAATCAAGGGGAAAGTTTCTGGGTGATTTGCTCTTTCCCCAGAGCAAGCTCAAAAGTAGGGTCTGGGAGCTAGCTAAGTGGATAGCAGTCCCTCGTTTAGCCTGCAGCGAACACGCTTACCCACCGAATTCAGGTGCTCATTCATTTTTTGATTGGGCACCTCAAACTTTGGCCTTCTAAGTGAGCTTTTTTGGGATCTCAATGTTACTTTCTTTTCTTTTTTTTTTGGGGGGGGGTCCATCAACCGCGTGGATAAAAGTTAAGGACCACCAAAGTTGATTCTAGAGGTATGGAGGTTATGCGCCGCTTGTATGAGGGATATACCGCCTTACAAACCTGTATGGGTGGCGCATGAGCTTCCCTACTTCCTTCCACACCTGAAAACGGTTTTGAATAGACCTGTTAACTTTAATGTCGGCTTGAGGTTTAAGCATCTTTTTTGAGAACGAGTTGAAAGTTACAGAAACCAAAGGAGTCACAAACCACACCTGGTATCCTTGGAAAGGCAAATGTTCTAGTGTTTGATTCCCCATTCTTTGCAACCATCGTTCTTTTAGAACATTTGCTGTTTCTTTCTGGGATTTTTGATGGTTTCCTGAAGAAAAACGGATCCATGGATTCAGAATGGGGAAGCCCTCCCGCCAATTAACATAGAAGTGCAAAAGAGACCTTTCAAAGAGGAAAGTAGTCTTTCTGCAGGGGTCTGTGCACAAACCCATGTTAGCTGGTGCGAGGGTATCCTACAAAGGCCCAAAAACTCCGCAGGCGCGCCGGAGTGTCCCGGCGCCCTCCGCCGCTTCGGCTGCGGCGGCGTCCGGACCGGGAAGCCGTGGCAGCTTGCCGGGGTCGCTGCGCCTGGCGTCCAAGCCGGGCAGCATCCGTTTCTCGTAGGGTCCGGGAACCCCAGAGGAGTGCTTCTACAAATGGTGGAGCACCTGTTCGCTGGTGGTTATCTCGAGGGAAACCAAAAGGAAACCATCGCCCATGTTAGGGGCAGCCCTATTTTGAGCAGCGGGCAACAAATTTTGATTTGGGTGGTTAAACCGGGGTTCCCGGCTCGTATTGGACAATGCACCCGCCTCCCCCGAAGGGGGAAGCGCTTTTTTGGGCATCGCAGTTCGGAAAATCCGAAAACAAAAAGTCTCCGCGATGTGCAAAAAGGCGGGCAGCTTTGTTGCAATGCTTGGAGCCATTACCACTTTCTGGAAGTGCTCCCCATGAAAAAGTAGTGTGATTCCCCACAAGACGGGGAAGCCAGCGAGAGAGACTCGTCCACGAAACGCCCTTTGGTGTAACTCGGAACGCCTTCAAAGGATTTGGGTGTGTCTTTTTGTTGGACGGTGCCCCTTTTTTGGTTTTATAGGGAAACCAACAGGAACACAGCTTTTGGTTCTTCTTCCTTTTTTTGGGGGGGGTCCCTTTGCAAAGGACACACCCGTGTTCCTGTTCTAAGCAAACCCACTATGGAAGAGCTATAATATGGGTCTGTCTCATGGACCCCAACGCCTCGTTGTTTTTTTTGCCGGATCGCTGGTAGGTCAAGGAGGGTTTCTCTAAAGAATGACCCCCGATTGACACTCGCAGGTTGTACTTAGATCCGCAAAGATTCCGGAAGGTGTTGCGTAAGGAAGCCCTTTTTGTCCAGAGTGGGACCGATTCACCCAAGTTTGTTCTTGGAGCTGTTCCTTGGCATCGAAACGCACGAAGGCCTTGCACTGCCTTGCAGTTGCAAGATGTCAGGGTGAAAGTAGATCAGGGTCCACGTATCTTCTAACCACTTCACGTTTTTGCTTGGTGGCTTCCACTTCAACCAAGTGGTGACCGAAAACTTGTGTGTGCGATCGCCCGTAGCTTCGGCTCATCCAAGCCGTTCTTTGTCTGTCCAATTTCAGGGACCCTGCACCCCCCCAAAGAAACTCCCCCCCACCCTTATTTTGCGGCAACCAGCTGTTTTTTTTGACCAGAGGATAGTTGGAACCCCTTGCTGGGTAAGGACACATCTTTGAGGGGGCGTTGGGGTCCCTGATTTCATATGCGCCCTGCTCGCCCTGCTCGCCCTGCTCGCCCTGCTCGCCGGCGGCCAGATGAGAGACCATGTGGATGATGCTGCGGATCAGGTCTTTTCACCCCGAGACTTCGTCAGAGACCATCTGATAGACTCTCGGTTTGGATCGATGGGCGCAAAATGCTTCCCCTGCCGAACTTTGGGCATCAGGGGGTACCCTCAACAGGCAAAAATCCAACTTAAACATGAATTAATTCCTAAAACCCAGCATATTGGTTGGCGAATTCCAACTGTTTTATGGGGCCGTTTGAGTATCTAGGTACCCAAACAAAAACCATTAACCCCTTAACACTGATTGTTCAGGGGACTTTCAGAAACAGACACACCCATTTTGTCACTGATTCGATTCCTTTCATTGAACTCCGTAAGGCGTTGATGATTGGGCTCTACATCGTCGGCTGGCTCGTTGGCCTGGCGCTGGGTGTCCGGACTGCTCAGCAGAAGCATGCTGTGGCAGCCCAGTTGCCCAGTCCTTTTGTTCCTTTCAGGTTGACCCCATTGATTAGAAGGATGGGGTGCCCATTGAATAGTTGTTTTTTTGTTTTTCTCGGGGGGGGACCCTACTGTGGAAGTTTGCAAGATCTTCTTCTCGCACCACGGCGGAGAAACCCTGGAATGATTGTTTTCCCCAAAACAAACAATGGTCTCAACCATGGTTTCAAAGCGTTGTAGGATTTCGTCCATCCACAGCAAAGTTTGTGTCAAAATAGGGTTTGGACCCCCCAAAGAAAAGGTGGTTTTCCTTCAGGTTTTCCTTTACAACCACAATATACATATTAAGAGACGCACCCAGAGAGGGTTCCCTTCAAACTCAGCCACCAAAAAGTGGGTCCAATTATCTTGTTTCCTTTGGAAAGCCACGCTCAGGCAGATGCCATCGAGCTAATGGCGAAGAGCGAAGAAGAGGCCGAGAATGAAGCCAAGCAGGCGAGTCGCGAGTCGCGGATGATCAAAGGTTCGGGTAGAACATTGATTTGCTTTTTCTTGTAAGGTGTCCCTTTTGTCGATCCTTGTTCTTCCCTGGTGGAGCTATTCCATTGGCGTGTTGGGTGTATTGTGTGACCCTTTTAAAGATGGTTTGAAAGGAAACCAAAGGGAGAGGAGACACCCCCCTCCCCATCCTCCCCCCATTTGGGGGTTCCTTCATCTAGAGACTGCCCGATTTCTACAAACTGCTGATCGACCCGGCCAAGAAGACATCGGAGGCAACGATCGACGATCGCGCTGAGTTGGCGGCCCTGAATGACTTTCAGCGTGTCTTTCGCAAAGACTTCGCCATTGAGACTTGGTTCATCAAGTTGGTGCGACCGTTAACTTGATCGTTGCAATGGAGCTGAAAGGCCCTTTTGCCGCCGGCAAAATTGCAGAATGACCATCCCTACAAGATTGCTTGTGTCCCCTTTTTGCATGTATATTCTCATGTTGACTGTCAACCAATTTTCCGCGCTGGGGGCAGAGAGAGGCGTAGACGTGTTTGTTTTGCAGGTTGCTTGGACATACTGCGGCCAACCATACGTGAAACCGTTCCTTTTTCACAGGCAATTTCTGAGACGGCCCCTTTTCCTGAGGGAGAAGGCTAGGACCCTCAAACTACACATAAACAAGGGGAATGTCCCCAGCATTTTGGGGCAATCACCTATTCTTTTTAGTTGGACTTGTGAGGGTCCAGGTACTTCTTGCCGTGGCCCTGAAGGTTTTGACATTTGACTTTGGGCGCCAGGAGATGTGGGCCATCGCATGTTTGTATATCCCCTTTCTGCAGCCGCTGGCCAATGGCTTCATCATAGCAAAGTACTACTGTGAGACGCGGCGGCAGTCTTCCATGGACCCGAAAGAACTCATGAAAAAGGGAAGTCGCCAACCATCGTTTTTGGGTTGCAATGGCCCAAATTTTCGAAAAGAGGTGAAAGCTAAGGGGTCTCACCCGATGAGGTTTTCTGGATTGAGGCGCGAGCAAGGATTCGGTGGTTGAAGGGTGGTTTGGTGCAGGCCAGGTGCAAAGTTTCAAGGAAGGTTCCGAGGGTTCGGGTGGTCTGGTGCAGGCAGGTGAAAGGCTCAAGCAAGGTTGTGGAGGCTGCGGGGGCGCTCTGGTGCGGGCCAGGTGTAAGGTTCAAGGAAGGTTCCGGAGGTTCTGGGGTGGTCTGGTGCCGGCCGGTGTGGTTCAAGCAATGGTTCCCGAATGGTCTGGCGCAGGCCATGTATAGGCTCAAAGAAGGTTCCGGGGTGGTTCAAGGAGGGTTCCGTGGTGCAGGCAGGAGAAATGTTCCGGAGGTTTCGGGGTGGTCTGGCGCAGGCCAGGCAGAAAAGGTCTGGAGGTTCAAGGATGGTCTGGGGCAGGCCAGGCAAAAGGTGTAAGGTTCAGAACAGCCCCAGACTGGTCCGCTGTGAGGTAAGGGTCCGCAAGGTTGCGTGAGGGTTTTTGCGAGGGTTCCGTGAGGGTTGCGAGGCAAACGACGAGGGTTCCACAAGACCAGAGAGAGATCTGGGGATGCGCGGAAGGGTTCCGCAAGGCGATTTTGGGGTAAAGGTTCCGCTTCAACCCCTACGCTGAGCACCTTCGAAGCGCTGTTGGGGATATCACGGAGCTCATTAAATTGGAATTGTGGGGAAGGTCGGTGGCTTGGATTGGTGAGGGAGGGGCATGGGGCAGTCAATATTTGTTTTCCAACAAGAACCAGCTCAGTTGCCCAAAGCGAATCGGCCTTTTGACTTCTTGGTTTTGGCTCGGCCCCAAAGCTGTTTGCAGTTCATTTTGGTTCTCCCCGGACAAAAGCACTTGTTTTTCCTGCGGGAAGATATTCGTCGCTAGGAGCGGCGTTTTAGCGCAATGGGCAGCGTGGCTGGCATCCCTACGGGCATTTGGCTCTTTGGACTTCTACTGATCTCGATTGTCTATGTGAACTATTTACTGCACCAGGTGCTGTACGACGAGTCACGGCCAGACTTCCCTCCCAGGTTTCGAGAGAGCTGTTTTTGTGGCGCTGGATAAGAACTACCCAGAAAAAACACGGAAATCACCGACCAAGATGTTGGGTTGCCAAAACCCTATGTTCAAATTGGAATTTGTGAGGGTGCGGATTTCATGTTGCCTTTCAACCACGCAGTTCCTCTACTGTTTGCTTTTTGCGGTCTGAGTCTGAGGAGTTTCGAGGAAAACGCCCGAGCTTCGACAGGGAACACTGGACACAGATCCTTTCGGCCCCTCTCTGCTCGCAATCCCTGTGGCTGGCAGGCTCCGGGTTGAGACAAGTTGTTGCATTCTCATTTTTTTGGGGATAGAATGGGGAAATGTGAGTTTCACAAAATGGTGGCCCCCTGAAAAGTGGCAACTACACCAATCACAATTGAACCCCGTGCAGGTTTTGCAATGCAGATGCACAACAAGCTTGTGTTGGGAGCAGTGAACCATTACAAGCGAAGGCTCCGCAAAGCGTTGCCGCGCAACTTGGTCGACCTGTAACATTTCCCAATGTCAGGCAAGTCATGAAACCTATTAATAATTATATTATACATAGACCTGGACCTTTCTGCATGCTCAAAGTTTCCGCCTTGTTGCTTCAAAATGCCTTTGGGGGCAACAGCGCACAATGTTTGCCTGTCAAGCGAAATCTCAGTGTCACGCGCAATCTCCCCGAACCTACATCCCGACCAACAGGCAACATTTCCCGAACAACAAAAAGCAAACAAATATGTTTCACGCAAGCGACAAATCAATAACCTGGTTTTCGGCCAACGCTGGGAAGGTCCAGGTATATCTATATATGTAGACATATACACCACACATAATATATTATCGAACCAGAGGAGCCATTATGTAACAAATAGAGGTAAGAAACCCTGGCTACCCACTTAGTGGCTTGCCTGGAATCCATATTGTGAGGTAAATAGTGTGTTCCCCAAGAACTAGACACTCAACTGGTTTCAAGTTTGGAAGGTGTGTCAGTCAGCCTCTCAGGGATCGCAAAGCTCCTCCAAGTGTGAAGGGATCAGGGCCAGGGTCAAATTAAACGAGTCACAGTCAAAGCCCGGGTAATTGCCAGCCATAAACAGGGCTCCTTAAAAGATACATTTTTGCCCATTTGACACATGGTTTTTTCCACCAAAATAAAGGGACACCACCATTTACAAGGCAACGTTCAGGTGTATAATGTAAGGATCCCTGATAAATGGGTGCGGCCGCCTTTTGAGTTCTTTACAGGGTTCTGGGTGGGCCGTCTTACCGGGTTTTGATTACAGCTCAATGGTGGGGGGCCCCGAACCAACCCAGATAACATTGGCAGACTTGGCGTAGCTTGCCAACTTACCTGTTTGCTTTCGCGGAGTTTTCTTCAGTTCTCCTTTTCACCGGCTTCTGCGGGAAACCTTGGCCGCCGGATCCGTTTGGCCCAGGCAATGCCGAAGAGATTCTTTCACAGATCAGTGGTGAGGTCACGGAGTCAAGTCAGGCGACTGAAGGCAATCGGACACGTCTTGATCCCGCGACTCGCGCCGCAAAGTGCGATTTTGATTTGACCGGATTTGATTTGGCGTGTCGCCTTTTTCTGGAGAACCGCTTTTGGTTGGTCTAAAAAAGGAGAAGGTGAGAATATTAAGGTTATCTCGAATGTCAAACAAATTGGTCAACGAGGTTCGAAGTTGTGTTAGGGTTAAGTGTATCATTTGTCTTTATTTGGTATTAGCTATCTCATTATCTTTACTATTCAGGCTTAAACCTATCTTTGATGTCCAATTATTTGTTCCTGGCAGATTGAAAGTTTCATGAGCGTTTTAACGTGTCCCTTCTTTCGTCACAGCTTGGCAAGCGTGAGGTTCCTGGAAAGGGTCCAGCGCTGACATTCGGCCAAGAGAAAAACTACTAAAAACCATCCCCTTGGACCGTGGCACGATCCAGACTCCTTTTGGGAATTGGATCGGGTTGAGCCTTTGGGAACCCGGGCCTGTCCTGGTTCCCCCCCTTGTTTTTGAAGAATTCCTAACGGGGGTGACCCTTTTTGAAGAGGCGAACCAACCAAACATAACACAGGTGGAAAAACAAACCAGCGGGATTGGCCAAATCCCGATTGTTGTCAAGTCACTTCTTTTTTTTGGGTTTGGCACCATTTTAGCCAGACTTAAGTTTCTTTTGTCTGGTTGTTGGGTGTGTGGGTGGTTTGAAGGGAAGCAATTGGGAAGCGACCCATTTCGGAGGGGTCTCACTACTTTTGGCGCTCATGTTGCCGGGTAGGTGGACAAGCAACGCATGCAATCGGCGCTGTGGGCGGCTCTCTACTTTGCCATCTTGATGGGCTCGTTTTGGAAGACTCTTTGGCCTCAGTATGTGTTTTTTGCAAGATGCCGAACTATTTGTTTTGTATTTTTCCTGTTTTTTTTTTAACAAAAAATAAAGATGCCTCCAAACAAGGAACCATGGTAACTGCCTTACCAGGTGTCACAAGATAGTTCCGTACAAGTTATGGGAACTGGAAGCATTGCACTTTACATCATTGCAACATGGCCTGGTGGATCGACAAAGTCCACTTCATTAGTTTGGATGGATGAAACCCCATGAATGGTTGATAAACCACCCGCCAACCGAGTAACAGCTGCTTGGCGCGGATTTTGTCCATTCACAGTACGTGCCATGCTTTAAGCTGCCCAGATCCGGCTTTGCAAAAAAACATACAGGCGAATGGCCCCATCTTACATGTACTGTTCTTTGCGAATGGAAATTTCGCCGGGTGGAGAATTTGCTGCAAATTGCTCACCCAAAATCCTGTTAGTCTCCTTTGTTTGGTCTACTTGTCCGGAGGGACCCAATCTAGCCAGAAGAACCCTCTATATAAAATAAAGCTTTGCTGAAACGCAGGGCCCTCCCAGATTAGTATGGTTCTCCGGATTTCGCCAAATTTTGAACTATTTCCTGGCCCGTTGGTTCAAGTGAGGAGCGGACCGACCGGTCAAATCGACCACAATGTCGTGACAGGGACAGGGAGTTTCTGTCTGTCTCTGATCGGTGCTGCGGGGATCTATAACTTGCTTCCTGGTTGCAAGTGGAATGATTCCACCCCTTTTTCATGGCTTTGGCAACTCAACTTTCTGGTTGCAACTGGCTGCACCAAGGGAGCTTCCGTCAAGGAATCTCACATTGGCATCACACAGGAGTTTTTTCCACAACCATGTCTTGCCATGTATAGTGCAATGTTCGCTGTGGGGACTAAAACAATGGAATTGGGGACCCCCCCCCCCACCACCCTCCCCGTTAAGGTAGGGGGGATGTCCACCCCTCCCCTCCTTTGTTTTGTCACGCACCAAACTTCTCTATCCAGAGGGGCCGTCCTGGCTTGACTGCTATTGGGTTGGATCTTTAGACTTTAACTTTTTGGGAAATCAAGGGGATTTCCACTAAGCCCTAAAAGATTTAAACTTTTTGCAGGGGGGTCAACAGCAACCAAGCTGGGCTCGGCCTTGTTTCAACCATGGGTTTCGCTCCAAGTCAACCAACAAAGAGACAACCCACGAGCAACCAGGGAGCACCGCACGGGTAAAATCGACCAACAAAAACACATTTGCTTTTTCCCCAGATAGCTGAAAGCTATAGGGGTTCCAACTTCTAATAAAGAAGGCAAAGTGATTTGCGAGATCGACGGCTGGGTGCTCGGGGCGTGCAGTTTGGGGTGCTGGTGCAGGTGCTGTTTGGGGTGCTGTATGCTGGTGATACTTTTGCAAGATTGACGGCAGGGTGCTTGGGCATGCAGATTGCGTGCTGGTGCAGGTGCTGTTTTCGGGTGCTGCATGGGGTGCTACTTGAGGTGCTGGTGACGGCGCGGGCGCATTTCTGCGAGATCGACAGCCGAGTGCTTTGGGAGTGCCGTTTGGGGGTGCTGTTTGTGGTGCTGGCGCGGGCGCACTTTTGCGATTGATGGCAGAGTGCTGGTGGCCATGCAGTTTGGGGTGCTGATGGGGGTGGTTTTGGGGAGCTGGTGACGGGCGTAGGCGCGTTTTGCGAGCGGCGGGGTGCTAGGGGGCATGCAGTTTGGGGTGCTGGCGCAGGTGCTGTTTTGGCACAGTTGCTGCTTTGGGGAAGGCCAGGTGTGTTTTTACGAGATTGACGGCAGGGTGCTAGAAGGCATGAAATTTGGGAATTCTTGTGCAGGTGCTGTTTTGGGATGCTGTTCGGGGTCTTGCTTGAGGTGCTCTTCTGGCAGTGCGGTTAGAGTTGCTGGCGTGCAATCGTTGGCACGTGTTTCGCTATCTGGGGTCTATGCTGGTGTAATGTTTCCTGGCTGTTTGAGAAAGGTCCATTTTAAAACCGACCCAGACAGAAGTGCCAAGTTTTTCCCGCGCAAATCCGAAATCCGCTCCGAGGCTTTGCACAGTTCTCCCTGCCATCGAAGCGGTGGAAGAAAACAAGACCTACTTGGAGCGTTTCAAGGGCAAAACGCTTGAAGGCAAGCTGGGGTCTAGGGGATAGCCATCTCCACCTTGACACCATGGTTGAAATCATAACATTTGTTCCGATGTTTACGTGGGGGAATCGCATAAATCATTCCGTTGGGGTGCTCCTTCTCGTTGTTTCCCCCTGTTTTGAGTCGGCATCCCATGGGCTTATTTGGCTCCTCTCGCGTTTTTTTTGCGGTGTGTGGTCAAAATACGCTTGCCCCCCCCCTGCCCAAACAATAGCTAAAACTCGCTTGGACCCCCCCCCAAGAAAGCAACGGAAAGAAGAGCTGTTTTTTTTGTTGGCTTCCCTTCCCGGCCAAACAGGGCATCAAAGGTGCTTGTGAGGAACAACATTGAATGTCTATGTTAACCAGGGTGTTTCTCAACATGGGGGACCCCAAATGCGTGGGCTTTCGCTTTCCCCAACTAACCAACAGAGGTGCCGAGTTTCAAGATCCAGCTGCGCTTTGTGTCTTCGAGCTCGAGGCAACCCTACCAGTAGGGTATACAGTATACAGCTGACATGTGTTGCCGGTCCGCAAGCTCCACCCCAGCATCCCCCCCCGCATCATCCGGACGAAGGCCAGCCACATCTGGATCCCAAAGCATCCCCGACATCCCCGGCCTTGCGATGGGCTTCTTCCCCCCACAAAAGCACACGGAAACTACTACCGGGGCTTCACCGCCTGGAGGTAGTATCGAAGATTCGCTTTCATTGGATCAGAGACCTTCCCCAAACAAAAGCCAACCGAAAGCATCGAAGCCAAAAAGCAATTAAGCATTGCCGTTCAACAAGCCATCCAAACACACAACAGTCCTTGCCACTCCCTGCTTGCCAGCAGCTCCCTGCTTGCCAGCAGCTTGCCACACGGAACTGCACACCCGCGCTGCGCGCCCGCCAGCCCTGTCAGCCGTTGTCCGGCCTCCAGCCCGAACATGTCCGGATGTTTAAGTAGGCGAGCCGAAGCCCAAAGGCAACCCTTTCAAGATACAACGCAAAGTCCCCATTTATGGTTTCTCTTTAGAACCATATAAAGGGTTGCGGACCCCGACCCATTGTCAACGGGGTGAAACTCTCAGGAGATTCGGACCAGTCTGAGATCTCCTTTGATCGAACAGATGGCCTGGATCATGGCACCTGGTGGGCCATGTGGCAATTCGTCCATGCCGACAGCACAGCTTCGCGCAGAGAAATTGTGTCTTTTATCTTTTGTTTTGTTTGTTTGTTTGTGTCCTTGGTTTTTCGTTTGGAATGTTTTGAAGGGAGTTTCCATTTCAACACACAACAACATCTGGAGCAAGGGTGCCAATTCGTGTCGTTTTCTTTTCGACGGAACTTCATGAGGATGAGCAATTGATCCTCGACGCTTGGCTGTTCGATGTGACCTTTTGCCCGGCTTATCTCAGGTTTTTCTTTATTGGTGGTTTGGATTGGCGGTTTGGGTATTTAAACAGGGGTGTAAGGCAAATGGGGCTTCACACTCCGAAACACCAAACCGCCTAGCTACCAATCCAAGCACTTAGGAAGCCGAATGTGATCCTAAGTGTATGTCGCCGTTTATGCTGTTCTCATTTGGAGTGACCCTAGAGCCTTTCAGCCCTTTAGCATAGAATTGCTGTTTCCCCACTAGCAAATATTTTGCACAGTTTGGGCTGTTCTTTGTTTGTGGTGCCCTGAACATCCGATCCCAACCCCTGAAAGCTGCACACGACGGTGCACAGTGACCAGTGAACAAGAAAAGCAAACTTTTAGGGGGAAGACCAGGATGGATTGATTACGTTGACTGGCGTCTACTTGGCCTTTGACACAATCAGCTTGGTTTTGCTTTGGTATCTCGGCTTGAACGATCTGCCACTTGGCTGCTATTTCGTTGGTTCTTCAGGCTTTACACTTATTGGAACTGATGGTTTGCCCCACACACTTGTCCAAAACCAACCTTTTAAACCTTCTGCTTTTATGACCCAGAGACGAACTTGAGTCACAATCAAAACAGATCGGTATTGAAATGGCCGATTCTCAGAACCATGCTTAGGAGTTAAAAAGGCAAAGGCGCTCATCTATGGTTGGGAGTATCCCTGAACCTTCGTCTACCTGGGTTTTGATTGTGGCTCACCTGCCCCTTACAGGCTCAGAAAATGAGACTAGAAGAAATGCAGGGGATTGAGCTAAAGGTCCCAAAGGTTGTTATGGGCAAGTGAGTCGGCTGCAACAACAAAAGTGTATGTTATTTTTGAGAGTTGTTTTGGTTCTCAATAAAAACCAAAAGGAGCGTCAAAAGGAACGCCCACCATTTTGGTAGCCTAAAAAAGAGACAGGGGGGTTGAGCCATCCAAGGCCAGTGATGTGTCTTGGTGTCGTGTCTGTGCTGGGACACGGAGTTCTCTTTGTCACACTGTGCGATGTGTGCATCAACTTGAACCGCATCTGCGACGAGCCACTTGGCGATATGATATGGTTTTTGTTGGCTTCACCTACCCTCCTGTTTAGCATGGAACCCATCAGTCTGATGGGTCCCTTGGCGAACACATTTGTTGTTGGTTGCACCGAATTGGCTGTGGCAGCAACCTGCGGCCCAGCTGAAAGCTTTGGTTTCGTTGGAAAGGCCAAAAACCTTTCAGCATGGACTTTTCCTCGGGGTTCAAACACACGGAGCTCTTTGGGGTTTCTTGGCAGTTTCCGGCAATCCGTGTGCTTTGCTTCAACGCTGTTGTTCAGGTAATCCTTCTGATTGAAGCCACAATTGAAGGCTATGAATCTTAAGGAGTAGCTGGTGGACCACTTTTCCTCCCACATGATGTCCACCATTTCGGGTCCCTGAAGCAAAGTTCGGGCCCATGTTGTCTTGCTTTCGGGAGACTCGGAGACCAATATATTCGGATGGGAGATCAAAGTGGAAGGATCGTGGATGCCTTTGACCACAACATCCGAAAGGAGCTCAAGAGCAAGAAGCCATTGTCTGAGATCACCCAGAAGGCAGGGGTATCGTTTCATTGTTTCAATGGGGGAAAGATATACACATTAAAAGTTGGGTCCCGGACCCCACCCTCCCCCCTAAGGTAGGGGGGGGGGGGTTATCCTTTCATTTCTCCGTTTGACCAACTTGTGTCAGTCCCTAAGTGTTTGGACTGTTTTGGGGAAGCCCGTTTGAGACAAAAACAGCACGAGTTCACGCAGGAAGGGAGTGTTGGCCTGAGTTCACTCATAAGGCGTACTCTCCTGAAGGTCAACATGGGTGTGTATGTTGTTGTCCCCTTACACAATTCCATAACCCTTTGAACCGAATTTCATTTTGCATCGCCCGAAGCAAATTGAATGGATCTGATCTCTGGTCTTCCAAGGTTGCTCCATTCGGGGGGCCTGTTGTTTCTGTCTTTGGGCGAGTGAGTGTGTTTGCTGAAGACGCTTTTGCTTTCCACGATGAGGTTGTTTTGTCATTCACCTGAGAATATGGCTTTGTCTTCCAAAAAGGGTGAACGGGAGGTTAACAGGGGGAGGGGGGTAATTGGGGCATTGGTCACCCAGGGCTAGCTGGGGGGATTAATTGGACGGCCAGCTAAGTATGCCATTGAGTGTGCACAGGTGATTGATTTGTTGCTCACTCGAGGGCATCCTCTCACGTTTCCCCAGCATCAAGCCCGAAAAGGAGAACCTGGTTCAATTGGAGCAGAGCCTAAAACCTCACCGGCCAATTTAGTAGGTGCTTCGACTACCTGGATCCAAAGGTATTTGTGCTGGAGCAACCTGTTTTGCATTGCTTTGCCCCAGAAAAGTCGGGTATTTGGAGCAAGGGGCTCCCCAAACATTGAACCAATTGAAGGGGGTTCGCCTTTTCAGTGGCACCAGTTGAGCAGAGAGAAAAAACAATTCACTTTTGGTTCTTCTACTAAGATTCGTCAGAGGTCTGGCATGTAGGGGGTGGACGTTTTTCGTTTGCCACCTCAGGTGGCCATTTGGAGCCAATGGCAGCAGCAACTTGTGAAGGAGGGCCCCATCCACACGCTCGCCGGCCTGCCGATGACACGCCAGCTCCGCAACCGGATTTTATTGTCCCTGCTGTCACCCATCATCATCAAAGCCCTCGCATGGGTCGCTCTGCTTCAGACATTTCAGTTGGCCTTTTTGAGTCAGAGCTTTTAATTACATGTAATTGTTTTCCATTGTTTTCAATGTGTTTGTGTGTGTGTGTTTTTGGAGGACACTCGTTGTTCAGGTTGGTTCAAAGGGAACTAGCAAGACACCAACCGTCTTTGGGGGTTCCCCTTAGTTTGCGACAAACCCATATTTTGTGTGTTGCTTGATCTGCTCTGTGTTCAAGTTGTGTTTTGTTTTTGGTCCCTAGCCAGCAAGTGAGGTCTACAACAAGCGACAGTTTGTTCTGGGTATCATAGGTGACCGGGATCCGGACGCAGCTGACACTGATATAGACAATAGCACTGAGATGGCAAGGCCAGCGTTTTGACTAGCCGACTAACGTGCAGGAAGCGCAAAGCGCGAAGCGTGCACAGAGGAAAATTGGCGGCTTGCAAGGTTGGGAGCAATCAAAGTGAAGGATAAGGCAGGCCCAACCTGAAGGAGGGGGCAACTGTCATCACTTACGAAACCTATACAGTAGTTTGTAGACTTTTTCCATGCCAGTGTTGGTTTTGATGTCAGAGCTTTAAGGAAGCTTGACAACGCTTGTCTGGATTTCCCCTCTCACATGTAACCCCGATAGGCACCGGTTCCAAAAGCAGATTCCGCTACAAAGGAATATGGCTTTTGCGATCCATGTTTATATATAGGGCCGCAAGCGGCTGAAACCCACTTCTACCGCCAAGCAGTCAGGTCTTTTTGCCATGAAAGACATCGTGAGTATCACCATGAGACGTTTTTCCCCCGCACATGGCTTCCATGTTAGATTTGTCCTTTTCAACTTCTGAGAGGTCCAATTTGCATTGCCATCCCTAGCTTTCCTTCTAAGCCATTTCTCCTTTGGCTTTCCATTGGCGGTTTCCAGCCGTCCGGTTCTTAGGTGTTTAGAGTTTAGTTATTTGTAGTTGGTTTAACTAGTTGTTTTAGTAAAGTTGTTTTACTAGTTGTAGTTGTTTGTAGTGTTTAGTTGTTTGTAGTTTTTGGTTTCCGTATTTAACCCACACCTTATACACCGTTTAGCGGATCAGAAAACGAACAGCCCAGTTGCCCCATAGAAGTTGAGGTGTTCAAGAAGTCCTGTTCGTTTGGTCAAACAGTCATTTGCGCCTTGGACCCCTCAAATAGCTGTGGAGATGTCAATATGCTAAGAAGTATGGCTGTTTGGCTGGATCTTTATGTCAATATTCCCCTGTAAATACCAATAATCGTTATGGTTTCAACCATGGCTTCATGTCTTGCTGCATCATGGGGCCTCCCAAGTTGGCTCTTAAGCCCTCAATAGCTTGATTGCTATCTGGGACTTTATCTTTTTCGTTGAAACACAAGCAGTTGAACACTTTGGCAGAGGCCAACAGCAACTATGTAATGCCCGGATTCATAAGCCCCAGTTTATTAATCGGGTCCCCGTGGCAACCTGGGTATAGTGGCTGGATTCTGGAAGAGCAAAGATGTAAGGAGCACGGTTACCCTTGACCCTTGAGCATTTGGAGAGTGCAACTCGAAGCATTTCTAATTAGAAAACTCATCATTCACTGTATGGGGCTCTACGGGGCTCAGCCCAGGATAAAGCCCTCAATACAGCCTTATGAACCGCTTACCTCAGGCCATGCCCTCTCCCACCCCTCCCCCCCCCGATAGACTCCCCCGTTCAGTGGACGCCGCTGCTGGGCATCAAGCTGTCCCGTACAGAAATTTGGACTTCTCCGTTAGGTCATGTGTTTGGATGTCTCTCTCCCTCTCTCGCATGCAGAGCGACTCCGCGCGACGCTAGAACGCCATGCAAAACGAAAGAACGGCACTTGTTCCCGAGGCACTTCTTTCTTTTGGCGTCGGCGATGCTCATGTGCTTGGAGTTTGGGTTTGGCTTGCTTCCTTGCGCCTCTGAGGTTGCCCCGTTGGTTGCGCCTGGAAACCAGGAGGGCAATGCCTGCTTTCCCCAGTTCCAAGAGGTAACTAAGATCTCTCAGCTCTGGGTGTGATGAATGCTCTTGTTTTCGGCCAGCCTAGTAAGTGGTTAGCCACTTGGTATCTGTCCCCCCAAATCGGTTAATCCCACTGAACGTCTCCCCTTTAAACCCCAATACCCCAAGACTTTGATCCTTGAAAACCACTGCAAAAAGGTACCGAGCCTCAGACAAACACAGTCAACTTTGATAAGAGAACCCCGTTGCAAGCGGTTGGACATGAATTTCCGCCGAATTCTGATGTCCGCCATGTTGGGTCCCTCAAAATAGACACCCATACTGTGGACAAAAGCTGCTTTGCAGCTGTTGGGCTGGACAAGACATGGAATTTGTTCACTGTTGTCCCCGCATAGCTCATAACCATGCAAAGTTGGAGGCACAAACAGCTGAAACAGACTTCATAGACTTCACCGGACAGCCTGCGTTGCTGGCCTGTCTACAGTTAGAATATGTCAAGACAACCATTGGTGTGATTGCCATGCTTTCGCCGATGCATCGTGCCATGTGCTTTTGTCGATGCATCGTGCATGGCAGCTTTTGGCCGATAGGGTTGTACTTGGATCCCCAATTTGTCGAAGATCCCGAAAGCTGGTAAAGCGTAAGGAACCGCTTGGCAGACCGGTTCACCCAATTTGGTTCTCGGAACTGTTCCTTGCATCCAAGCGCACTTAGGCCTTGCACTTGCAAGATGTCACGGTGATAGTAGATCCCAGAGGGTCCAAGTGCCTTCTGACCATCCAGTGGGCACACTTGACGTTTTTTTCTTGGTGGCTTCCGCTTCAACCAAGTGGTGATCGAAAACGTGTGCACTGCTTTTTGACTAGTCGCTGTCCAAGTGCCTTCTAAGAAGGTTTGGCACTTCATCTGTCTGGACTACACAAATAGCACTCATCGTATTCTTTTTGGGACCATTTCCCCGCCCCCTTTGTGTGTGTGTGTGTCAGCTGCGATCGCCCGTAGCTTCGGCTTATCTAAGCCGTCCTTTGTCTGTGAAATTTCAGGGACCCTGCGCCCCCCCCCCCCCCCCAAAGAAAGCTCCCCCCCTTTTTTATTTCGCGGCAACGCTTTTTGCCAGAGGATAGTTGGAACCTGGCATATTCACTCGGCAACTCTCCAACCCTTTGCTGGGCAAGGACAAATCTTTGGGGAGGGGATTCGGGGTCCCTGATTTCATGCGCGCCCTGCGCGCCTAGCCCGGCGCGGCTAGATGAGAAGCCATGTGGACGTTCCTCAGGATCAGGTCCATGCAGCCCGAAACTTCGTCAGAGACGAGCTCATAGACTCTCGGTTTGGATCGATGGGTGCAACACGATTCCCCAGTTGCCCAATGGATTCAGTTTGCTCAACTTCGGGAAGGATGCCCAACAGTTTTTTTTTCTGAATAAAGTCAACCAACAAAACGAGGGTGCATCCATTTCGCCCAATGGCCACACACCTTCTGAGAATATCAGCGACTTGTCACGTGTGTTTTGTACTTCCCCCTTTGAGGGGGAGCAGCCGTTTCTTGTTGGAATATTCTATTTGGACGAAGAAAAAACACCAGGTGTGTTTTCTGCTTTCTCGCGAGTGGTTGCAACCATCATGAATTCTGGTACAGTATGTTGATGTTCGGTTCCACTTGTTGGATATTGCAAAGAAGACCTAAGCCCAAGGACATCCCGTTTGGGAAATCAACCACCAGGGTTGTGTTTTCCCTTCGGTAATCAAACATTTAAGTCTTCACTGGTTCACTCTTCTTTTAACCTTTGACTCAATGTGGCTCGATGCCTCCTGCCCTCGGCACCATACCCAGTGCCTTGAATCTTCTTTGCTTGAATCTGTTGTAGTTGTCGTTGGCTCTTTTGGTTCAGCGACTGCAAACAAACACCGTTTCTTGCTACCATACTGTGGACGGACGAAATTCTGCAGCGCCTACGCAACCCTGGATTGATACGGTTCCCTGAAAACACCGTCAACAATGGCTTCCCATTGTTTCACAGTGGTGCAAGATTTCGTCCATGCACTGCACCCAGGGTTGTAAAGGAACCTCCAACATGTGGCACACCTCGTCTCATGTCGAAAATCGCAGGCCGTTCCGACCAAATTTGCTCCAAAACTGACTTCATTAGTTGCGGGTAAGTCGGCCTCTTACAGAGATCACCCGTTGTTTCAACGGTTCCCGGCTGCCACTATACCGAGACAATCCATGTAGGCATACTATATGTTGAAATTTGACCCATATGCACTTTTGCAGGGTAAATGTGTGTAACTATTGCATACATGGATTGCTTGGGAGGTAAGCGGCTATGTTATTGTGTTGTTGATTTGGCAGGGTTCCACGGGTGACCTACTGCTAAATCGAATTAATTGGTTTGGAATGACTTTGAGGACCGACCAAGCAGGTCTCTCCCTGTCGCCGCTTTCTGGTGGACAAGACATCAACAAAATCATTTGGCGATGAACTTTAATATTTCAATAGAGAACGCAGTACTTACACAGTGGCTGGTGAGTTAACATACACCTTGCCCATACCTTGCCCATCTTTTAACCTTATATTTCAGCCTAAAAAGCCACAATGTATGTCGTAAAATCACCGCCAACAAACTTGCCACCTTAATCATTCTACCACCCCATATCTAATCTTATTGATTTTGGTCAATTAGCAAAATTTAGGAATTACAATATTCATAGAAATCATATTTTTCAATAGGGGCTACGGCCCAAAACATAGCAATGATGAAGGTGGTAAGTTATGACAAAATGTTGGGGACATATTTTATGGCTGACAGATGGGCAAGGTTAGGTTTGTTCATTGTTCAACAATGTGTCAACACTACAATCGCGTACGTCTTCTTCATTCACCGTGCAATGCTTTCAAGACCACTTTGAGTATGATTATTGGATAATACAAATCTATTTTTCTATGCTTGTAAGGTGAGTCAAAATCACCCGGTATGTAAAGCTAAGGGGCGATCCCAGGATTCCAGCCAAGCGTTTTGAGTAGAAATTTGCGCGGGAGGAAGCGACGCCAAGCGATGCTTCATTGCCAACTTCTTGGCAGTTCGGTGGCAACCAGTGTTGGCCCGATAGTTGTAAGTGGGTTACAAACAGGGGCAAGTTGGGTTACAACATGGGCTAACCTGAGTTGTAAGTAGGGTTGAATCATGTTAGCTTATGTTGCACATAAAACAGCTCATAAGTCAGTTGCACGAGAAATGGAAGTAAGTAGCGAATTGTAACTTTGTAGGAAAATGTTGGCTGGAACTTACAGAACTCATGAAACATGGTATGACACTTCAGGCAATTTTGTGAGCTTAGAGTGGCGAGTGGCATTTTTGGATCATGTTGCGTGTGATTGATGCTTGGGCCGTCATTTGAGCCAAAGAAGGGAAGCGGTCATAACGCAGGGAGGTTGTGTGGCAGCCGAGGCAAATTTGGTTCATATGAGGA